CTTATAAAACGTTGATTAAATAGATATAGACGTTGCAAATTAAATTTCAAAAGTTGAAAGGTGTTTGGAAAATACTAAAATAGATAAATGCTTGGCAATTTTAAACAATTGTTAACTAACATAAATGTAAATGTTTTCAATAAAGCAAAACTACAAATTTATAATCATTTTCCGAGAAAAGTCATGTCTTAAACGTTGAACGGATCACTCGGTATCCTGTAACTTAAGAATTTTAAGTAAAGAAGTCAAAACAGTTTACTGTTTGGCTGTAAAAAATATATATTTTTTCTCATACGTCTTGTATGTACATATTTTACTATATTTTTCAATACTTAGAATAATTTCACCTTCGCCGCTCATACGTAAAAGAAACTTGGACTTCGTTTTTTTGAAACAAGAACATAATATGTTTTAGAGTTTCATAAATATGGTAGACAAACAATTTTAGCGTTTGAATGTTTTGATTTTCATCAATCAAATATATTGAAAAATATAGTAAAACGCGTACCTACCTACAAGTATGGGGGAAAAATCATTTTCAAAATATTCATATTTTCCTTTAAAATGAGTGTCGTACATCATCAGCTGCATGCACTCTGTATCACTCTGTATATACATATTTTGCCGGTCGACTCGTGGGCCGGAATACGAAGAGATATATGCAGCGTTTTTCTACGTGTATATATATTGTTACGTACACGCCAGTCCGTGTTCAGTGGCACTTACCTACGTGCAAGACCGTCGGAGGCGCTGGATTGCGGGTGAACGTACACCGGCCGAGTACACGGCGGGATGCAGCGCAGACACCGCTCGCTACCGGGGGGTACTGTACTCCACTCCCCGCCGATCCGATCCTCGTGGCTGGCCGCTGTACGTTGGTCTGGCGCGCGGCACCGGCGGCTGCGGCGCGCAAAGGCCGGCGAATCTGTGCGGTCGGACCGAACGTCCCGGACTGAATGGCACTTCACAGATCCGTTGTCGACTCCGCCGCCGCCGCCGCCGTTGCGCCCCCTCAAGCGGTCATCCCCCCCCCCACCCGTAACGATTGTCAACTATATCGCGTGCGTCGAAGCGCAAGCGCGCACCCCCTTTGTTGGCCGCGTGGACAAAGGGGTTGGCGCGGCGGGACGAATACGCGCGGTGTCCGCGTCCCGCCGAGGATGATAATAATGGACCGGCGGAGTGCGGCAGTTTCTACGGTTACTACACTACATAACCATTGTAGTGGCCGACCGCGTAATTGAATGCTGGCTTGAATTCGCAATGCTTCCTCGTTACCGCCGCCAGTGAGCGCGCGTTTTTTCCCCCCTTCACATACATGTAATAACGCAATAACTTTTTCCGTAGGTACACGTACACGGCACGTGGGTTACGCGGGCCGCGAGTACGCAACCCCGCAGACGACTTTGGTGGAAACTAAATCCCGTCTTACAATATTGTAAAAGGGATTGAAAACGTTATCACGCCGAAATTTACAATGTTAATTGATAACACAATTTTATTAAAACGACGAAAGGGGTCGCATGTGGTCTGTTTTTAAGGAGTTTTGTATAGGCAATATTTAAGAAAAATTATGTTTTTAATGAATTTCGACCCTGTCGGTTAACTAACCAGTTAATTTGTATAAGCTTCGAGGTGTTATAATGTGTAATTTAAATAGTTGTTACTACGAGTAAAAGCCATTTTAGTTTATTTTAGACCAAAAAGCCAGGCAAAATTTCGGCTACATAGGATGGTCCAATTTCAATTCTGTAAAGAGACACGAGTACTTTGGCTAATTTACTATGTTATGTAGGAAGCTGATTTAAGAACATTTCAGTGTCTTCTAATTAAATTTGCAATTTTTTCAATATTTTTAACTTTTCCATAACCAGTTTTGAGACATTACTACCATTGAAGTTTCAAAAGTTAACCCCCCCCCCACCCTAATTCTGGCTTATGACAACAACAAAAAATTACTATTAAAATATTATTGAAGGTTGAGTGGGGTGTTTGTATTTACACCTCTTGCGGTTACTTCTACTTGAATAGATTTTTTCTTTCTGAGTTTCGCAAGGCCTTGTTCACTGCATTGGTGGTCCATCCATTATTGCTTAACGTTTGCCCGAGGTGCTGTTTTTCATTTTCAAGGGTGCACACTTCCACAAATATATACTTAATAGACTTGGGATTGGAATCTAAGTGAGTGGTAGTTTAACCTAATAACGGTTAAAAAAAAAATAAAAGGATAGAGTAATAAATTAGTGGCAGGGTCTGAATGATTTTAGTTAACCTATTCGTTTCATCCTAAAATAACTAATACAAAAAATAATAACCGAAACTATAAGTTTTAAAAATTGGTTAATGAATATTATTTAAACAACTTTTGGACAAACAAAAACATTTTATGTAACAACCAATGGTATAACCATATAAACATAGATAGTCCAGACATTTTGGTAAAAAAAATACATACATAACACCCACCATTTTGTGGTCTTAAGAATTTACTTCATTTGTTGGACAGAAACCACATAAAATGTGGTCGATATTATATTTTCTCAAATATCTTCTAAACATATATTTTAGTTGAGCATAAGTGATACTAAACTACCCACTATAAATATAATTGTTTTGTTCCGGTTGTCACTTGTGCTGTGGTACAACATAAAATTATCCGAAGAAACTACGTACTTATTGTAGTAGTTACTTAATTTTAAGAAGTTTAAACGAATGTAGCCAATAGAGTTCAAACAAAGTTCTAAAATCCATTACTAAATATAGCGTGGATAACACAAATATCTTAATAAGTTAATATATATTTGACACTGTTTAGTGTTTAGATACAATTTTGGTTGAGGTCCATAACTTTTGAATATTTTAAATAAAAAATATTTCATAAAACAGTAAAAAGATGACTTAAGGAAGATTTTGAACTACTCATTTTAAATATAAACTCATGGTTGTTGCTAATGGGTGACTTCTTAACAAGCCTGTATGTCAATTATATTCTCTTATCTTATAAGCTTGATGTACAGATTTATGTATAGATTGTTTATATCTAATACAAATTAAAAAATATAAGAATAACACACTTACGCCAAAATTAATAATAATATAAATGTTGAAATACATTATATATATTTAGTTACATTCTTTTAGCAATGTACATTTGGCCTAGTATTCTTCAATGGCAAAAAGAGTATATAAATTGACAAATACTTTAAATTTGTTGAAAAATTAAATTTTTTTACTTAAATCATGAAGTAATAAATTTAAAAAAATAATTTGTGTATTGGATGTTTATTATACATATAACAACATTGCACACTCTTTAACTTCAAATTAGTCTTCTCTAAATTATGTTATTTAATTAAATTTTTTAATTTCATAATACAATTATATTTAAATGTTTACACATCTGACATCAATATTAAATGTTTTCAATATTTTATCATTGAGACAAATTATGTGATCATTATTGGTTGGTATACTTGATGAATTAATCACTCGCCATTTGTGTTCTTAAGCAATATATCTTTCGCAAAAGACTCCGTCACGTAAAAACAATATCCTTTTCGTACCACGAGAAGTTCTTTATCCCCACAACGAATAAATCGTTTTCAATGGTAACGGCATCTGCACTTCAAAACAACGTGTTATGGATATATCATAATATGCACGAGTTAAATCTTTTAAAGTTTGTACTATTATTTTTATCACCTTCGGATAACCAATAACAACGATAGATCCGAACACGATAAAACTAATATAATATTGTAAGTTTGGATAATATTTCTAAAACATTATTATTAACTTATTTGCAAACACTTTTGCGTTGATCATATCAGGCAGCTTGTATCCCGTTTAAAGTCTTTTAACTTCAATTTATAAATGCACTTCACTGATGTACCGCTAAAAAAATAAAAAAGCGTTTTCTCTTCTTGCTATGTTCATAAAATAACCAGCATTTATTGGCATAGGATTACAATGTTTCCAACAGTTTTCTCGTAGATTATAGCACTCTACACTACTTAAATAGTGCATAACATCAATATCCACCAAACTTTATAGAATAAAAAAATCAATTGCATTAAATATAAAACATTTACTTGTATTATATATATATATATTTTTTTTTTTGTACTTTAGTTATGGTTATTACTCATTAGCTTATTGGGTTGTTGAATAATTTCGTTTGGATGAATAGGATACACAGTACGCGAGTGCTGTTGGGCACGACTAAAAACCTTGGGTTTAATTTAATTAATTAATATTAGATTAATTAGGCTTAACTTAAGATTTCATGACATCTGATTGAAACACTGTGTGACTAAACATAAATAAATAGCATTAATTATGTATATATCTGTAACAACTGTAAATAAGTGTGTAAGTTGTATTTTAGTCAAAATTAACTAAGTACGCTAGGATGTAGTCCGAGGCATCTAACACACTTGAATAAATGTCTAACTCGTTGGACCAACAAGAAAACCTTGAGAGAATTGTGAGTTATTGGCTTGGCTATTGATTTATGGCAATTTCTGTCCTAATTCCCAATGGATTTTCTCACAAACAATATTAGTTTCATTGATGACTATCCTGACATAAATTTATACTATATGTTTGGCTAACATTAACTTTAATTATTCTTCAAAACTAAAACTAAAATACAATTTATCTAAACCACCAACAAAAAAAATCTTATACCACGATTTTTTCTACTTTTCAGATTTTTTTGCTTAAATTTTAGAATAGTAAGATATGATGTTTTTTGTTGGTGTGTTAATAAGTGTTAAATGCAATTAAATTTTATTAAATAGTAATCAAATTAAATTGTATATTTTGGCAAAAATTCCTTTTCTTCACATTCAACTAGCATTTGATTGTTTTTTATGATCTCAACAATGTCAGCAAAATTAAATTCATATATTTCTTTTATTTGTGATTCAGTTTCCATAATTGTTCTATGGATAAAACATTTACATAATATTGATATAGATGTATGTAGGATAACTTACCTAAAATGTTCCAAACAATACTAGAAACAATAAGTGTACAGCTTTTTTTCTGATGTAGATTCATCAAAATATTAATACAATTAGTGAAATTTATGGACGATTATATTAAAAATAACATAAATGTCACTAATTGTATAAATTTATGAGAGTTGCATAATAAATCCTTGGCATGGTTAAATTGAAGGAAATCAGAAGCTCTCACTAGTTCCTACAATACAAATAAAATTTTAAATTATTACATTGAATATGTTTATGGCTAAAAACTTGGTAACTGTTTTGTATGTATTACTTCAATATTATTTTCATGGATATCCATCTCAAAATTATTTTAGACTTCAAAATATCAGACTCGATGTCTTTGATATGAATACTATTTTCTTTGTTTTCTTTAAAGCCACCATCGAACATTGCTCGAACAATTTGTTTGTCTAAAAGTAAAATATAATTTGCTTTCAAACTTAAAGCAATTGGAATCCGATTTCTGATCGCATCAGTAGATCGATTGGTACGCAGGAACAAAAAAATACCTTTAAATTGCTATACTTAAATGGTACTATTACTGAGACAGTAAAATATGCGTCTTTTCGATCGAAATTAAAAACTATTTAACACAAAAGAAAAACACTAGGTTAGGTATAATGCCGTTCGTTTGTGCAACAATCGCGGTTTTTACTGCTATACTAATAAATAATGCAATAATTACTAACAACACGAATAAAACAATATTCTACATAAACGAACACTAAGACGTTTTTGTTTTTAGAATTACAACAACACACTGTTAGCGTTTAAATATCATTTTAAATAAACATAAACGATAAATTGCAATGAATCAGCATATTAATTATTATTATAATATTATTATCTCCCAGCTACAAATGATAAGGAAAAGTGTCATATCGATAGTAACGGTGTCTAATCAGTGCTGACTTCCCACACGGCGCAAAAAGTCGTGTACGTTACTGTATTTTATTTATTATTTTTATTACCACCGACCTGTGACCATAGGCGGTACACAATATTCATTTACTGAAAGTTGCTCCATTTAAACTTATTGTGAAAAATTGTTTTTACATTTTACATTAGTGTTACATTTAGATTTCATAAACATAACGGTATAGGTACAGTAAAACCAAGAATACTTATATTTAACAGGCTTCATGTACGCAGATTCGCATAGAAACGATTATTTCAAAGTGATTTTCTTAGTTATCATAATTCCTAAAGAATTGTGACCCCGCTGCGGCAACAATTATATGGTAAAAAAAAAAATTGGAATATCTCGTTTGACAAGAAAAACATAATTATTTCACTTACTTATAGACATTTTATGTTTACACCATGTTTATGGAATCGTATTGTACAAAATCACTTCTCTGAAAAAGACTGGATAGAATCTTTTTGAATTAAGACATCATAATAATAACTGTTATAACTTGAAAAAATATGAACAACATTATAAACTATTATGGAAAATTTGAAACGCGTTTGAATGTAAAAAAAGTTACATCTCACAGAGCCGTTCGAAAGGAACAGTGGTACCAACTTATACAATATATTTTTATAAAACGCACGATTATTATTCGCGCATGTTGTGCGTTCAGTATTGTTTAATAAAAATTGGAAAACTTGTACACTTCAAAACCAATGCACTAAGGTTAGGTAATATTTTCACATTCACTCTATGTCGACACGTTTCCTGTGCACAAATATCCATAAAAGCATTGAATCTAATGACACTCGTGTGCTTAAAAATACATATTTAGTACTAGGGTGTATAAAAATGTATTGACATAGTTACCCATATAATATTATCATAAAAAACAAAAACAAGAAAATATTTCCATTACCTGTCGACTGTTGATTCGCTCACGTGTGGCAGCCAGGAAATTGATAACGCTCAAAGTTATAGGGTTTCCCCTTTTTGGGGGTTTTTCCAACGGTTCAGCTATTTAAGAGACGTCGTGGGTTTAGGCAGAAAAATAAAAAAATCATTGTAATAATTACAATACCATATCAGCTCCTCGTCAAAGTTAATATGTTATTATCCTTACAAAAATAAGGTATGCAACACACAACATCTTCGCCTTTATTTGCACACTTCTTTAAACATTTCGCACATGTTACGGTTAGACCGCATACTAACTTCTACTTGTTTTTTTTTTTACATATGTGATAGGGTATTTCCCGTTTTTTATGTACCTACCTACTTATATAATTAATTTATCCGTAAAATTCTAATTTTTTCATGCAAACAAAAATCAACTTACTAAGAGAAAAATGCAAAAATATAATATTGTATACATTGTGATCGTTTAATTTACCAAATTATCTATCTAACAAAACAATATTATACGAATATAATTTGTAAAACGCATCTTTGAACAACTGAATGAAAATATACACTGATTTTTAATGTTTTTTGTTCTTAATTTAACTAGAATTCAATTGAATTGAATATACGACCACTACTGTGCTTACCGCGTGAGTACATTGGTTGCTGGCTGAAATTTGTGCTACTATATTGAAACGGCGGCGATAACAACCGTCTTAGAGTTCAGTTGTTTTTTAGCTTTTCACGAGTAAACAACATTTTTGTCCACTCCGTTGGAAATATAGTTTTTGCGTTCGAAATATTCGTGTAGGTATTATGCGTTGTATGGAAAAGATTCTGTGGGCCGGCGGCGCCGTTCTAACGGCAGCTGGCGGCGGTTATCTGCTCTACAAGGTACGTATGAGCATACATATTGTTTGATGACACGTTCAATGACACACCTTCGGCTCGGATCCGCGGGCACCAACACCGGTGTCCGTCGCTTTCCACCGACCAGGGCTCGCTGTTTTGTCCGTGTCAGCACAACAATTATTAGTTTAAATAAAAATCGTTCTCGTGTTCAAGGCGAAGCAAATATGGTGGGACACGGCACCGGTAGAACGTGCTCCGGTACTCCACCCTGGCGACGCACACAGACCGTTGCCGCACAACCGTCGGGCGCGAACCGGCTTGCGAGCGTGTTTCTACCACGACAGGTACGGGTCGGCGGCGCAAAGATGTCGTCTTCCGTGCGGCTTTAGGCCATTTGAGGCAGACGGACCGTTGCCGAACAACCGTCGGGCGCGAACCGGCTTGCGAGCGTGTTTCTACCACGACAGGTACGGGTCGGCGGCGCAAAGATGTCGTCCTCCGTGCGGCTATAGGCCAGTTGAGGCAGGACAGCCGGAGCCACCGTGTACGTACCACAGGCGATTCGGCGCGGCCGCGGTGTACTGCTTGCAGCCGTGTGGATTTCCAGTCGTGGTGCAAGAGTACGGCACAGGGGAACCTGTACCACCCTGCATATTCCATCGACGGTTTGGTTCGGAGGCGGTGAACTGCCGAGCGCCGTGTGGGTTCAGGCGGGACCACAGTACCTCCGCGCCGGCGGAAAACTAGGCGTCGCGGACAGGCCTCCCGCCCTGCATGCCGTGAGTAAAAATACGCGGGTACACGTGAACGGCCTCCGCTCCGGCAGGCTGTTTCTTATCGACACGGGCGCCGAGATTTCGGTCATGCCCCACGACCGCAGCTCACGACAACCATCCGACGTCCGCCTCACAGCTGCCAACGGAACGCATACGAAAACCTTTGGGCCCAAGACGCTCAACCTCGACCTCGGCCTCTCGCGAACGTTCACCTGGACGTTCGAGATGGCCGACGTTTCGCGCGCCATCATCGGGGCCGATTTTCTTCGTTATTTCGGCCTCCTTGTCGACGTGCGACAAGGAGGCCGAAATAACCGACAAACGTTGACCGACAAACGAACAGTCACCTGTGCAGTGACTTCCGCGGGTTCCACGAGCGTGACACGCGAGTCGCCCGTCCCGGAAACATTTCTCATTTTCTCATTTCTCATTTTATATGCTACGTCGAAGTAGACGGGGCCGTTCGCTGTCTGGCGCGCTTCGAGGTCTAGTGAGGTTTTTGTGACGCCGGAAATGATGTCCCTGAGTTCCCTGTCGTTCGCTTGGTCGACTGCCCACTGATTGAGATCCGGCAGGCCGTCTTCGAGAGTTGCCAACTCGAGGCGTGAAAGGGCGTCGGGCACCACGTTACTCTCGCCGCTGACGTGTTCGATGTCGTGGATAAACTGAGACAGGAAAGCGACATGTCGCGCCTGACCAAACGTCTTCACGGGGCCTGCCGACACCGGGGAGAAATTATGTGGTGGTCTACCGCCACATTACTCCCCCCCCGGCAAAGAAGAAAAAACATACCCGTTTGTTTTTGGTGTCGGAAGGTGCGATTGATCGATCGCATCGCATAAGAGTGGTCGGTGAGTGGATCGTCGCGTAAGATGAAAGCCGGCTTAAGTCGGTCCACGGAGATCCAGGACGTCCGGTTGCCGAGCTGCAGCTTGAAATCCTTGGGACGACGTTCGAGCACGGCGTACGGCCCTTCGTAACGGGGTTGAAGTGGCGCGCGGTGTGCGCCGACCCGGACGAAAACGTGGCTGACGTTTTCGAGCTGAGTGGGCACGAAGATGCGCTTGCCCGAGTTATGATCTGTTCCCTGTATAGGTCGAAGTCGGGCCATTGAGTCTCTTAGAGCGGCGACGAGGTCATGCGCCGTCGGTTCGGGCGGCGCCGAGTGAAACAGTTCACCGGGCAGCCGCCGGAGGGATGTCCCGTAAACCAACTCCGCCGGAGCCGCACCGATGTCCTGCTCGACGGTGTTCCGCAGCGCGAGGAGAACGATCGGCAGGTGTCGTGTCCAATGCGGTGACTCGTATGCGGTGAGTGCCGCCTTGAGCGTCCGGTGTAGACGTTCCACCAAGCCGTTGACTTGCGGGTGGTAGCTCGGACTCGAACTGCCGTCCCTGATCTGTCGTGACGACATCCGGAACCCCGAAGCGAGCGATCCAGTTTGACTTACGACTGTGGCCGTTGGTCGTATCACTTGATTTGACGCCCTTTCTCGTGAAAACCTATTAGTGATACTAATACACTTAATTAATGATCACCTAATAAATGTACTGTGTCAATACGGATATTGTTGTTTAATATGTTAGGGAACTCGGGGCAATTGCCTGTTAAAAGCCCTGGTGTCGAAACACTTAAGCTAAAATATTATGTACTTACTCGAAATAAGTTTATCGACACAATGGCTTTAAAAACCAAGTCGCGATGACGACTATTTTATTTAACACGGTATACGAAATTATAGAATACCTTGGAGATCCAACACTGTTGTTGAGCTGCAGCTTGAAGTCCTTCTTAGAGACCGGAACCGGATGTATGGCAATAATACAGGGACTTATTTATGGGAGTGACTGAGTGGGCTCTCGCTAGCCCCCCCCCCCAAACAAATTTTTTTTAGTCTGCCTATGGGTTAGACCCAAGAAAAAAGTGGTTGTAATAAATTTCAACTATGTCAATTAATTTACCTGTTAATTTGTATAAGCTTCTTGGTATTATTTTCAATTTAAATCATTTCGTCTATGAGTAAAAGCCATTTTAGTTAATATAATAGTACATTTTTTGTTCCGTCGCTGAAACAGATTTGAATTCGCCATGAAGTTTACTTAGGATTGGTCAGCGTACTTTTTAGAAAATTTTAAAATTTCAAATGGGTTAAAATTAAAAATTGAAAAAAGTACCCTGACCGATCCTAAGTAAACTTTATGGCGAATTCAAATTTGTTTTCAAATTACTTATCGGACTACTGGTACGGCCTGTGCGATGGACAAAAAATGATGTGTTTTGACTGAAAAAAACGGCCAGTATCGAATTCGCCTTAAATGAAGATGATATTATTGAAAGATTTGCTAAAGAAAAAAAAAGGCATTGATTTTATATTATAAATATCTGAGTATTGTACTTTACTTAATTATAAGTATGTGTTTGATATTTAAACAAACTTGTTGTAGCTATTTTCTATGAAATTTTATTGGGTCAAAATTAAACTGAATTAATAATGATTAATTACTAAAAAATAATTAATACATTGTAATATATTTTGTAGACAATTAATAAAAAGTAAAAATCAAAAAAGGTAATTTTACTATACCTACAAAAAACGAAAATTCGCCCCCCCCCCTTGGAAAACCCCTGGATCCGCCACTGAAAACAAATCGACATAAACGTTTTTATTTTAAGAATTACAACAAAACACCGTTAAATTTGTTTTCAAATGGACAGAAACCAATTGGAATGAACAGGTGTGTGTGTTACCAACTAACCAACGTAATATCTCCCAGCGTTGATGATAAGGAAAAAAAAGTAGCTTAATATTATGTTACCGTATTTTTTAAATATTATTTATTATCACCGACCTGTGACCATAGTACACAATATTACTTTTCTGAAGTTCTCATACAGCCGTATCTTTTTTGAAGTTAAACTTCTTTAGGCGCGTCGTATGGGTAGTTAACCCGTTAAAACGAGCGAGCGAACGCAGATATATATAGATATACAGTAACGCCTGGCTTTCTTTGATTCTCTTTTGTGCGGATCTTCGTATACGATATATAGTACGAGTTCCCCCACTTCTTCAGCTCCCTCTCATAATATATATATATATTTGATACATATAGACATACGAGTTCACCCATTTCTTCAGCACACTCTCTCTTTCAATACTCAAAAATATTTTGTTTTTTAGTTTATGTGCCAATTGCCATTTTCAATCAAATGTTTACAAAATCCATACTTTCGTCTAATTTAAAAAAAAATATTTAAACAATCTGTACATAGGTAACCATTTTTACCGATGAATATTCAACAACTCAAATAAACATATATAATAATTTATACTTATATAGAATAGGATTTACCATGTACTCATTTTCGCATAAGAATAGTTAAAAATTTTGAAGTTTTTCTTTTTGAAAAAAGTATGCTTATGTGATTTTACAATATTATAAAACAACTAAATGTTTACTTTTCTTAGTATTACCCAGAGCTCTATCGACTTTAAAATCCTACACGATAACGTATATATTTCATAGACCTATTAAATTAAGAACAATTAGCTGAAAACGTTGAACGGTCGATAACTAGTGTCAAATAGTCAATTCAAATTGTCAATTAAAAGTTGGAACGAGAGGTGTGTAAAGTTTGAGATAGAATAAAATATTATAAAATTAATACCAACACACCATCCTTTCTAAATGTTGTACTAAAAATATATTTAAAAAATAATAATTCAAAACTTGTTAAATACCAGTAAACATTTTTAGTAAATTTGTATTAATTCAAAAATGTAATAAAATATGAGGCGCATAACTCTATAAAAGCTATATCAACAAATACATTATTTAAAGAAAAAACAATTATATTTATCTATGCGAATCTGCGTACGTGGTAAATTTTATTCTATAAAAGTATAAATTATATTATATAATATATTATGTTTATTATCGTTCTATTTGAGTTTTTGAATATTCATCTGTAAAAATAGTTGCCCAACTACAGATTGTTTTAACATTTTTTAAAATTTGATGAAAGTATGGATTTTGTAAACATTTTAAAATAAGAACTAAAAATTGAAAATGGCAATTGGCACATAAACTGAAAAACAAAATATTTTTGAGTATTTAAATAATTATGATTATAGTTGGTCGTCTCTGTTTTCTAATTGTTCGTTGACGATGTGACAATCAGTTGTACAGTTATCGACAATATAAAGAAAATATTTTTAAGATACCCAAAGACCAAAATTAAGACCAAAGACCAATCAAGATAAAATCAAAAACTACGCATTGATGTTGAAAATAACAATAGTATTCTACCCTCTTGTAGGAGAAAGGTTTAATGATATTTTCATGTTTTTTGTCTGTGTACCTGTACCATTCGATTTAAGAACTTTAAATGTAACACTTCGATGTTAATTCTGAAAAATTACTTTCAACAATAAGTTTGAAAGGAGCTACTTTTATTCATGAAAGATGCCAATGGTTTACATAACCGTGCTTAAAAAACTATACGGCTATAACATGAGAACTTCAGAAAAGTAATATCGTGTACCGCCTATGGTCACAGGTCGGTGATAATAAATAACATTTAAAAAATACAGTAACATATTTATTAAGCTACGTTGGTAACATACACACCTGTTCATTCCAATTGGTTTCTGTCCATTTAAAAACAAATATAACAGTGTTTTGTTGTAATTCTTAAAATAAAAACGTTTATGTCGAATTGTTTTTAAGTGTTGTTCATAATTATTATTGCATTGTTTGTTAGTATAACAGTAAAATCGAGTTTTTGGTACAAATTACATTATTAATCGTGTCTAGGTAATTTAAAAGTACTATACGTTTTTCATTAGTGTTAAATAGGTAGTTTATAGTTTTTATTATTGATTGAGAAGAGGCATTTACTTTCTCAGTCCAACTTATTCAGTATAGGAATTTAGACGTATTTGTGTTTCTGCTTGCTGATCGATCTGCTGGGGTGATATAGGAATATAGGATGTATAGGAATCTTAAAACATTCCTAGAAATCTTTTCTAGGAACGAGAACATCACTTATTTATAATTTTGAACTTGAAAGTGTCGTCCAGTAGGTATTCAATTGTAAAATAAAAATATTAACAGTCTCACGCTTTAGCGAAAAAACAAATGAATAAAGTTGGAAAGGCGTTGCTTTGAAAAGGTGTTGAAGAATTCACATTTTTTTTATAGATTTCTTATTACGTCAGTAGATTGATCGGTGTCTACTGTTGAACTTTAGTACTTCTAAGTGCCTACTGGGTAGTAGATGGACCGTTAAAGAATATACCGCTTTCCAATTGCCGTTAGTTTAAAATGTATTACAATTAAAAATATTTTACTTTCAGAGAAATAAAATTGTTCAACATGTTTCCAAAGTTCTGTTTTTTTTTAACTTTATTCTTTAGAACATTTTAGTACAGTTTTTAACATACACTTTTATAAGCTGTTTTGGGTTCCCCATGTACATGGTCAACTAATAATTATCATAAATAAATATTTTGGTTAGTACAAATTAACTCGTCAATATCTCATAGTTATCAATACACATATTTTGCTTTTTTATGTGTAGTTATTGGACTTAAGGTCAGAAATTAGGCTAAAAGTAGACCTAGAGTAGTGTAGCCTTGTGTTATGTACAACTTGAGTTTGAACCAAATTATTATAAATGAAATCTGAAAATCTAACTACTGAAAGAAATTATTTTCGAAGATAATAGACATTTATACATAATAACGATACACTTTTTACAGAACACAAACCCTATGTGATGTTACCCTAATATGCAATGATGGTGTGCAAATTTTAGCACATAAAGCAATTTTAGCATCAGCATTAGTATTTCTATTAAGGACATTGAGTCTGGTATTTTGAAACCCACCTTTTGATTTATTAGTTGTTAGACTCTAAACTTTATTTAATTTATTCTATGACTCCAGACGCTATTCTAAGCATTCTATTTACAATATTTGCGGATATATATGCTTTTTACGTTTTGTCACTGTTTTGCAGCCCTTTGCGCTTATATTATAATGACATTTTAAGTACTTGTTAAAGTGTCAATCTGCAAGGGAACTTTAAATCCATTTGTTTCACCATGTTGTAATTGTCTGTCTAAGTAGCTTACTAAAACGAAATTTTGTTATCAATCCATCGAAATTCGTAATCAAATTTGAATCTATCTTACACCGCAGGGTAGTTTTACAGGAAATGATATGTTCACAACATTTAGAAATTATTATTGAAACATATTGGGTTTCCTGCCAAGATATATCTACAATATTAATAAAACGTATTATAAAATATTTTTATTTAACAAATCTATGTTTGCTATTTGAGCTTTTCTATTACGTGAGTGAAATAATAATATAAATATATATATATTATTTTTTTTAAATAAACATTAAAAACGTAGATGTCTATATGTTTTGTAAGTTGTAACAGTAGTTGTTTTGTTTAACTTAAACGCACATTTAGTGATAAAAACTATTGTCAAGTTATCGGGGCTCGGTACAAAAAAACTTGTGTCAATACATCTGCAGACAGTATTTTTTTTAAAAAAATTGTTTTATTAAGAATAATGGCTTTGACAGCTAGGATCATTGGCCCACAATGTTTTACACATTATTATAGTTTGTATTACACATATTTGTTTTACATATTAATAATAAATACGATTTTAAGAAGTGTACGTACATATTTACATTTGGATAAACTGATTAGAAAATGTTTGCAAGTTTAGTGGCGTCGTAATAATTAAAAATTGCATCAGTTTTGGTTTTACCTAATGCTTTCACCGTGTTTGTGGGATGGCTTAAGATGTGTCGTTCTTCGTTATACTTGGGGCAGTGGAATAAAAAGTGTTCAATTGTCAGTGGTTCGTCGTTTGACGGATTTGTTAATTATTGTAGAGAAGATTTAATTGTTTTTTTCCAACTTTTAAAATGCATAAAGGCTCGCTGTTCGTTTTAATAATATTGAAAATGACAAATGTACTCGAACAAGTATTGAAAAATGTATATTAAGTTTTTTCTAGAACATAGGTAGATAAAGTATACTGTCTACCGAGTAATCATTTTATTTAGCTCTGCATCGAAACTAAATTGTATTATTAAGAAAATCGTACAATTGTTATAAATTACCTATTTACTTTGCTAAAAGATATGTTCAAAGAAATAAATTACTACCTACGTCATGTTTGTTCAGAAGAAGCCACATTGCCGTCTTTTTATTATAAAAGGCTACACCGACACTTGTATTTCAATAACGTATATAGGAATCCAACAACACGAAAGAGAGAACAAGGTAATGCCTATGAATAATTAAGCTAAAAACAAATAATCGCGAACAAATAATTGACTAAAATTATTAGTTAATAAATATAATAATCATTACTTGTGTAGAATCGATTAGGAAGTCTTATAATTTGATATGTGTTTAAATTCCGCTTTTTAACTTATGAAGCTTTGCACGGATTCAAATCCTTCTAATTCTTCTAATTTTTCTATTATCAATAATAGAAAAATTAGAAACGACCCCGGCCTGGGTAGAACATCTAAATTAATTTTTTATGCACTGTATCTAGTTCAATCGGATCGTCGAGTTAGCCACAGAACGAAATTTTAATTAATGTCTCGTTAATTTGGCTTACTTAACCGGTTCAATCAGATCTAATTATATTTAAAACAAATTTCTATGATACAATGTATGTATTGAGTAATAATATTTTTTTGTAAAGTAATAACAATAACGAGAAAGAAAAATATTGTCTAATTTCTGTCAAAGGAAATAAAATATTCAAGAACTTACATATTTTGTAATTCCTACTTTATACAAGCGCTGCTTATGGTGTTACAAATTTTACCATGTCATGAAATTTTTTCTTTTTTTAGATTTTTATTGAATATGACTAACACAAATCTAAAAGGCTTGTGTTTGTTTGTGTTTACTATTGGCACGGTTATAAATTATATAAAATGTGAAACGCGTGAAGGTATATATTTAATAATTTACTTTTTATACAATATTACGTTGGTGTATCAAGTTGCTCAATAATTGCAATTAATATTACTTGTAATATCACAATTCCAGCTTGCCGTGTCGAGATTTATCGTACATGTGAGTACATTTTTTTTTTATACTTTTGGAAAGTTTGTAACGTTATCAAATAACTGCATCACTGTTTAATTATGTAATTATTTAATTTTTAATGAACTACACTTATTATTTCTACCATTATTCAGTTCCCCTTCTTTCAGCATCTATAACATAGTTAAAATATATTGTACATGTACATTAAATTATTGGTATTCGATGCTCGCGGACAAGGGTCATGGCTCGAATACGCAAAATAAGAGCATTGAAATGTGTTAATCTTTCATTATTATTATTCAGAATGGTAAATGGTTAGCTTATTTAATCAGACAACATGGGTTCGTACATTATGAAATGCATACATGTAAAATAGACGTACAGCAAGGCCCAGCGCACACGGCGCACAGTGTTTTCAATTGCTATTTTAGCTGGTCAAAATTCGTTAATGATATAAAATTGTACTAATATGAATAAAAATAATCCAACATACTAATTTTATTAACAAAATTACAGTTAATTATTCACGATAGAATAGAAAATAAATACTGTACAAACTAGAGAACGTTAATGTAAATAAATTATATTAACATAATACATAGAATGCAATATTTTTACTGTGAGTGTTATAATAATTTGAACTAAATATTATTATTATTATATTCAATAAAAAAAAAGAAACATCGAAGATAAAAAAAAAGCGAGTTGTTAAAATGTAGTTAAAATTAGTTGTTTAAATTTAAAGTGTTCTGCAATTAAGAGTTTAATTGCAAATTGTAATTAAAAATTAGCAAAAAAGCGGCGAGATGCGGCATTTCTAATTTAGTCGATTTTATAGAGGAGAAAATTTAGAACATGACCATATTAAGTAACAACCTCTAATAATCCCTAATTTTTTTTTGCCATGCTATTTGATTTAAGAAACATAGGTTTTAATACTGCGTTTTACATAATATAAATAATTACCCTTTCATAAATAATACTAATATGTGCACCGCGTCGATCAAAATCGTAAATTTAGTCAATACGATTTTAATCAATTATATTGATCTCCGTTTTTTGAAAAATAAAAAAAAAATTCCAGTACGGTCAACAAAAGTAATAATCTCACAACGTCCAATGAGTATTTCCAAAGAAGAAATGAACGATTCCTACATTTTTGTGACATAGTTATGCAGTAACACGTGTAGTATAAAAGTCGATAAAACGTTAGCGAGTGGTGATTTAGCTTTCTAAAACTTATGAACTGTACGATACTTATACTTAAAAATAATATCAGATTATAGTAAAATTCCATTTTTGGCCAGCTACGATACGATTGAAAACACTGTGCGGCGCGACTGTTTTGCGACTAAGGTTTGAAAGCATTTGTAGCCTAATTTTTTTAATATCTGGTAATTTTAAAAACGTTAATGAATAAAATAGAAGTCGAGCTTACCTCAGTGTGTGTGATCAATAATCTTTCTCCTGCAGGAACACATTCCCTCATATTTGTGTCCATCTTCTCTATGAAAGGGCCAACCATCCTTGACAATTCCATGTATGATTCTTTTGACATTCTATAAAAAGCTAAGAACTTTCTATCTGTTTGGGAAAGTTCTTTTGCTGCTATGAACAGCCTAGAGTAAACATTTTCTCTTAAGTAAGGGTGGACCCAATGCTCTCTCTGTACCCTGCGAAGCCTGCGGTATTGGTAATAATTAATGATGTCTTCCTCATCTGAATCAGAACTCGACATAGCAAAAACTGGAAAAACAACTGCACTATTTGAATAGAAAATACCAACTGATCCGCAAACAGTCTTGCTCGTGTGCGGACAGAAGTTTTGTTTTGGTTGTAAACTAGTTGCGCGCTCAACTGATTTGCAACCTTAGTCGCGCCGTGTGCGCTGGGCCTAAATGTAAAAAAAAAAAAATGAAGAACAATTTTATATTATTTGGGTTTGGATATCTAGATAACCATTAAAATATTAATTGATTTTTAATCTTCAGCTTAATCGTCCATAAAGCCGAAAATATTCCTCAAATTACCCCCTTAAAATCCAAGTTCTCATTCAAACAAATTAAATGAACAATTGTTGAACAAAAATTAAATCTGTAACTTTTCAATATTAATTTCTAATTAAACTGCTCGTGGTTATTTTTTACGAAAATGTATTACACTCTTTGTTTTTTTTTAACTAACATTAACACAAATATTATTTTCGAAATAACTATTGCTAATGTTTTTTTTTTTATAAAAGTTTTTCTTGAAATAGGTTTTATTATTTTTTAATCATGATATCCCTACTGACTGATATAATCTTTCCTATCCTAGCATGCTCTCGCTGTATATTGTTAATTATTAAAAATTCGTTTTGTTTTCAGCCAGTATGATTTCGCTTTTAAGCGATGGTGAGTGTTTGTATAATAAATTCGTAAAGATAAATATAAATTGCTGGGCTCGGCAAAAAACAGTATTAAAAGTTGTACTAAAGGCGGCTAAATTGATTTTTTCCACAAATCCACAAAACAAAAGAGAGGTGGTCGTTTTACCAATTGACATACAATAAATCCATGAAACAGTCTTTCTAAAATTAAAAATTTGTCAGAAATTATTGTATAATGTTGACTTACAAAATATAGTCCGTCCTCTTAACTATGATAGCTGCCTCTTCACGCCTTGTGGGTTGTTCTTTCTGTGTCTTCCGCGACTGCCGACATCTCGACGTTCGTTTGGAAAATAATTCAGCAACGTCTTGCTTACTTCAGAAAAAGTTCCAAACATTCTGACATCAAATTAAGTGCTGGACCGATCAAGTACACCGAATTGTAAGCGTGTAGAAGCAGGCAGCTGTACATAAATGATAATAGACTTCTTATGCACACTGGTTAATATTGTAATTAAATTATAACACTTTAAAATAAAATAACCGTAGATCACAATACAGGAGATTACATATGGCAAAAAGCTATACTGTGATCTAGATATACTGGTAGACTGAATACTAGTTACCCATAGTCAGTAAGCAGTAATCTAAAATCTACATAAGCAATAGGTGTTTTTTATATTGTTAGAGTGATACAAAAATTTTCCGCTGGGGTTTTGTTCACGGACCAATTGACTTCAACGATTTGCCCGTGCTAACATTAAAGATATTTAAAAAAATTAGTCAGCCCATAACTAAATAATCTAAAAATATACCACATAAATTTATAGATTGTAAATAAGAAATAGCTTGTAAATATATACAGGTTGCAAATAAAAAAAATTGTTTGTTATTGAACACATTTTTGTTTATGTAAAATAATTATATTGATAGACAAGATCAAATGTTTACCTTTTTTAGTATTCTCTAGAGCTTTATCAACCCTTGGAATTTAAATTGTATAATAGATTAAATGTTCAAATCAAGAACAATTTTCTGAAAATGTTGACAGGTCGATAACTAGTTTTGAATAAACAGTTTTAAAGTTATTAAAAATTAACATTTAGGACGGGGGAAGGGTGGAGTGTAGAGTTATTTTTATCTGTGCACAATACTTAACTGTACTCTATCTCCAGTCCTAAATTCTAAAATTTAATGATTTTAAAATTATTTGTTTAAAACTGTTTATCGACCAGTCAACATTTTCAGCATATTATTTTTAACCTTGAAATATAATTATATTTGTATGTAACCATTTAAATTTCATAAGTTCGTAAATCTCTAGAAAATACTTAATGAGATAAAAATTGAAATACTGTAATATATTGTTGTAATATAGCATAAAAAATTTTTTTTTAAAAAGAAGAACTATAAAATTGCAAATGTTTTACGATAAAACTAGTGAAGGGCGTTAAAAGAACCGCACTAAGCTATTATTAACCACTATTATTTATTGCGCTATGCTTATTTCCCTAATGTTTTTATCTATTTTGAATAGGTAACTATTGTGTATTTAACGAAATCATTCATAGTTGTTTTTTTTATACCTACTATGATTTCAGAACAAAAATACACGCTGATAACATATGTATTAGACAGAATCGAATATGGTAGGTACATTAATATGTTGTTTTTTTTAATTAAATCGTCTTTATAATTTGTGTAGGCCGTAGGGTATCGATTTGTTATTAGTAAGCAAATATTTTTGTGTTATGTTTAAATTGATGCTTACAATAATAATAATAAATGTAATGGTTCAATAAATTGTATTTACTTTTTTAAGGTACCGTTTAAATTCTATTGATTCATTAAACGTCCACGCAACCCATGCACTATAATTTTTTAACAAACAAATTTTTTCCATTTCATTTCAGATAGAATTATTGATCTCCTTTATCCGCCAGGTAAACCATAATATATTTTTTACCATCAGATAATATTGTTTTTCGTAAGGTCTGTTTTAGCATGGAACATGCTTTAGCCTTGGCCCTCAACCCGAAAACGACACTAAATTATTGCGATACTAAAGTAGCACAATAACTAAGCAACAAGATTATTGTTTAATTGACCAGAACATAATTGAATCAAGACTATACTATCATCATAAATTGCCAAGAGATAATAGGTCAGAAATAATCACAATTCAGGAGCCAGCAGGCTAAAGCATGTTCCATGTTTTATCATTTTAGCCGTTAGGCTTTAAGTAGACTTTATTTTTAGTTAGAAAATTGAATTACTTAATTACTTACAGCGAAGCAAGTGCGTCTGTGTGTTTATAAATAGAACAAGTTTTTTTTTACTATTTTTTTTAATGCTTTAAACGTGTGTAATGTGTTTGACATTTTTAAGTATTTTATTATTACTCATTATATTGAGAAGACGCCAAACAACCAACCGTAATTTTAAATGTTAAAAATCGAGATGTGGATTTACCGTACATTGTTTTCGTTCAATTTTGGCATTTACCGGTTCTACTTTGAATATGGTACAACCGGTAAATGAATTATATTAAAACAAAAGACGTAGGTACTTGATTTATTAAGATTTTTAAAAAAATGCCCTATAAGCGCTTTAAAAATTAAAATGTATGGCGCACCCTTCGAAAATAATACCTTATGATTGTTTTATAGAAGAATCGTTGTTGGCCGGTATAAGTGAAAACGGTAATTAAAAAGAAAAATAATAATCCATAGTTCCTTATAAATTAAATTTATTTATACCTCATATTCATTTTCGATGTTAACTCTTCCAGCGATTTAAGATGTATTACTTATTTTAAGCGCTTTAAAATAACTTATACTTTAAAAATTTCATGGTGAATACATTTTTTTTTATTAAATGATAACTCAGCTAACAAAAAATAGTTGTAAATAGTATATAAAATCTTTATTCTTATAATGATAAAATATAGTTTTTAATGTTTTTTTTTAAAGTAATACAATACTATAAACTTTTAAAAGGGGTAACTTTGAAAGTCAGGTAGTATATGCAACTTATGCATATGTTTGGCTACCCGTCCACCAGAATTATGTAGGTAATGAAAACTAGTTTCAAATGAATACTTGCCGAGTTCTTACAGATCATAAATACAAACCGAGAGGATAGGTTGAGTGTATTATTGTCTTGAACCCAGTTAAAACTACAATTTTAATGCAAAAAACTGATACAAAACTGATTATCTGTGACCGGTCAATTTTTCATTAAATTATTATTGCTTAATTGATTATTTTAGCTAAGTTTTTATAATAAAAATAAGTATGTAACCCGTAAAATGTTTCTCATGTTAATATTAAGTTTTAAAAGTGAGTTAATCCATTGGATTCAGTATACTATAATATTATACTGAATAATAATAATATAATTTTATTCAGTATAATATTATATTATACTGAATAAAAACTAAATATTACTATGTTTTTATTGTAGATGAAGTATATAGTACTATAATGAAAAACGAGGAAGCAATTCAAAATAAATTAAAAGCATTCATAGGTAATTGTTTACATATTTATTGTGCCTAATAGAAAACTGAGTCAAAAGTCTAAGAGCCGTACGTTTCACGATGTAATTATTCCAGTAAAATGTTGTTTAGTTATAAAACTCATTGTTTTTTCTAAATCTTAAAATACTTCCTTTTTTTTTTTTTTAGTTGCTATAACTTAAAAAATGGCAAGCTTATTATATGTCTTACTACTACTAACACATTTTTTAATGATTTTGATTTGAAATAATAGTTCAATTATTTAATATACATATAAAGACCATACTCGTAAATGTTTGATTGGATTTATGCATACATGTCAAATTAACTATTTTTATTACAGGGTCAGACCAAGAAATCAGGCTTGATGGTATGTGTAACATAATATATTTTGTAATTGGCGCATCCGAATTGTTTGCAAAAAATAAGAATTAAAAATCAAAATATATGAGTTGCATGGTTCATACTAGTCGTCTCCCGTGCCAGGTACCTAGTCGATATTTTTCTATTTCAGAGTTGCCTCCCAAGGTTATCCGAATTCCCTTCCAGCGATCCCTTATAAGTCAGGTAAACAGTACAACGTAATTATATTTATGTGTTCATAGTTTAACATACATACTTGCAATCTGCATAATGCCAAATTGTAGTTTGTACATTATTCTAGAATAGAATTATATAGTATAAGAAAAAGTAAATAAATACAATTCAATATGATTTAAAATCAAAATATATATATATATCAAATAGATTAAAAATAAAAATGGATACTAACACTTTTAAAAACTTAATTTAACTTATGAATGTTTATATCTATTGGATATAATTTTTTGGTATTCAAAGCAAGTAATAAATTTCTTTATTATCTAGTTGTTTTATTATGGGATTTATAAAGTTAATTTAGTTTTTATTCTAAGATTAGGTATAATTTTTGGCTTGCAAGAGCTGCGAATTAAACTTTTTGTTACAGTCTGTATAATATATTTTAAAATATAAATAAATTTAAATATATTAGGATGCGTCGAATCGAAGTAACTTCTACATTTACTGTGGAACAATGATTCACAGGCGTGTTGTATGCTAGAATTTTTTTCGGCCCAAATGGTCGGTGGAAATGCTGAGTACTCTGCTGTATAATTTTCTACTAAGTAATTTGCAAACGCTGTAACTTTTTCATTCGACGGCCTTATAGAAGTCCAACGAAAGTACATTGCCAACTTCGTCTGGATCAAAAAATGACAAACCAGTTATGTATGTAAAGTAGGTTCTTATTGATTCACAATGTTCATACAATGTAGACAAACCCAACGGCTATTGGGTTTGTGACAAAAATATTGAGTACCTGTCACGAGAGACATCTAGTAGTAGTGTATGGTATGACCCTAAAGTTATGTCAAGAAAGGGACTTATTAATGATGGACAATCGATAAAGCTGAAAACTTTTGTCTATAGTTTACAAAGTATAAATTCTATACTAAAATAAAATTACTTATGCAATTATTTATCAAAATATTATGTATAATATTATAGGTATATCCTCCTATAAAACAGAGGTATTGATCAGAAGAAATCTTTTAAATAGGACCTTCCGCCAAATTCTCGAAGTAAACATGAGTAAGCATTTGTGTGATATTAGTTGTTTAGAACTAAAATATAGATGTGTATTCACGTCCTTAAACCCAAACTTTGGTATCTAACATTACCTTTGTATGATAACAAAAAAAATGAGAGATGAAAAAAATTGGATTTAAGTGTTCGCGTCTCTAATGTCTAACCAGATTTGGTATTTTTTATTCGAATAACGAATAATAACTAATTTATTCGAATAATCTCTTTATTCGACCAAATCTAAGATGATTTCTTCGAGTAATTGTTTTAATCCACTAAATCTAAAATGTTTTATTCGAATAAAAAAATTATTTAGAAAATTATCTAAATAATGCCCAACTTTGTGTCTAACAACAAAAACATTCAAGCGAAAGCATACATCATTTGTATTTTCAAAAACCTAAATTTAGTGGTAAATTACACTATGACCGTAATGTATCAATTTCGGTCAATATTATTATCCACAGATTCGTATCGAACCGTTTATTTAAATATGATCTTATCACTTTCAGTTATCATAATTCCTGTAGACCTGTGACCTCCCTGTTCCCACTATGATGACCCGACCCCGCTGTACTGGGTTTTTATATTTATTTACGATATATTTTTACAGATCACATTCAAATGTGCATAAACGGCGAAAGTTATAAATGTAAATTGATCGGGTTAATCAAGCGTACAGTTGACTATCGGACGAAAAATAAAACAAAATGTGACGAAACCAATGATGGTACTTGTTATATAACTCCGACGGCAAATATTATATTACATGACATTTTATTAGTACCCGAAGTGCCGCCGTCAGAATTGTATCAAGATTATCTACACGACTACAGATATGTAACACCAAATATGATTCCATATTATGAAACTTTTTTATACGAGAGTGCGCAGGGACTCGTACCTTGGTCATGCGAGGTACCGCCAATAGAAGAGGAAGAATCAGATGGCGAGTAAATGTAATTTCTTGTTGCCTTTGATTGTGCATCTATTTTAGTTAAAATCATTGTTTTATTTACTAACTGTTTTAACATCAATATGGTAAATATATTAAGTAATAAAATGTTAAGCATAATTATAGAATATTACAATCAATAAAACCTTTGTAAAATTATATCATTTAATAGCGTAAAACCAACACAGCAGAGGAGAATCCAAGGGGTACCAATTCAATTATTGTTAAAAACAGATTGCAAAATACCGCAACCTCCAAAAACATATAAATGATTCAATTTTTTTTTTTTGTAAAGTGGAGAAATTTACTGCATGTGTTTTTTTTATACTTTTAAAGTTTATAATTTGGCTAGTGTAAAATATATTTTAAGAAAACATAACACAGTCATTTATGTGTTAATACCTTACGAACATAAGTTTTTAAAATGGTAACTGGTATTTACGTGGCAACACTGTTACTTTTAATCAATATTTCTTTATCATATTTTATATATACATATATACTTATGTGTATAATGTACGTTTTCACCTAGCATGATTGAAGTCTATAAAGTATACATGTTTTTCTTCTGATGTAATATTAAATATTGTAAGTATAATTTATCCAAACCTATCTTTAAAACTTAACAGTGGCGTATATATTTGATTAACTTTTTGAATTAAGAATAATTTGCTGAAGATGTTGACTGGTCGATAACCAGTCTATGATAATTACTTGGACTACTAGTAATTAAGTTTAAATTTTGGACGGTAGGAGGAGTGCGGTAGAGTAATGCATATTATAACCGGAAGCGTTATTAATACAGGACTATTTAAATTTCATGTTACAGTATCCTATTTGTTTGGCTATGAAATAACCGGTGTTAGATACAAAAAAAGATTTACATAAAATCTTTAATACATTAAATTACCAAAAATTAAAATTAAATAAAGTTTATTAAAGTTGTATTTTAAAAATAACTGTTCAAGGGGTAATTTTTAAAGGACTTTTTTTTTTACAGAAATTGTCTTACAACATTTTAAAATTGTTACTCTTCATTTTCAAATTTATTTGAGGAAAAATTAAAGAAAAAAGCCAGCACAATAGTGGTGTTAGGGCATAGTGGGGGCGGGGAGATTACAGGTCTACAGGAATTATTACAAGTAAAAGTAATATTATCCCCTTGTTGCTTACGTCGGATCGATACGATATCCGTCGCTCTTACATCAGACCCCGCGGATACCGATAAAAATTAACACGGGGAACATACTTCTCACTCACTAAAACGCGGCGACCATCTTCTTAAACTCTTCATGCACAGAATTTTTTAATTTAAAAGAAAAAGTTCATTTTTACGGATATTCGGCTGAAAAGACTGAAAAAAATAATAAAAAAATTCCACGGTCAACCCTTACTTTGTTACCGAGGGTAACAACCCCCGGCATCAAATGATACTTCTATGCAAGTCTGCAACAAATACAATTTATTTTAACTTTTCAAGATTTGTTCTTATTTCACATAAAAACATTAAGAATGCTCATATTATGAACACAGTTATAAAATAAATAATAAACATGCTACTCGCGTTTTATATAGTCTACAAGAAAATTGTATTTTAAATTTAAATAATTAATAATAAAATATATTATTAATAACAGAGGTATTAACATATTGTTTGAAACTCCTTAAACCCAGATGGTCCTGCTGATGTAGATGGACCTAATGACTTAGTTACTACAGGTTGTTTTGCTATCGTTTCAATGTCAGATATATTGCAATTATTTTGTTTATCAACAGTTATAATAATACCATCAATACCATCACTTATACTATCATCATTCACAAACCTTATATCATCATTTATATTGCCTAAAAAGTCACTAATGTCATGATAAGCTAGATTCAATTTTTCGATACTAAATTGGTCATAACTATTTTTGTTTTTTTCATTTTCAACATCAATATTACTGTCATTGTCATCACTATCACAAAAACTAACTTCTGAGCCGGAGGGTATATCAAAATCCAAGAAACATTAAATTTCTTCATCTTGTAAATTATTCATAATTATATACTAAAACAAAATTTAAAAAAATAAATTTTTAGAAAAAAAGTTGTAACACAGTAATAGGTACTTTTTTTGCACGGTGGTATCGTTTGGTACCTTGTATATTTACGTAAATTGTACAACTCCTAAACTACTAAAGAACCAAAACTTAATAAAAAACACTTCCCTATAACATATTATGTGTTGTACATAATTTTTCTAAATTGTAATTTTAACGTATAATAATGGAAAATCATTAGTTCCACCGGTAAAATGTGTACTTTATCACTATCGGAGTTAATCACATTTGGATTTGTTTTATTTCTTATATATAAACCTAGTAACAAATAAAGTGATATGATTCTTATCAAATGTACACAAGTGATACTTTTATGCAGCTACGGACCAAAAAAACACATTATGTAGTTTATCATACATGTATTATGTTATGGTATCATATGATACCTACATGCATGAAGAGGTTAACTCTTAAGGCTACATCACTACAATGTTATACCTATATATTATTATTATTTTTGTTGTGTTTAGATACAACATATTATAATACTAAATAGTCCGTCACACAAATATGACCGTCACTTTTTTAATTTCTTTGAAAGTGACCCTTCTGCTATAATATGTTCTGTGCCGAATAATAGTCCCGAGGTGAGAATAGGCCAGGCCTCATAACCCTTTATAGGGCGGAGGGAAATTATTTTCCGCTGAACTGAAAAAAAATCCTCAGCTCTGTAAAAATAAAAAAATTATGTTTAAAACGTAGATTTGCAATTTGTTAGTATTTCTGTACATAACGAAATGTTCATATTTGTCGTAATGCCATCTGCTGGTGAATTATTCAAGAATAAGTAAATATGTGGGAAATAATTTCCCACTGCCCATTCAAAGCACAAAAATGTTGCTATAATTTCATTGTTTTTCACGAAACTGTTATTTAGGTTATATTCTCGAGGGAAAATAAAACAACTGATTATCAAGATGATAATACGTGTTTCGCGCTTTTTTTCATGTTATCATCAATGTTTCCGAACTGTGATAAATTATTTTTACAGATAATATAATATCATTCGATTTTGCCGTATTTATTTTAATACAGTTTTAAATCATTTGTTTAAGTACTGTAAATTAGTTTAACAACTATAAGTAAGTATATAATTAAACTGTATTACGTATAGAAAAAAATCTCCACAAACTTAATACTTGATATTAAAGTAAATTTTTTTAACACATTTCTGTCTTTATAATTCACTATATCTAGGGTAAACATTTTGCGGGAGAGGGGGGGGGGGTAGAGCTAAAATTTAAAAAAACGATGAAAGGATTTTGTCTATTTTTTCTAGAAAATTATCACTTAACATTTTAGAAGGGGTGAGATAAAACTAAAAAAAGGTTATAAGAGCTTTTGCCTATATTTGTCTATGAAATGATCGCTAAAAAAAAATTTTTTCGAGGGGGTTAATTTTGGAAAAGGAATTATAGCCCCTCGAGAACCTCTATTCATACCTTTATCACTGTCACTGAAGCAAATATATTAAAAAATGCATTCAGTTTGAATATTATGGGTAGTGGGAAATAATTTCCCTCTGCCCATACAGATATAACCTAAAATTACGCATGTAGGATAACGGGCGTAGGGAAATAATTTCCCACCCACTTTTTACCTAGTGCAAATTGAAAAAAAAAATATTTTCAAATATTTTTCCTAGTAACTAGGGCCTTGTATATGTTATCCTGAAAATTTCATCCAATTTGGTGGTAATTTTTACCTGTGCCGTATAAAGGGATAATGGCGACCATTACATCTGTGCAGGTACTCGGTGGGCGAACGACGTGTCTCCGACGCGGTATCCACCTCCCCCGTGGCCCGGTGCAGTAGACATAAACAATGAATGGCACGTGCGAAGGTCGTGACTCGTGATGATGCACGTGTGTGGTGTGTGTGTTATCACTCAAGTTCATATTATAAAACAGACACACGGTGTATCCTGTACATAAATCTATTTTTGAGAAGTCTGACTTCGTTCGCAGAGTGAGTACTTACCTACTTAGTTCAACGTCGTCTCGGTATACTAAGGTGTGTGTGTGTGTGTAAGTCTTATAAGTACGTTATGTTATACAAAACGTCTGCATACTTTTTTAAATCTGGATATCTTCTCTTTGTTTAGCATTATAAATTGTCTTAACCGTTCATTTGCCGAACAACAATAGCGAAAAAACTTTTAGATGACATCGCCGTAATTTAATAATAATAATAATTATTATTATTACGACTTCTTTCTCATTACAATGAGACATATTTAAAAACTGACAACTGTAACTCCCGCTTCACACAAACTTTACTCATAGGGTTAGAAATTTAAATATGCAATATAATAGGATGGAAACGAACACTTTCATTGTTCTTGAATCTTTGAACAAATATCCGGTCTCAAAAACATTTTTATTTTCTATACTCAAATCCGAACAAGATTATCATATTATGATATTGAGGATAACTCTTGGTACGGCTTTTGAAAAATCTGACGGTCCCTGTGTTGAAATTTTACGGAATAATTTTTTTTTAAAAATTAACTACGTATTAATATTGAATTTACCTTTCAGCTGTTTACAGATATTTTGTCATTTTTTGTTATATAACGATTGAAAATGGGTATTAAAAAGCTACAAGTGTTATGTTCGTTTGTGTTAACTATTGGCACGGCCATAAGTTATATAAAATGCGAAACGCGTGAAGGTATACATTAAATCACTTCTCAATAATTGTAATTAATATTATTTACTACGATATTATCATTCCAGATTGTCGTATTCTGATTTTCACTACCAGTGAGTTAACATTTTTTTTAAACATTTGGACAGTTTGTAACGTTACCACATGATTGAACAACTAACCAAATAAGTCATTATCTTATTTTGTGTATACAATATTGTATCTTTTTTTCGTCTATAAATGTCATTAACCATATTCTTTTATTTCGGCATTTTTAATATAGTTAAATATTTTAAACAACTTCTTGACTGGTTTGGTACTTGATGCTCTTGGAAATGAGCCATAGCTCAAATAATCAAAGAGGTGATTATTTGAATGATACGTTGCCTCTTATTATTAACAACTGACTAATTCCCAAAGTCATACATTAGTGCAAATGTGATAAAAAGAAACAGAATAAATGCATTCAGTAGCCTTCAGCTTAATCTGTCAAAAAAAAAAAAAAATATTTTTAAAATCACCTCCTCAAACCCCAAGTCCCTCATTTAATTGGATTAAATAAACAAAATAAATGTTACTTTTTGTTGCGAAAATGTTATTTTCTATTTACATTTTTCATGGTTGTTTATCGTGCAATAATTAATTACTCACACTTTTGTATAACCTTCGTTTAAAAATGTATTTAAAATATCTTAATACAAAAATTACTTTTGTTTTCAGCAAAAATGATTAAGAAGTTAAGCAGTGGTGAGTGTTCGCATATAATAGTATATGTGAAATTATGAAAAATGAAATCTAAAATAATTAGCCCTACGCCTAACAACTAAATAATATTTAACAACTAAAAACTGTTATATGTTTTCTTTTAATATAGGTTAGTTTGTATTAGCTTTAATGGTATAACTTTTGTAACATTTTGGTGACGACTATACGGGAAAATCGATTAAACACTCGCAAAAAATAGATTTTAAGATGTTTTTTTTTTGTTTGAAAAATAACTTTCTACAGTCCGCATTGATCTCAGATTTAAAAAATTCAATTTCTTAAGCCGTAGTAAAAGTTTAAGTCTTTTTTTACGAGAATATTTTCATAGAACTGTTTCAAAAAGAAATTAAAAAAAGCAATATCTAAACTCAATTACTCTACGAGACGTCACTTTTTCTGGGCAAGATTAACTGTTCACATTATAGCATAGATTATAAATACTAGTATTGTAATCGTTAAAGTAATAGACCACATGTTAAATTTTTAAATTTGTTTATTGAATAGTTAAAACATGTGCTATAATCGTGATACACATTATTTTCTAATCCTTCGAATTGTTTAACTTTCAATTTTTCACTATTATATAACACAATTTGGTGAAGACAATTTGTCTAATGTTTTATACCATATTAAATAAGTATTAAACTTATGTTTATGTAACGAAATCATTCAGAATTTGTTTTTGTACCATAATTTCAGATCAAAAATGTACGCTGATAAAATATGTATTAGATGAATTCGAATATGGTAGGTATATTATTATTGTTTTTAATCAAATCGTCTTTAAAATTTATTTAGTATACTTAAGGACGCCGTAAATTTCTATTGATTTATTAAACGTTTACTCAACCCACGCACTTTAGATTTTTTTACAAACAAGTTATTCTTATCTTATTTCAGATACCATTATTGATTTCCTTTATCCGCCAGGTAAACTATAAAATATGTTTTACTATAGTATATTTTAGCTTCGATATGTAGTTAAAAATATATGTATTGTATTTAAAAAAATTTTTTCTGTATGGAGTATTAAGAAATGCGAATGATCAACTATAATCGTACCATATCCATCCTATTATTAGAAATATTGTTTTAAACGAATTTTTACTTGCACAATGTTTTTTTTATCGATATTCAACAAACACAATCCATTAAGGCGTTTATTTAAAAGTGGTTTCATCACTTTCAGTTAATAATCCATGAAAAACCTGTGACTCATAGGATTATGATAAAAATATACTGTGTGAAGTCCTTTTTAAATATAATATATTGCATTTGTTTTAATAGATGAGTTGTTGCTTACCAACAAAAGTGAAGACGGTAATTTAAAAAAAAAATTAGTATAATAATTACTATAATATTATTTATTTTAAGATATTATTCTGTCAACGGTTTAACATTAATTCATTTTTTTCATTACCCACGTGTCACCACACATGTTTTACCATACCTATTCCATTATTTTAAAATTGTATGATGGATACCTTTTGAAAAAAATGTTTTAATAATATATTTGTTAGTCTAATGATCAAATTGTATAATGATGAACTTAAAGATATTATTTTAAGCTTTTAAAGGAGTGTTAAGTATAAGGGGGGTCTGGGTGGTCACTTTTAAAAATTAGGTAGGTTTCATTTGCCTATCATAATTATGTAATGAAAATAACAACGATTCCAAACTAGTTTCAAATAAATATTTATTGAGTTATTATAATTAAAAAATATAAGCCAAGAGGATAGGTAGAGTGTAGTAATAGTTTTGTAACTTGTAAAAATTAATTTAAAAGTGGTTATCAATTATCAGCCATTTTTTCCATTAAATTACTATGGGACAAATAAGTATTAACTATTTTAGCTAAACCCGTTATTTTTAAGAAACAACAAGTAATGAGCCTGTGAAACTTTACAAGTTACTATCAAGTTTTAACAGGGAGTTAATCCATTGGATTTAGTATAATATTATGTCTTTATTATAGATGCAATATATAGTATTATAAAAGAAAATGAGGTCGCAATTCAAAGGAGAGTAACAGAGATCATAGGTAACTGTTTACATATTATATTCTATTGTGTCAAATAGAACACTGAGTCAAAAAGCCACTTACACCCCCCTCCTTCTCGGTGTATTGAAAGTGTAACTTTTTTTTTTAGTATAATATAGGAAATAGAAAAACTTTTTACGTTTCTCATTACCAAGAACCAGATACCAAAAAATCATGTTACACATCAATTAAATAAGATTTTTTCTCCTGTTTTCAAATCAGAAATCATTTTTTTCGTAAGACAATTTTTTAATGAGATACGAGTCCTCTTTTAAATAGTTTTTAAATTAAAAAAAATGAATACCATTTATTGTACCTATAGAGCACCCTGAATGTCTCATTTGAAGCTCGGTAGAACTTTCCGTGACACCCTGTATATATATATATATATAACAAATGGATTTATGCATATATTATGTCAAATTAAGTATTCTTATTACAGGGTCAGACCAAGAAATCAATCTTGAAAGTAAGTATAACATGTATTTTATAATTTGCGCATCCGAAATTTCTGTCCTATTCCTACCATGTACAATGTGTACCATACATATACGAGCTAATAATATTTAAAACGATTATTTTCTTCAGTACAATTACTAAAGTAACATTGGCGAGTATATTATAATAATTGTTCAATGTCCCTACAATCGACTATACATTATATAATTAAAGGGCAATGGGTAAAACTGAAAATTGTAAAACCTTGATTTTAAAATAAAAAAAATAATATTAATATCGAAAAAAAATATATAATATATCATTTTATAGGTATGTCTTCCTATGACACTGAGGTAGCAAAAAGAGGAAAACTTTTGAATGTAATCTTTCGCAATATTCTCAATGTAAAAATGAGTAAGTATTTGTATGATATTTTTTGCTTAGAACTAAAATATAGTGGACGTAATCCTTAAACACAAACCTCGGTATAACGTTGATTATACAAACAAAAAAGGATGGGAAGAAAAAAGAAAGACTTTAGAAATTGGTAAAACAATGTTATTTAAAACAAAATTGTATTGAAGTGTTCCCGTCCCTAATGTAATAGCAAAAGCTTATATACATTTTTTTTTTTTTGTAAAATCTAAATTCGGAATTACTTTATTTTTATTAATTCTCGTCGTTATATAGACTTTTATTTATTATTGCCTATTATTGCTTTTGGGGTAAACCGTTTTATTTGGAGTGTACATATTAGGTGTTACATGTTTTCAAATTCGAAAACATTAAAAAATACCCTACCTAGGCACAGGGGCGACTCCAGACACTTGGGGCTAATAATCATAAAACAACAAAAAACAACAATTTTTACAACGCAAATTCAAGTCGTCGATTTTAAGGGCCTAGCCCCCCCCCCCCCCCTTGGAGCCGCCCCTGCCCAGACAATTTTTTTTGAATTTCTCGTTTGATATTGTTATTTTTTAAACAAATGATTTTTTTTTAATGCATTTCTATTTAATTGTTTGTTTGTGAACAAACAAACTTTTTTTTTTAAAACTATATTATAATAATATTACAGGACACTCTCAAATGTGCGTGAATGGCGAAAGTTATAAATGTAAATTAGTCGGGTTAATCAAGCGTACGGTCGAGTATAGGATGATCAATGTACCGAGATGTAGTGATGACAATACCGGTACTTGCTTTATAACACCGACAGGGTGGTTAACGTCGGGCGTTCCAATCAAATTCTCATTTCGACCCAAAGAATTATATCAAGACCGTCAATGTGGCATCAGAAGTCTGTATTTTGAAACATTGTTGTACGACCGAGTTAACCTCGTAAAATGGCATTGCACCGTACCGCCAAGAGACGAATATTCAGACGAGTAAATCGAATTGCTTGTCGATGTGCTATCTATTTCAATTAAAAGCATTGTTTTATTTACTAAATGTTTCAATATCAATATTATCATACTGAGCTAATATACCTACTAATCAATACAATCGTATTGGCTAAAATAAAACGTTACATTCAATATTTTTTCAATGTGATTTTATAAAAAAATTTATTTTGTTTTAACCGCCTCCCAAACTAATTATTTTCACATCAACTTTTGAAACTTAAACCGGAACGTATATATTTTGTTGACTTTTTAAATTTAAGAATATTTTACTAAAATGTTTGACTGGCTGATAACCAGTTTTGGACAACTAACTTAAAAGTTACAAGAGTTGAAAAGTTAGGACGGAAAGGGAAGTGCGGAGCAGATAAAAATAATTCTATTCTCCACCTTTCCTCCTGCCCTAAACTTAAAACTTCAAAAATAGTTATCTAAAATTTGCTATCGGCCAGTCAACATTTCTAGTACATTATTTTCAATTAAAAAACTTAATGAAATGTATTCGTTCCGTTAATGTTTCAAAAGTTACTATTAAAAAAAAACTAAGTTGGGAGGGGGTAAAAACAAAAAATTAAAATCACATTGTATAAAAACAATATGAAAAGAAAATATTACATTTCACATAAAACCTAATGAGATATAGAGCGGATCGCCCTGTATTCAAAATTCGCTGTTCGGCTTAGCGATTCCGGCATAGGGACCTTACTTGAATTTTTAATTAAAATTGAAAAACATAATAAAATGTGTTATAATCCGAATTTCTATAATCGGTTAGATAAGAAGTATACAATTTGTTTTGCCGTACAATTTAGTGTTAAAGATACCTGCGAATTGTAATATATTAACAACTATAAAGGCAAACAGCGCGTGCCGGTCGTTGGTTTGCCGTCAGCAATGTGTTCAGACCATATTTTGTATAACGGCACGTGTATAAAATATAGACCATATTTTATACAACGGCACGTGTATAAAATATAAGACCACAAAATGTGGCTTTCAAATTGGTCGATAGCAACTCATTCTAAATACTATACTCTAAAACGAGTGTCCGATAATGGTTTTTAAAAAACAGATATAGCTATATGTTTGGTGCATTGATCAAAGCCCATTTTAAACATTGTTCTCATAATGATATAAGAATGCGAGTGTAGAGACCCTTTCTCCCCTCGAAGGGGTGGACATTTTCCCTTTTTTTCGATTTTTTAAGCGTAGTTTTTAGACTTTAAATCTAAAAATTAGCTTGTCGGTAGATCTTCCGCGGCCCTTAATTGTAGGTAATTTTTCAAAAATGTGTGGTTAACTGTGGCTGGACACAAAAAATTGCAAGTCGCAATGAAAAAACAATTTTAATCTAATATTCTTATTTCAAAGATTCCATATTCGAAATTATTATTTATCCGATAGTTTCATGATGACGTATGAAAGTATTTAAAAGTGTAAAAGATGAGATGAGAAACCTCAACGAAGCACACTATTCTTTAATGTAGCTAATTCGACGGTGGTTTTTAAACAAGTGCGTTGCTTGTCGACTTCAAATAATATAACTTTGTAATCGCACACTTTAAGATAGGTTCAATATCAAGATTATTTTAGAGACCACAGGTATCTTAGTACTAAGAACGTATGTTTAGATTAAGATCACACGTTTGAAACATCACATTGAGTTGTTGCAATTCCTAAAGATTTTTCCGCCTACAGTGGTGAAAAATGATGGACCAACAAAAATGTTTTATGCCACAATAACCAATAGTTTTGGTGTATTTACAGATTAGTCAGCCATTTTAGCCAAAAAGTACATGTTAATAATTTCAGTCTGGGTTTTAAATTAGTTAACCATTTTTGGTTATTGGTGTCACAGCGGTAGATTCTGCCGCTAAGTATTTTTTTTTTTTTTTTTGGAATCAACATGGTAAACATTACTGTTTTTGTAATAAAAATCAAACAAATGAAATCATTTCAATAAATTTATATTTTTTATACAGTTTATTACAATATGTTAAAACATTTTACAGATAATACAATTATTATTGATTTCTTAAAGCTTAAGACAAAAAATTATAATAATACCATATTAAACGTAAACATTATGGTACGACAATTAGCTGATTGATTTTATCATAATTTGGTTATGAATAGGTAGTGTTTTAGAATTTTTTCTGTCGATCCAGTTCAAGTTAGCATTATACCATTTTCTCCGTTAAAAACTTAACAACATCACCACCATATGACTTGTCGCTAATTTCTATTACAAGGTTCTTAAACTGTTCCTGATTCATAGCGTCTAAAACAAAATATATTTTGTTTAAACTAATAAGTAAACATGTATTATATATATGTTTATAAGTCTCTAGAGTATAAACAGCATTTGCACTCTGCACGGTAGCCCAGAAAAATTAAAAAACTACAAAAACTCTCTTGCTTTTATTTTAGACTAGCGCGAAAAGTTATATATTTTATAATACTTTTTTTTTTTAAGTTATAAAATTATAAAAGAAGGAGGAATCTTCACTGTCTATTTATTAATTAGCAAACAAAATTAGTGTTTTCCAAAATAAGTATATTTAAATAGCTCTTTAACTTCCACAACGAAAGGAAACTAATATTACTATTATTGTAAAACCATTAATACAACGAATTTGGTCGTTTCGAACAATTACAGATTTTGTTCTATTCTCTCCACGATAACAGTTAAAAAACCTACTTATCAAATTTAGAAGTGAACATTCATTTCTTCTAGTTCCAATATTTAACAGCTGTATTTTTTTTTTTACTGCTGATATCCAGTAGTTTGAAAAAATTGCATGTATATCAAAGTAAAGTTATTGTATTTATTGTACATAAAATGTCCCACGTTAAGTTCGCTATTTGTCTTTAAAAATATATCATCTTAAGCTACACATGACCATTTTTTTTTTCAATTTGAGCGTTGTATTTTTAATGATAAAAAATTTAACTAAATGAAGATTTTTATTAGCATTTTTTAGCTAAAATACTTTTATTGTGGAACAAAATAATACAGTAACATACAATTTTAAGCATCGAGTATTTAGTTTGTTACGTGATCATGTCTACATAATGATTTTACTTTATGATAAATATTTATTATGTTTAAAATGTGAAAAAATTCAAAAACATACGTTAGTTATAAATACATATGTTAGTTTGTATACATGCGAGTGAGAACGGACGTCTTCACAACTTTACATAAAAAAAAATTATTTTAAAATGATATAGTTACTTTGTTGATTTGTTGGAAGCTTCCCAAAGGAAGAATTTCTTACAATAGTTCTATTAGTTGTGTTATCTCCCACAAACGTGAAAAATATAGACAGGTTAATAGTTTTGACAGACAATCCAATTTTCGCTAGACAGTAATCGAACGCTTTTTTTATAACCTGAAATTTGTTTTCACTTTAATCATTGAAAAAACCTAAGAATCGGCATTATTTGAATTATTGTTTTTATTTCATGTTAATTAAATTAAGTTTTTTACTCATTAATGATTTTATAATCATGGCTCAGAGGTTATCATGGTTGAATAGGTAATTTAATCTTGGGTAATAATTAATATTTAAATTATTCATGATTATAATATCATTAATGAGTAACAAATTTAATTTAATTAATATAAAATTAATGAAATAATAATATAATGATATACATATGATATATTATTCATATTTTAGTACTTAAAATAAGCATTATCCAATAAAAATGTAATAAACATTTCACTTTATAGTAATTTTTCTATGAAATAAAATACATTAAATATCAATATGCAATATAATTAATATGGAACATAGTATAACTAAATATTAATTTATGTCAACCCTTTAGTGTTCATTGTAGTAGAAATGCCACATGCTTATTATATAATTTTATTTTGTTAGAAAAAATACATATAATTTAGGTGACGCCCTCTAGTTGGTAAATAAAAGAACAATTTTTATTAATCAATATTTTTAAGGGAAAAGTTACTGTTTGAAATTTTTGTTTTTTAGAGCCCCGTGTGTCCGTCTGCCTCCAACCTTCACCGGTCGTATAGTCATTACAAGTAAAACATTGACAAACATATTAGATTTATACAGTCAAGTGTACGGTGTCCTAGAAAATATAAAACAATTACCTTGTCTTGGTCGTTTGCACCCTGTGTAGGGTTAACAGCTAACAAACACGATATAAACAAAAATATAGTGAACTTGTACATTTTATTCAAATATAAGCTCAAGCGCAAAATGAATTATAATATGTTCTTTCTGTACTTTGCAGTTTAATAGTGAACTGTACAGTGCAAAACAACTGAGTTTTATGCAAAAAAAAAACAACAAATGTAAATAATAAATATATTTTTTTAAAATATTTTTGCTTGAATAATATAATATAATAATAAATGTTCGTGTAGTATATTGTGGAAGCGAGCAAACAGTTGGTTCGTTTTGCACAAACAAAAGTCTTAGTCGGCAGACGGGTGACCTAAGTTTGTATAAGTGTTTAAAAATATTTTAATATAAGCAAGAGGGAGAATCTCGGTATCGGCTAGAGGAAAACAATTTCGCTTTGCTTCCCCCTAGAAGGGATTGAATTGTGTTCTTCATTTAACTTTTTCAAGCATTTTTCAAGCATTTTTATATATATATATATATATATATATATATATATATATATATATATATATATATATATATATCTATAAAAATATATATCTTAGTAATAAAACAAAATTTGTTACAACTGTAAGTTTTACTAAGACCACGTGTATTTAAAATACACGTGTAGAACAGTCAGCTCTAGTATTGACTTATAGTCTCGCCTGTAGGCCATACCTAAATGCGTGCAATAAACAAAATATATATATAAAAAAAACAACATATTTTAGCGCACATGTTACAATTGTGGTGTAAGTAATAAAATTCAACGAAATATTAGATGCAGAGGAATTCTGCATAAACCTGTGACCTCCCCGTCCCCACCATGCCCCGACCCCACTGTACTGGCTTTTTTTTATTCTAGGTGTGAATCATAAAAACTTATTTGTTTTTTTGTCATAATAGTTTGTCTTTTAGTCTAGAAGATAATACATAATAATATGTTTTAATGTAAAACATGCAGTGGTTTTTTGTTCGTTGTAATTTTATTTATGATACATAGACAACAGCTGTTCAAAAATTGTTTACGATTTCTGAAAGCCTTGTTATTGTAATAGCAGATGTTCTTTTAAAGTAGGCTATACTTCTTTACTATACATAAAAAAGCAAAATAAAGAAAACGAAAAAATAATGAACTTTTTCTAGGAGTTATAATACATAATGTTGTTATAATAATTCAGATCAGAAACGTCATACTAATAAAGCGAGCGTGCCACTTGCTTAAAGTACATTTTTTTTTTTTTAATTTGAATGATATGTTGAAAATCAAGTATCCGGTGTTGGCTTAGTGTAAGCAAAGGCTTAAAACAGAAAGAAATGTTTAGAGGCCAGTCGGCTAAATGTCTAGTATGGTGTTCCTATGTGAAACAAAACTTTTTCAAACGTTTGTAGTACCTATATTATATGTCCAGATATTGGTCGAAACACCCAAAAAGTGTGCATATTTTTCATTTTAAAATTACGATGCTTTATAACTTTTTTTGAAAATAGTCGAATTAGTTCCAAACGTGTATGGGATATTCTTTAATCACAGTATTATCGATTAACATTGACAAACAATAAAAAAACTTGATCGAAGTGCCAGCCGAAATCTATCGGCACGGGAAAGAACCGAAGCCGATATTGAATCTTTGCGCCTAATCAATTATGGGTAGGCATCCTAACGCACATTTTCATGGTTAGCTGATCAAATGGCACAACGGTAGGAAAGCTGGACGATAACAACGCGCGATCGACGCAGACTTTGAAGAAAATAGGCAGCTTATATTTACAACGTGAAACAGAAAATTAAGTTATAATACATAAGAGAGGGGGGGGGAGTTTCTTATGGCCGCCACAGTGGTCTGAGAATGAAATTTAGGTGGCAAAAAAAGACCATTAATAATGTTTAAAAAAAATCAATTTTTTTTTCTAGGATCTCGTTAGTATATGATTACTAGTGTAAGTATAAAATTTCAACTTAATAACATTTTGTGAACTGCAGTTATAGCCAAGTGAACTAAACACATATTGTTTATTCTGTTATTTTGAAAATAAAAATGCCGATAATTCATTAATTTTTTTTTGGCTATTGAAATATATAAAATAAAAATGCTCGATTGTTAAGTAACATATAAATATTATAAAATAAAAATTATTATTACAGTTTTTTTTTTTTTTCAAAGACTTCAGTTAACATTTACTCAATTTTACCCTATACCCAATATATGCATTTTGTAGAGGGAGTTTTCAGCTATAAGAATATATAATTTTTTATTGCGTCCCGTTACATCTCCAACGCACAAAAATCATATTGTCATAAAAAATGATGTTAACAAATAAATTTAATTGCTTGTTTTTGTCAAGTGTATTTTAGTTAAACGTTGTTTTGTCTACTATACGTTTCATATACATCATACATATATATATCATCATATATATATATATATATATATATATATATATATATATTTATATATATCATACTGACTAATAAAACATTTCACAATCGATATACTTTTGTGTAATTATATCATATTATTATAATAGCAAAAAACCAGCAATTTAAAAAAATCCAAGGTGCAGTAATTTATAACATAGATGACCCTATAGGACCCATCGTGACTCAAACCCACTGTACAGTGGCTATTTTATACTTGCAATGCGCACTGTACTTTTATACGATTGCCCTAAAATATTATTTTTTAAATCACAGCTTGACAGTTTGATCGCATTAAGCATATTATTTTAGAATTTGTGCACAACAATATTTTAGTATATATTTTTTTCCACTGCCTTTTGATTATAGTTAATTAATTAAAAATCCTTCTAGCCTTTAATAAAATATCTTATTTTGTATTAAGGAAGAGGGATGGGAGAAAGGAGAGGAGAGGAGATTAAGCGTCAAAAATCAAACAAATATTATTGGTTAACGCCGAGCCTAAAAACTTGTTTCAACAAAAAAAAAAACACTTGTATGGGAAATCAAATAATTCTTTGTTCGCTTTATACCGAATAAAACAAACACAATGTCAATTTAATGAAATTTACTGTTTGATTTATTCTACAGTATACATTTTTAATTTTAGTTGGGGCTTTTTAGTTCACTATAAAACTAACAATTTTAGGAAGACAAATCATTCGTTTTGTTGCCGAGTTAAACACTAGAGTATAAACTCTAATAAAATGTATTTAAAATACACTATTTTGTTAATATCTAACTTTTTAATTGCTATCCATATACTGGGTGCACCATCGGGTTTAAACCCAGAACTTACCGAGGAAAAAGTTAGTTTATTTATTTTCTCAGAAAATAACACTTGATTGTACAATTTTCTACTATGTAGGTGGGCGCATCGTTAAGTTCGGTCCCGGCACGTACCGGGGACAATGTAAGTTTTATATATTTTTTTAAGACAATCACACTTGATTGTACAATTATTCTAATTTAAACAGGTGGTCGCATCGCCAGGTTCAGTCCCAGCACGTACCACGGGCAATGTAAGTTGTTTTATATTTTCTGAGACAATAGCACTTGAATGTACAATATTTCTAATTTAAACAGGTGGGTGCATCGTCAAGTTCGGCCCAAGAAGACCCCGAGGAGGAAGTAAGTTTTTATATTTTCTAAGACAATAACACTTGATTGTATATTTCTACAATATTGGTCAGTTTTACTTTGAATTTCAAACGTAACATTTTCATCGACTGACCGCCCGACCAATGGGTCAATTAAAATAAATTTATACCTCAACTTTTAAAACAATTTTTTTGTATTACGAAAAATATAATAATATTCACAAAAAAAAATAATATGTTTCAGATTTTATGTTTATCTTTCGACGACTGTAGACTATATGCGAAGAAAAAAGCGAAAGCAAAATATGTAAAACAATATGTCTCGTTAGATGATTTTTTAGAATATGTTGGCGACACTGATATAGCGGTCGAGGGCACAATACTCTACTTGAATGGGTCTCAAATTGGCGCTGCTAAAAAAAGTAACTATTAACAATACTACATTATATTTTAATTGAATTTATTTCAGCTTCGATGCGAACCTGTGAAGCGTTTGGAGTGGAATTGATAACAATTGAAATACATACCTTTAGCTACTTTTTGCTAGCATAAATACTTGGTTCAATAAAATAACATTCAAGTAGGATTTCTGAACGCGACACTTGCTAACTACATTTAAGAAATCGTCGTTTAGCGTTTAAGGAAATATCGTGTATTCACACAAAAAAAAATAATAATACAAAAATAAAAACAATCTTAACTTGAAATGCAAGGTTTCACCATTAAATTAACTAAATACTGTATATTAGGTTGAAAAATGCATATTAAGTTTCGTTGACGAAAATTTAGTTATATTTCAATTTCTAAATTTGTGTTTTTGGTCAATAATTATCATAGACCGAATAGAACACAATTAATGATGTTATGAATAAACTAAATGCGTTGTATTGGTATAAATGTCATTTGTTACTTTGAAATTTTAAATGATGTAACTTATAACAGAGTTAACTCAAATTAGAGTGCGTAGTGTCTAACGGTTATTATTTATTTATTTTAAAATTTAAAAAAAAAACATCTTTTTGTTTTAGACAAAATAGGTTTATCTCTATACAAGAAACTTGTTAGAGCATATTGCCATCCCCCTGGGATTCCTATAGCAGAGTTCGTTCGTATCAGAAGGGAATCGTGGACACCGAATTCAGATCCAGATCTGTAATAAAACCTACTCATAACAAAATTATGATAAAGTTAAACAGCTAAATCAAGTCTAGTATATTACTCATATATTATAATTATACTAATGTTACTGTAAAGTTCAATGTCTCATATTATTCATTCATTAATATGCTGTTATTTCATTTTTTTTTTTAAGTAATACAAAATATAATAATTATTTTACGGTTTCTTGTAAAATGGTTAAAATGTTATGTTTCGACAAAACATACAATAAAATGAGTATTAAATATAAAATTATTGAAATTTATTTATTTATTTTAATACAGTGTCCAGTAAAGGCACCGAGTACCATGCAAGTTACTCGCGTGTTGAATTGTAACACTATAGACAAATTAGTACCATCCGGAATGGCCATTTATTTAGTTATGATGTCTACTACTATTTATTGTCCCATGGTTTTTTGTTCTTGATAAAAATAAAAATAATTATGGGCTTGTTATGTCTAGACACGAAATAAGTGTACGCAAATAATAATCGATAAATTATATAAATAAAATACAATTTCTTATAATTATTAATGTATTAGTGTTTTCTTCGAATCACACGTTTTGATGTATCGTCATGTAAGTTTTAACACCACCTTATTTTGTTATTATTTTTTTAAAATTTAAATTATACAATCTACACAACATAAGTACAACAAGTGAAAACACTTATAAATTTGAATTTTTATTAGTTGTGAGAGAAGGTCTCTCTGTACCACTTACTTTTTAATCTTTTAGGCGGATTGTTGGGCATCGAGGGTAATGTAATGTAATGTAATGGTCTTTTATAAGAGGGTTTGAGTGGCGACATTGTGACCCTTGTGCTATACTTATACAGAGATTTAACCCCCCTTATTATCGTCAACTAGTTAAATTTTGTTTACCATTCCTCTTCTATATCCTCACTAGCTACACAAATATATTTAGTTATAATTTAAATCTAATGATAACTAATATAGAAACTCAAGACTGCCTACATTTCGATTTACTTTTAACATAAAAATAATTCTTAACGGGATGAAACCCGTGAAAATATAATAAACTGCCACGTTTTGTGTTGTAGCATTAAATTAATTCAACAAGAAAAACAAAACTCCCACATTTCTCAGCATGGCGGGGAAAATATTTGATTTGAAATGGTAAACTTCCACAAAAACCGCATGTGGCAGTTTGGTTTTATAAAGTCTTATTGCTAAAAAAACAATAATCCCAATTTCTGGAGTCTAACTGAGATTTAATTAAGTAGTTTAAAATAAAAATACCAAGCATCGACTATCAAAAAAAAAAATTGCCAAGTATTAATACTTAAACTTAAACTTAAAACTAACCATTTGGTCGCAGGTTCAATCTTTAAATTGAACTTCCTGAAAACTATTCTTTTTGAGTTGTGACAGTCTTGCACTAATGATCTTTACTAATCGTAAACAAGAATTATAGGCTTCTTTTAAGCACATTATTGTCTTTTCAGCGCTTTTATCAATGCTTAATTTTATTTTTATTGCACAAAATGTGGTATATTGGCAATTATTTTTGTAATGCAGTTTTTGCAGTTTGCACTGTTTTTTGGATTAGATTTGTGAATGAGCTAGGTCAACAGTTTGGTGACTGTAATAATGCTATTGTCTTAACTTCTTCCGTTTTTCTTCCCTCTAATGCTAATAGCTTTTATCACAATTGTTGCATTTTTAATTACTTTTCTCGAACAATATCGACATTTCAAAACTAATAGTATTTACATCGTTCGATTTTCAATCCACAAAATCTCCATAACAAATCCTATTTTAAGTCAGTGATAATAATAATCATAAAACAATTTTTTATTTCCAAACTTTTAAATTAAATTCCTAATGTTTTTCCAGAAACTCACAGAAAATAAATACAGTAATAAATACCTTAAGGCATCTCTTGACATAAAGGCACAAACTTATAAGGCTGGTTTAATTTTTTTCCGTTTCATAACGAAAGTTGGGTACATCTCGATGAAAAAATGTGTCTAGTAAGGTGGAAATATTTTCTGATTTTATTTATTTTTTTGGCAAAGGTATTCTTCAGTTTACATATAAATAACACACATGGAAAAGTATTTTTTATTTTTTATTATGCATAACTTTGCACATTATTAAGACACACGGTTCTTACTACTGGCTTTTAAAATCTCTTATGAAAAGGCCTTCAATATTGCTTATAGATGTGGTTAAGTTTTGAAAACCAAAGATTTTTCCAAGATTGCGGCTATAACGTCATATACAAGTTTCTCAAGAATATGTAGTGTAACTTTTTTTTCATTTAGGAAAAGCCAAACTAAAGAGGAAACTTGCACTTTGGCGGCTGAATGTTTGTAGGTGTCAAAGAGTGAGAGTGAATAGTCAATGAGTAACAGGCATTTGAAATATATTTGCAATATATCGTTGATTAAAATGTAACAATGGAAAACATATTGTTGCAGAAAAACGCTCAACCCTAATCGTAACCACCCTAACAATAAAATAAAATACTAAGTACAATGTTCTCATCACAATTCTTTTTTTAAATTTTTTTATTGATCTTAAAATTACATCGGCATCTTAGGCCATTAGTAAATATTAGTTATTTACAGATGAAACATGTTTTTTGATTAAATTAAATTATATAATTGAGATATTTTTAAGAAGGCAATTAAATTCGAGATACCTTGAACGCTGGGACCCATCTGTTGATTATGCATCACAATTCTATTCAGTCAGTTCGGTCAAACTCAAGTCCTCAACCCATTGCAATGGCTTTTTGGTTTATGTATGTAATCGTCCAAGCAAGATTTTTTTCTTGTTAAAATTTACTATCGGTTTTACGGATTATTAAAGGCCCAGTGTTTGTAAAATAATAAAAATATCTGTTGAGTAAATCCTAAGTAAACAGTAAACAGAATATGTGATTCGATAAAATTTTACACGATGATTTGTCATAAACATCAGTTTTCTATTATAAAAAGTAATTCTGAGTAGTGCACAAAAAATATGAGAAATTTGAACATAGAAATTTTGTGTATTGTTTTTTTGTTAACTCGGCGTGTTTTCACGATCAAAATTATATTTGATTTATAAATATATTTATCGACGGCAAATAAAAAAAAAAAATGAACTAAAACATTTATGTTCACAAGTGCCGAAATTCTACGCGTTTTGAAAATATTTTCGATTTATTAAAACCGTAGCATTTTTATTATAAAAGTTTTATCAACATAATTGCACACAGAAAACCCAAATATCGTTAGAACACACCCTCCCTTCCCCCGGGAAAGAGGTTAGAAGTTTTTTTAATTGTTTTTGATGCAATTTTGGAATTTAAGTGCTGGAAATTAACTTGGAAATAGGTCCAAAATATACCATATAACATGTGTAAAAAAAAATTTGTAATAAACATTTTTTTTTGTCGAATTTTTAGCTCTTAAATCATAAAATTGCTCTAAATGAAAAGTTCACTTTCGCTGGTAATTAAAATTAGGATTTGATGTGATCAATAGGTACCTAGAGGCAAGTCTACATGGTTTGTTCGCATAAAATATATAAAATAATTCAAATATTGCTTGTTAAGTGCCTATACAGTATTTTAATGTTTCGGAGGCCCCTTAAAAGACACCCAAGACGTTAATGTGCTGGTGTACTTTGTGTTTGTTTTGAACCTACTATCCATAGATTCGCATCGAAGAGTTTATAACAGTGAATAATATATCGTGCATGTGTTTGAACACATGTCTAAACAAATATGATGTCAATTTAAGAGTTTTTTTGCATGTTGTTACGTGTGCCGCATATTGTTTTTTTCTTATATTTGCTACACGTATTTGGCGTATGATTGTTCTAACCTAAATTATTTCAGAAATCCATAATTTTGTGTCATAGTGTTCAATCAAGCGATATGATGTTAAACTTGGTTGGTATATTTCAGTGGCCCATAATAATAGCTATTATCCATAGCTGTGGTTGGAAAGCCTTTTGTTGTCCGAGATACGAAAAAACAAATCCTGAATGGTACTTTTCCACATTAACTTCATACAATTATGTTTCTCCCAAGGAAATCACGTATACCCCTGGTATGTTTTACACCATTAAAGTTATATTATTTTGAATTGTCATTTTGTTTCATTTAACCGACATAGAATTATTACTTTCAAATATGGCACAACCACAAATAAAATTGGAAGTTTTTTTTTTAGGGACAATTTTAGGATTTAATGGCTGAAAAGTAGTCTAAAGATAGGTCTAACATACACCTATAATATATAACACGAGTAAAAATAAATAAAAACTTTAGTCAAATTATTTTTTTATAATGAAAAAACCCTAAAAGTGACTTTAACATTATAAACGTGGATTTTTAAGACTATTTAAAAACTTGAAATATAATATATGATATGTTATACAATTACAAATAAGTATACTGTACTGGTTTGGACTATGCTTAAGTCTATGCGGATTTTTTTTTATTACTTATTAATTATTATTAACACGGAAATTCTTATTTTCAGCCGAAAGTTTAACCAATCTTTTAAAAAAGAGACAAATTGGTGTTTCAGAAGATTTAAGAATTAGAACCCTTCGTGCAACAGGTAAGTGTTATTGTATATTTGTAATAGTTTTCAAACTATTAAACATTTTTTTAATTTAAATATTTTTATATAAACAAACTTTGTAACATTATAATAATCTTTCTTATGGGATAAAACACATATTTTTATGGGATATGTTATAACATCACTTAACTTACAGAATGTTAATAGGAACAGTTCATAACAATATATCAAAGATAAAACTAATTTACATTTTTAACAATTACACTTATTCCATATTATCTTTTTAGGCGTTTTATTTCTATTCTAAAGGGGGGGGAGGAGTTGTATTATAAATATTTGGTTAAATACAGTACCTTTTAATAATAACTAGCAAGTTGGACAAAAATTGCCAATAATTTTTTTTTTAAATTGATAGCGGGCACTCCAGTTCAACTTTTTATGGTAATTAAACATGGCGCAACTCATCCCACTTGGTACGGTCATAAGTTGACACATTATGAACGGTATCAGATGAATGAAAAATTAGGAATTTCTAGAAAAGCTGAAATGTGTTCATCGGATATTGAAACAATTAAACGTTGGGAACCACCTAAACGTATCAGACAATACGTAGAAGGATTAGTAGAAAAAGGCCACAAAGACATCATAGCATTAGCCCAGAGGGTTCAAAAAGCTTATCCAAATATATTTACCAAGGAATACAACACTCAAAACTATTATGTACGATTCATCATTTAATATAAGATAACAAACATTCAAAAGTGTAAATACATATTTTCTACACTCATAAAAATATACTTCTAGGCATTGACAAGGCGGGAGCAATATTGTAAAGAAACTGGACAACTTGCCTTCTAGAGGAACGAGTTTATAATATTTTTTTTGGTTTATCAATGTTTATTGGCAGCATTATGTTAAAAGAATATTCCACAGAATTTTGGAACTAAAAAGACTATTTTTATTATAACATTTTTATGAACTCACAATCTTGTTTGTCGTTCCGGGTGGAATCTTGCAACTCAAATTTCGAGCACTTCCCGATTAGCTATCCGGTGAAACTTTCAGGGTTGCTCACAGTTCAATGACAATGCATTATTAGTCCACAAGAGGTTGAAAATTCCACCCCTAAGGGGGTTAAAATGGGGTCGATTTCTTGTTCGTCGTTCTGGGTGGAATCTTGCAATTCAAAAAGACTTATTTCTCACCCGCCAGCAAAAATTATGCGTGGTGCGTTTGGGCGTAAACGGTGCTCAGATATGAGCGGTACCAGGTTCAAACCCGTTCCCATCATTACGTTTTTTTGCATTTTCTTACAACTTTTATGATAATTTATATAGTTATTACAACTTGATTTCAACTTTTATGATAATTTATACAGTAATAAATCTAAAATTATAAGCTTTTAAATTGATTACTAATTCTTAAGATAATCCTTCTGACCATGCAGCCTTTCTAATGTAATCACCGCTCACAGACGAAATGGACGGATTTTATTATATAATATTGTAATAATATTATTTATATGTAAAATATATGTATAATAATATGTATATTCATTATATAACATTGTTCATTTAAATATATAGATACGTACATACGAAAACGAAAAAGAACAAAATAACTAAACTAGATTAAAAAATTAATCTAAAAATAACGTTTTTATGCGCTTTAAAAAGTATAAAATAACTTTCCGGGGGGTCTTGATAACCAAATAGGACAGGTGAACTAGAAAAACGTGGGGCACATCTTTACTACTTCACACGTCTTCACACGTAACAAACTTTAGAGAGAATAGCTATTAAGTCTTTCCAATTTGCACTGAAATTTAAGGCAAGTGGCACGGAAATCCATTAAATTTCATTTCCGATAAAAAGTCTTACTATCACTTTCTGATCCGTTCGGTTAGAGAGACAGCATTATGAGAGACAACTTAATGCATTAGCATGAAAGCTTAGGTTTTAATATCTAAGTAGAAAGATGCGCCCCACGTTTTTCTAGTTCACCTGTCCTACTTGGTTATCAAGACCCCCGAGGGTTATTTTATACTTTTTAAGGCGCATAAAAACGTTATTTTTAGATTATTATTTTAATCTACTTTATTAAAAAGCTAAAAAGCATTGTAATTTTATATTGAAAAATGTGTAAATTTTTTTTTATGTGTTTCTCGGTTTTTGAAGGGAAGGGGGTGTTTTATTAATATTATTTTCTGTTTAAACGATTTCTGCTTTATAAAATTGCTACACGAAAAAATCAGTTTAGTGGCTTGGGTGATATCGTGAGTACAGACAAAAAAATTTTTTTTTATGTATACAGTTGATCGCAACAGATCCCTACATCGTATTTTGTTATTGGATTTTTTTGTTAAGCATAGCTAGTGAAAACATTGGGCGATTGTGTACACTGCACGGTATAGCTGAGACTTGAACACAAAAACAAATATAATCTAAAAATCATATTTGCATCATACTTATAAAATTTAGCTATTTCAGTTATTAAATTAAGTTCTTTATCAAAATCATTTTTTAACATAGGAATGTTAACTAACCTGAAAACCATACTATTAAATGCCGTCATTTTATGTTGCCAACTGTTAGGTTGTTAACTAGTTCGATGTTGTTCTTAACTGAAAAACTATCAAATTTCTTTAAAGATGAAAAAACTTTAACTAAATATTTAGATAAATTATAACTTGGAGCATTGATGTTTGATACAATAGATCTCATAGTGTTTCCTGGTTTGTGAATTTTTGGTAAACCATATAATTTCGGCAATTGAGAATTTGAAACTCTGATAAAAACCTATTTTTTTTCCTCAATTACAAGTTTTGAATTATTAATTACGTTGGTACCTTCTCTAATTATTTTACTTAAGGGATTCTTTCCCTTAAGATTTCTTTATGGGCCTTCATTAATCATTTTTGAAACTCAAAAACTATCAATTTTTAGGGAAGTTCATCCCTACTCATTGAAAATCAAGAAAAAAAAATTAACTTATTGTATATTTTAAACTTACGGCGAGCAGTTTCCGTATAAAAGTTTGTCTGTACAAATATTAAAGTAAGAGAGACGTAATTTGGCACAAGTGCGAATCTTCGCACGCGTTTTTCATTATTTACATCAAACACTGCCTTGCAGTTTTGTTTGTATATTAAAAAGACCGAAAAACTGATAAATTAAATAACTTATAATTAGGTAATGCTCCAATAATATTTTCTACATAGTACTAGGGAAACCAGGTCGCTAAATACACAACCAACATGATAATACTATCCAACACAATAAATTGATTAGCATGACACTTAACTAATCTATTGCTCGTAAAAAAAGCCGTCAAATCAATTAATTCAAGATCGTTTAACAACTCAAAGTTCTGGCCTTTGTTTTAGATTATACACAATTAACATAAGGCACTTTGTTATAAATTATTGCAGGAAATGATTAGTCAATTCTAATTAATTATAGCACATCATTATATAATTTACGTTATTCGAGTTTTATTATTTCAATACAGTTAGAGTTATTTTAAATTTCAATATTTGTAACCGTTAAAACAGTTTTTGTAAAACTATACTTATTTAGCAGTAGTGTGTAGAATAAAATAATCTAAACTCCGCTTCCTAAGTAACGCATGTACACGATAAATTGCAACAAAAAAAAAAATGAATCTGTTGTGTAAATAAATGAACATAGTTACAATACAAAAGCCTATTAGAATTCTGTTTTTTTGGTCGAAGTATAAGCCCAACCATAAAGCGCAAGCAGTACATTTAGTTTCAAAAGCTGAACAAGTCGATTGTTGTCCAAGAACCTCTTACCAACTCCCCAATTTAAGTAAGTATTTCTATTAAAATCTAAAATGTTTAATTATGTAGTGTTAAAAAACAGTAATAAGGAAACTGTACACATATATGCGTACAGTTTTTTTTAATCGTTAAAAATAAAATTTCAAAATTAAAAATATTTTTTTTTACTTTGACTTAAATTTAAATGGATGTTACTATGAATGCATTTATTTATTTATAGTCGTTACACTATAGTAACCCGGGGGTCTGATAAGGTTAAGTGAAGAAAAAGTCAATGTTTTAAAGAAAACTCAAATATTCCCTTTAAAAACTAAGTTAAAATTAAGAGAAAATTTTTTTTTCATGTTTTTAAGTTTTTAATTTTAACGATTTTAAAACAAAACTTTAAAATCAATTTTGTACACATAAAATCTATATCATTTTGCTGAATATTCCTTTATTGACTTGGACGAAATCTCTCTATACATAAAATTCTCGTGTCACAGTGTTTGTATAAGAAAACGATTTATAAAATTTCATCATTTTAATACATCATAGTATATTATTTGAAAACATATGTTAATATTTTTTATAACGGTAATAACTATATTTATAAGGATCTTATTTTAAAACGGATTTGACATTCTCTCTAAAATGTTATCTTCGGTGTAAGTCTACTTTACCGGACACCCTTTTTTTAATTTTTTTTTTTTAATTAATAGTATTTCGCATACTGAATACGAATATGTAAATATTTTGCCCCGCTCGCACTTAGTTAAGAAGTTACAGACTTTTAAAGTTGGCCGATATCGACATACGCGCTCGCCCGGCACTGCACGTCTACCCGCGCCCGCTGGGTACTTGGTCCTCGATTATGATCGGATTCCTCGTCAACCTGCTTCCAACTTTAAAAGTCTGTAACTTCCAAACTAATTTCGAGTGGGGCTTGTTCCCCTAATTTCTATTTTGAATAGTGTAACCTAAGTTTTATACTATGCAATTTAAATAGTCAAAAGACTTATTTTTATTTTTGTCAATCCTTAGTATAGTGAAATTACTGTATAATTGGCCAAATAATCAACCTTTCTAGTTTGATTACTATCTTATATACAAAAAAATCAGTTAGTGGTCTTGGAAATATTGTGGTTCAAGTAGAAAAGTGTTAATACATGTATATGTATTCATAACCCATTAAAACGGCCTCGTAAAATTATAACCTTCTCATCTCTAAATCGGAGGTAACTGTGACTAATATATAATGTTTTTTTATTTATTATTATTCGCAGATAAAAATGAAACTCTTCTGTTTATTAATATCTTTATTCTTTATGGAAGTTTTGGCACCTTATGGTAGTTATTTTATTATCACAGTTATAAACTTAAAGAAGTTAAATTTGAAAAAAATCAATATTACACTTTTTTACAGATCGTTATATGGAATTAGTTCACATTACAAGTCAGTAACATTTTTATTTTTAAAACAAATGTTTTGTAAGTTTTTAAAATTTACTGTTTTTATACATATTTTTAAAATTGTGTCACAGCTATTGGCATCAAACTTGCTTATGAAAAGAATGATTTAACTGTAGGAGGTAGATCTGGAGCAAGTAAAATATAATATTTTAAATAATATACTAACATATATATAGAAGCTTTGTCTTACCTAATTTAATTTAATTTTAATATTTTAGTATAGCAAAAATCTTCATTTGTTTGTTCTAGATGCATTGGAGTATCTAATTGAAGCAATGGTTGATGATACCAATGATGATCTTAACTACCAAAATTTCCGTAATCATAGTTATAATAATAATAAAAAACATCAAGATAAGAGTAGAAAAATATATTTGAAAATTATATAAAAACTTCATTTCGTATTCACTTTATGCAACTGACTAGTTTTATAATTATTATATTTTTTACCGAAGTTTGAATAGAAGCTTTATGAAAAAATACTGATGTAAGCTCTATCAACCTCGTTTGATTAATATATTTTATTCTCATCGCATAAAATACATCATCTAGTCTATATAATATAGTTTTTCTACTTTGACTTTTGCCTTATAATTTATATATAAATAATGTTATAGCTATTAATTTACTATAGCAAATTCAATTCAATATCATTTATTAATTTAATGTTAATTTCAGGCCATATTAATTTTTTGACGGCTGTACCGGGTAATAGATTTTGTTAAATTTTATAAAATTATTTCCAATATTTCATTCCTATTGAATTCGTTAAAGAGACTCTCAACGTATTGAATATACATTGAAGGATACTTCTTTCAAATAACTAGCACACATGTTTTTTCTTCCTTGAAATTCATTTTCCTGTTTATAATAGAATAGAAAATTCAATGCAATAACATTATATTTTGTGTTGTTAATTTCAGATCATACAGAAATTCTCTCGAAAAGAACAAGTATTTCAGAAACTTTAGAAGCCAATGATTTATTCGACAAAATGCTTCAAGACATAGAGAGTAAATTAGGTAAATTTAAAAAAGAATGTATTTTTAAATTAAAAAAAAAATATATATGTTTTACGTTTAAGCTTTAAAGAATTATTCGAAATAAAATTGATACAGTTTATTTAAAAATCGTAATACAATATAAATTTACATTTATACAATAATATTTCGCATTAATTAATATTGATCTAATTAACCTAGTGAATGTTATGTATAAAATATATAAACCGGGACTTATTAACAGCAGAATAATTTGATTTTTGATGTGGTTGTTACAGGAATTAAAATGTCAGGAGATTGTTTGGATGGTATGTACGATTGGTTTAATATTCATAAATAACCTTTAAAGCTTGTTTTAGAGTTGATCTTTGCCTAATTTTATTTATTATATTTGTTGTGTCAAAAAACAATTGTAATAAATTCAACTTTTTGTTGGGAAAAGAGGGGCAGAAAGTGAGACTACAGTGTTAATGTGTAATAAATTCTTTGGGATTTGAAGTATAGGAAAAGTACATTTGTTGAGGTTCAACAATAATATGTGGTTGTACAAAAAGTTAGTTGTATCACAATTATGCAAGTAATATATTATTTATCTTAATTATGTCTACTCAACACGGTCTTTTAATAATTATTGTCATAGTTAAGAAAACATTGAAAAACCTTGCAAACATGAGAAGAGACTTTGTTGCTTGGTCTTTAAAAAGTATAATCAGACGTCGTATGCTAGGTAAATATTATTATGGAGTTGTATGGTTTTTGAACGCTATTAACATATTTTTATATATTTAAGTTATTTGATAGGACAAGGATACAAATTATTTTAGATTTTAACAATTAACTAAATAAATTATAACTACTAACACGTACTTTCATGTAATACAAATATCATGGCTGTTCAATACGATACCATGCCTATTGTATAATTTTTTTATGACTTCGTATAACCTAATAAAATAGTTGTTTTTTGTACCATAAGGATAAGTAGTATCTAGTAAGCTATTATTAGCAAATTAAAAAAGAAATGTTTCAAATTTTTAATCAGGATCTGTACAGGATGTAGAAGATGGTGCCTCTCTATTACCTAATTGTCGTTTGATAGGAATATACTTGAGTACACAATTGCCAACATTATACATAAATGAAGTTAACATTGACTCAACTAGCCGTACATGTACCTTAATAAGTAGTTCGTATACCGAAACGACATTCTGGAAAATCGGTGCTACATGGACATTAAGAAACTCACATGGCACAGTCAATACACTCGAGGAATACTTACAACACGGACATCAACAAACTGCACCCACATACTAACCCAATGTCAGAAAAACACTGGCATCCTTATTCTGTTCTTTACATAATATATTATAGTTCTTATTACTATTATTACTATATACACTATAAAATCAGAAATTTTAAAATATTATACATATATTTAAGCTGACGGGAAAACAACCGTCTTAGGATTTTTTCAATAATATATTTCACATAATACATTTTTTGTATAGTAAGTACGTAATGCTATAAGCCTATTTCTGTATCATGTCAGGTCTATCAAAAAAATAAATAATTACCGAATAAGTAAAGTTGTATTTTTTTTCATATAATCTATTCCAACTATGTATTACTGCTACTAAATCCTTTCCTTGTATTTCTACCTTTATTAAATGATTGTGCAAATTTGGTTGACAGGTTCATCGTTTATATTTCTGATAGATAATTCATCTTAATGGTTATTATATAGAGATTGGATGCTATAGATTATATTATCTAAATTTAGTTCTAATGTTGAGTGGCTAAGTAAAACAGTGTAGAATATATTATTTATATTGTATAGCCAGTTGTGGAAAAAAATGTCTGCTGGTCAAACACAATGGTATTGGTTTGGCTTCATTGTGATTGAAATAAGAACAATGCAGGGTACGAAAACTAATCCTACATAATATTTTAAATCGAAAAAAAATGTCTATTTCAAAATTTTTATAGACTAACTGTATTTGTTTTTTTTTTTAGAATTTGAGTATTTTAACTTTTAATTATTTTTTTGTGTCATTTACTTATTGTTAATACTATGTATAGTTAAATTGATGTTAACTCCTTACAAATATAAACATATAAAGCCAGTAATTAGCAAATATTTACCTTAGAATATTAAATAAAATTAATGTTAGATTAAACAACTTAGCGATGATTAATAAATCGTGTGGACTTCATTCTTTTGAATTAAATTAGCTGATCAATTATTACAATTTATAATTATGATTATCATTCTAACCATGCTAATATGGCCAGGGAACTTAAAGAGATTTAAGTAAACATTTAACTTGTTTGAACAATAATACTATATTTTTCTAACGGAATTATAAATCGCAATGTTCATTTTAAATGAACTCCAATGTACCAGACATTATAATAACAGCGTCAGCAAAATCTTCCCGTTTACTGATGCAATGGTATTAAATTACACGAATATATATGTTTTTTTTATATACATATATTATATCCTATATATATGTATGCTTGTATCATATATGTGTATATTGTCGATTTGTGACATATGTACAAAAAATAAGGATGTTTTTTTAAGATAAATAAGCTATACAATTGCAAAAATTGGATTTTGCTTAACATAAAGATATTATTAATTATGATTATATTTGCAAATATGCTATTATTTAGTTAATTTTTCACTAGATTATTGTTATTTAACACTATAATTTTATTCTGTTGGTATGTAAATTAAAGATGTAGAAGTATCCACGTATGGGTTATAAACGCTGCTCGATTGTTAGGAATAAAAAAATATTATAGGAACATATTTAAGCACAAAAATAATTTTATTTTTATGTAGGCGCTCCTATTTTCCCGTGAGTCGGGAGCGGTCGTATTACATGGTACCAGCTCCGATTTGACGAGATGAAGCAATATAATGAACAAAAGTAGATAGATTTTCTTGCTTCACATGGTAGTTACAGGATAGGTCGATTCATTAGCACGATAATATTGATATTAGAAGGTAAAGGACTAGAAAATATAAATAAATTTAAAGGACAAGTATGAGTAATTTTAAGTTTTTATTTACGAGGGTATTAGATAGTAATATTTAAATTTATTCGAATTTCGAATACAAGGATTAATCGCTCGTTAAGTAGATGTAGAGTACTAGAGCTTTAGGTGTAGAAAGTCTTTTCTACATTACTTTTTTAGACCTTTGTTAAACTGGACACGAAACGTATCTCTCGAATGGGCTTGTAGCACCCAGGGCCCGGGTGTCTATAAGTAGCGATTGTCGCTTTTCTGAAGCTGATAAATACGCTGGCCAAACGTAAAATTTTAAAGCGGTGCTCAAATTATTTTTTGAGATATTTAAATCAAATTTCATTTACATACTTTATACGATGCGATTTAAGTAAAATTATATATTTTAACATTGCCATTCTTCTGCTATTTTTACCGCTATCATCAGTTAGAATTTAATGCCACCACATTTTATTTGCCACATGTTTGCCAAATTGACACCACATTTATACGAGACAAGTTAGAATTCGGAATTGGTTATTACGATCTGCTAGAGCAAAAAGTAGCCAAGTTTGTTTCTATTAGAGCGGATCGACTTTCGAAAAAAAAAAAAGTAGTGCACTACATCTGTTAGGCTCTTTGAGTTATTTATTTTGTGGCCAGTTTGGATTAACTCCGTCCATTTTTACTTGATCTATTTGGCATTATGGTTTTCTTGGCTGATCACCGATTTTTATGTGGGTTAATAATCAAATTAGTGTCGCTTTACACAGTGTATTTTTTTTTTAATGACAATTTAATGAAACGTTTTAATTTATTTACTACATAATTGTACTTTATTTATTTTGCGTAGAATCAAAATGAATATGATAATCAGCAAATTAGCTGTACTCCGTTTAAGTAGGTTGGTGTTATATTCTATTATATATAAAACATTAAATAATAATTACCCATTTGATATATTATTAACGTATGAAGGAATTTTGAAATTTATTTATGATAGAACTTATATAAATAACGATTACTCATTTTATATTAATTAAATCTAAGGGATAAACTTTTAAAAATAAAATTAATATTAAGAATGATGGATAATGCTTTATGATATTTCATAAACATACCTTATTTAAATGTATACATATATGTTATTGTTATTGTTTTACGGCACATGTTTTAATAACTAAATGAGTTTCAGGCACCCAAATGGTCCCCAGATCAACAAATAATTCAAAACTATTATATTTAAAATTGTCGTTTTCACGACAAATTTACTAATACAAGTAATTTTCATTTATTATGTATAAATATTAAAATAAATAAATATAACTTGACCTACTGACTTAATCTAACGCGCAAGTAACACGACTTCAATATTTTTTTAAGGTCAAAGGTATTATTGTTTTTTTATCGTCGTGTAAATTACCCTGGGTCCGATATTTTTTCGACTACTAAGCGTTTCTCTGTTAGTCTTCTTTTCTGTTTCTTTTATAAACATTTTATAAAATTTATTTTATTTTACTATTATTATTGTTTTATTTTGTATAAGTTAAATGAAGTATTTTTTTTAAGCACGCAGATAAGCAGCACTTAAGATGGTGAATGTATATGATAAATTATTTTTAGCAACGTTTTTCATCATTATCATTAGGATTAACGTAATTACACATATATATTGTGAGATAAACATACAATGAATTTTTCTTTTATAGTTGTTTTCAGTTATCTTGTATGCGTTGCTTAGCCAACTTAACTCAAAATATTTTAAACAATAACAATATAATGTAGCCCATATTTCTCCCATATTACCTTTTTATGTGGAATAAGAATAAGACAACCACTAGTAGCTTATTAAGACTTTGAGAACACTACTAGTTATTTTATAGAGGGTTGACCTACAAGTTTTTCAATGAAAACGACAAGATAAGGGATGGTTGATTGTTGAAACTAACCAAAGGTCAAAATAACAGACCTACAACATCTCAGGACTGTGTTTCGATTTCTGTGGTATGGGTGTCTCGGATTCCATATGGGCTCTTGTAGGTATACAGCAGCAGCAATTTGTTCTGACAGAACCGACGATGATACCATTTTAACAGCGGTTAATCGCCGAAAATCAAACAATTTTGTTTTTTCAGCGATTCTCACGCGTGTAGCTAAAATCGTAAAACGCTACACGCGGTCAGTGGGGACACTACATATTTATTTCTATACTGTTGATAAAATCGCTAAATCGCCAACACGCTACAAGCTATCGCAAAAACGCAAAACGCTCTCAGTGGGGCCTTAGCTTAATAACCTTTATTTTCAGGGTATTTGTACATATCTTATTTATTTTTCTTAGTACCCATTTTCATTTGTATAACTTAGGTCTGAGGTCAGACCTCATTAGGGGAGAAGCAGCTGTAACGGTCACATCTTGCCACCCGTTAAAACTCGCCACAAAATGTGCATTATTAGCAGTTTACCCCGATTAGCATGTAAGCCATTATAGGAAGGGGAGACAACAGAAGTACGGGACAATGCCAGGGGCACCGATGCCCAGTTAGTTGACTTACTACCATCTTCGGACCAAGACCTAATTATTCTAAAGCCATTACTTATTATTTCACGTTACCTTATTTTTTTATAATTGTTTTAACTTTACCAGTACTCGTGTGTCCGTTCAACTCCGCCATTATCTGGACTAACTACAGAGAACGCTTTAGGATCCAGGTAAAGGAGTAATATATATATGTAAATAGTTTTACTTATTTAATAAACCTGTTTTCGTTTCGCTGCACCCTTGAGAGTTAAGTTGTTTTAAGGTACGATCGCCTGTTAAGCTCCTCAGGCTATATAGCAAATTTACAATGGATACTTTAGGGATATTTAAGTGTAGATACGGCCTAGCCATCCATCCCGTCTTCGGGTCCACTAATTTAATCCAATCGACTGTCGTTTCGGCCTAGCTTAGCCAACTAGCCAAACAGACACGTTACAGTGTTAACATTTAGTTGGGCCAATTATTTATTTAGTACGTACAACTAGAAATTGATTGTGTCACTATATTATTTCATAGTTTAAGTTGGACCAATTATGTAACATTTCCTGTGTTGGAGGAAGGTACAAAAATCAATTGTAAAAATACCTATATGAAGTATATTTTATGTCAACAAAAACCAATAAATCATTAAGTATATAAAAATATTTTTTTTTTTATAATTGTATCTTTTAGTTTTCCATTTTAAAAACATTGACAATTAAGTATTTTAGAAACCATTATGTTTTGAACAAAACTTAAATGGATATAATATATTTTATTTAACAAATATTATTCAAACTATATAAAAACAGTTTTAGTAAATTATGACGCAAAGGCAATGCTATTTGTAAAAAACAGAACGTTTATGTTTCTAATAAACACCAGAGGCAGACAAAATATTTCGCTAGCAAAAAAACAATTTTGGTAAGCGTTGTATGAAAAAATTGTCAAATATTTCAAATATTCCTGATATTATTAGGACCAAATAAGTCAAAATATTAAATATATTATTATACAGATCTTTGAATCAGAAAAGCATTAATGAATAAGTTTCTTACAAAGAAAACCGTTCAAATAAAATAATATATTTGGCACAATATTTAGAGAGACGGGTAAAATATATGTCTAGTAAAAGACAAATTTGGTTAGCGTTGTACAAAATATTTGAAATGTTTCCGATATTATTAGATCCCAATAAGCCAAAATGTTAAATATATTAATAAACAGAGTCTCAAGTCAGAGTATCATTGATGAATAAGTTTCTTACAAAGAAACCCGTTCAAATAACAAAACATGTAAGGCACAAAATTTACCTTGTGAGAGCTAATAATTTAAGTAAATAATTAACTCCTAAAATACAAATTATGTCCAACTAAATGTCTGGTTATTAACGGGTCACAATAAATTTGTAGTTGAAATAACTAACTCATATGTGTTCCTGTAATCATTTAGTTGGGCCGATTTAGTTCTTCCTGCTAGAAATTCACTCTGTCTCTATATTATCCCATATTTAAAGTAGGATCAATAGTTAATTGTAATTATTATTATACATATAGATATGCTAAGTATATGTGTGTTAAAATACTTAAAATTTAAAAACTTTATGTCACTTTTAATATGATAAAGTATTTTTATATTATTTTATTGAATTTATTTTTTAGCCGAATAATATCTAAATGTATATTGGACTAATATTTGATTTGAATTTGTGAGTCCAACTTATTCTTCTTACTGACTTATAGGAAAACAGTTATCGGCATTAGTGTGCCACAGTAACCAAAAAAAAAATTATTATAATTAATGAATGACGAATTTATAGCAACTAACTAAACTATTGAAAATTGATGATCTTATATATTTTACCTTAGAATAAAATTGCTATAAATTTACAGAAAATTTGAATATTTCTTAACATTCAGCAATGTATTGATGAAATTGGTATAGACTGATTGACTACAATAGTTGAATACCTACACCAAATTGGCGGTTGGTAGTAAATATTAATTTTAACCACACTGAAAACAAATGATTAAAATATATAAATAAGTTTCTTAGATACTTAAATAATAATATATGGTAAATCAACAAATATAAATATACACATATATTTGTTATAATTATTCAAGTAAGTAAATAGTAGTAGTAATTTAGTTGCGGGCAGGGAAAAGGCACAAGACATATTCGTGTTTCCTTCAAAGGAAGGAAAGTACTTGTGTTTTTCATTTTCATTTTGAATTTACTTCGAGTTCATAGGCTATCAGAATTAAAACGTAGACTGTGTTTAAAGTAACCGAAGAAAATTCATCTTAACATCATTAAGAGGCCTTCACACCTGTGTATATTCTATCGAAAACAACTCTAAACTAAGCGTAGGTACTCTAAAATACGTTAATTGACAATTATTTTAAAAACTAGTAGACATTATTCAATACTTGTTTGATGCATGATTTGTAGTACATTTTTAATTTTGGTTTTAAATCTTATTGTAAAGATATAAATTCTCCAAAATCGGGATTTAAACTTTAAAATTTTTATATTATATAGATTGGGGGGAAGGGATTATTCTTGTTTGTAAGGTAACTCCAGAAGTCACAGATAAAAAAAACTGATAAAAACATGTTGAAGTTATGAGTTAGGACTTTTGGGAAGTTTTAAGCAAATCGTTCTTGTTTATATAAGCATAAATTAACTTTATCATGTTTTAATTTTTTTTTTTTTTACAAGAACAAAATCAGTTAAGCCTTAGTCATCAGAACATTATACATATCTGGATTTTTCTAAAACCATGTATTTGTACATGGTTTGAAATAATATATTATGAGTGTTAAGTTCTAACAAGCTTAATTGATAGTACCCCATCAAGAAGCATAATATTATGTATAATATATTAAATTGGATAATTTGGTATCGCTTTTACAAACTGTGTTGCTGATAGTATAATATTTCCTACTTTTTGTTTTTTTCAAACCGATAAATTTGTACACAGTTAACCTTCATATTTTTGTAGTATAACATGAAAACACGTTATTATTTGAACAATGCACGTGTAAAATATTTTTCTGCTCGTGTATTACAACTTAGATTGAGAGGTTTTTGCCCTTCGGAATATGCCTTGTTATTTAGAAGCTAGCTTGATAAATCAGAAAACACAACTTAATAAATTGTTATCTAAATAAATTGCGGCTCTTGTATGGTTATAATGATTTATCAATCTACCTTATAAATAACGAGGCATATTCCGAGGGACAGAGGTCTCTTAGTACATGTGAATTGTTTAAATAATATCGTGTTTTCGTTTTAAACTAAAAAAAATATGAAGCTTCCTGTGTTCAAATTTATCGGTTAAAAAAAGAAACCAACCCCAGCAAATACTTTTATACTAACAGTTACACAATTAATAAAGGCGATACCAAATTATCCAATTTAATACACTAATCATAATATGCATCTTGAAGGGCATTAATAAATAAACTTGTTTTTACTTAACACCAAAAATAAATTACTTCAAAACATATAAGCCATTAAAAATACATATGTTTATAAAAAATCCAGATATGTGTAATATTCTACTAATTTAGAGTTATTATCGATAGGAAATACACGGGTGTAGAAGCCTACCAATAATGTCAAGGTGGATTTTCTCCGGTTACATTAAACCCGGTCTATGTATTAATTCTGATAGCCTAAGAACTCGAAGTAAATTCAAAACGAAAAGTAAAAAAACAAGTATCATCTTTCCTTTGAAGGAAACACATTCTAACACGAATATGTCTTGTGCCTTTTCCCTGCCCGCAACTAACTTAATACTACTATTTACTTACTCGTATAATTATAACAAATATATGTGTATATTTATATTTGTTGATTTACAATATAATTATTTAAATACCTAAGAAGCTTATTTACATTTTTTAATCATTTGTTTTCAGTATGGTCAATATTAATATAGACTATCTCCACTTAAATTGATAATTGTTATTTTCTGCAACTACCAACCGCAAATTTGGCATATTAAATTCAGAACTCGATGTAAATTCTAAAAGAAAAGTAAAAAAACCAGTACCATCTTTCCCTTGAAGGAAACATATTGGAACATGAATATGTCTTGTGCCTTTCCCCTGCCCGAAATTAACTTACTACTTCTATTTACTTATACAACTTTCTTAGTGTGCTGGTTTATACTATGCTTGGTTTGAACCTACTGACCACAGATTCGAATCAAATTGTTTAGTTGAAAGTAATTTTATCAGTGTAATCTGACTGTACTGGCTTTATTATACATATAGATTTAGCTGATCAGTCAGACATCGTACCACAATATAACATAATGTTGAAAACAATGTGAACAATTGCATAAAATGTATTATCTACTCTCAACATACTGCTCTGGCTACTAATTGTATTTAAATAAAATATCGAAATAATCGAAAACTAGAAGAAAAATAAAATATAGACCAGGGTAAATGTCTTGCATATGAACTATCATCCTCAGCTATATATAGATACAGGGTGATCCACTTATCGTGTACAACTCAATATCTCATTAAAATTATTTTTTTCATAATTTTTTTATACAATGTGATCTCAATTTTTCACAATTATTTTTTGGTTTTACCTCATCCCAACTTTCTTTTTTTGCTGGCAATTTTTGAAACTTAAAAGGTCACGTACATATTTTATTAACTTTTTAAATTGAGAATAGTATACTAAAATTGTTGACTGGTCGATAACCAGTTTCAGATGACTATTTATTTTCACATACACACCTAGCATGAACGTAGACCATTTATATATTTTCAAGGGAAGGCGGCTAAAGAAAATTTTGGGGGAGAGATATTTCTTTAGCCGTCCTCCCTTGAAAATACATAAATGTTCTAAGTTCATGCTAAGTGTGAAAATCACTGTTCATTAAACGCTTCTATGCAAATCTGTCGATAGTAGTATTTTTATCCAAGAGGACTAGTACAGTAGAGTATTGGCATAATGTAATCAAAGCAATGAGGGAACGGAGAGGTTACAGGTCTACAAGAATTATTATAAATAAAAGTGATAAAATTGAATAAAATCGCTTTCAAATAAACGCTTTGATGCTCATTTGTAAATACAGAACCTTCATTTAAGACTTTCTAACTTTGCTGGTTTATACTGTGCTTGGTTTGGACTGTACTGGCTTGAAAATACTAACTACCGATTTGCATCGAAGCGTTTTTTCGAAAGTGATTTTATCACTTTCAGATTTAAAAATTCCTGTAAACCTGTGACCTCCCCGTCCCCAATATGCCCCGACCCAACTATGTTCCGTCCCCACTATGCACCGACCCCACTGTACTGGTTTTTTTTTTTTTTGCAAAAACTTAGTGGACCAAATACACATATACAATGTCTTGTTATATTTTGTTGGAATGGTCGACGATTCATGTTCCAATCGTTTGTACTCCATAGTTTAAATTATAATCGCTTATTCTCAATAAAATTAATATTTATGTATTATATACTTCCATTAAAGCAATCTCACACAAACTATTTATACTTCATAGATTATATTATTTCAAAGCTATATTATACTTCTATTTTACTAGATTGACAATGTACAAAATAAAATGCAACTAAAAAAACCTTTTCATAGATCCTTAAAATGTAAAGGGTGGGATAGTGAAACGGGTTTTACCATTTAAATACATTAGAAAATCGCCGTTTTACTGCCTCATCCTGTATATTAATTTCTTGTTATTTTCTAAAGAAAAATCGATTTTCTTACATTTAAATTAAAATAAATCGTATACTGGTACTGTGATGGAGAAAACAATAAATTTTACCTACATATATTACTTATTAGTTAAATATTACTAACGTGTATAGCCACTAGCGGTCGGCTGTTGCCTGTTATTTAACAATAACCTATTATGGAGATTTTAAAAATTGTGTTTTTTTAATAATAGCATAAGAGCAGTATCATGATGTTAAACGTTCACGAGATTTGATCTAGTCATAAAATAAAGTATTATCATTTATGACTTAATTATTATTAAAATTTATCTTAATAGTAATAGTACATAGTAATAAAATAATGAAATATTTTACACGAAATTAGAGCTACAAGTTGATAAACTAAAAAATTAAAATTAGCACGAAGCAGATTATCTAATATTAGACAATTTAAACAATCAAGCGTGAATCTCTTTAAATGAATAACAGTATAACAATATACAGAACATTAGTTTTCCTTTAAAAAAATTGTGTAATAAAAAATACATTTTGAGGCGGTATACTGCATAAAAACCAACACTTAATCTGAATACAAAAAACAACAGACCTCTTCATTGCTAGCAGGTAGTTGGACCTTTTATACTCATAGTTGACCTTCGGTACGGTAATATAACGCAGGCGATAAAATTACGAGATAACAACAGCGGTTTTGTCGTATCAGAATCATTAAGTGTCTTAATAAGTTCACGGATAGGTTTTTTTCCCAATAAATCGTGTGTCTACTATAATCAGTTACACGATTTAGTCGTCTGTGATATCATGTAATAAACACAATATAATGATACCGACCGTTGGGCCCTAACCTATCATAAAACGGATAGACGTTACCAACTGATAGTTTTTAGTGTCTGTTTGTTTCTCACATCTGGTACACCGGGTTTTTAGTTAAAAAAAAAAAAAAAAAAAAATTGAATTTGAGTAAACTTTAAGTAAAAAGTGGTACTTGAGCACAAAACCTAATAGTATCATTCTGCATAGATATACATAAAATTGTTTTAATGATTTGATCAATTTTTTTTAAAGATTTTAGGTGTTTTTGTTAAAATATACGAAATCTGCGAAAACACTGTTTCCCGGCAATTAAAAAAAAAACTGTAGTGCCGAATTTTTTTCCCGTTTAATATGTTATGGGTACATATGAGTTCCAACTACTGGCAAATTTTCAACACAAAAGTTTTAAAACTACCGCTAAAAACCCCGAAAAACAAAAAAACTTGTACCCCCCCTGGGGGGGTGAGAAATGGGTATAGTTTAAGTTTGACACAACTGACGTGTGCGGGCATACCAAATAATTATTTCCTATACATTTCAACTCGATCCGACTCTTTTTCTCGAAATTATAGCCATTAAAAGTTCTAACATAAAAACTCGTACGGTTTTTTTTTGGTTTTTTCAACTTTCGTCTGTGAAGAGTTAAACTTTTTCAACTTTTACCCCCCCAAAGTACCAACTAGACAAAATTTGTGATTAATAGAGTTGCTATTCGAAGGAATTGGTCAAGTATTAAAAAAGTTACAGGGTATACAGCGAAAAAAAAAGCCCACATCAGAGTAAAACCAATACCTTCTCGCTTTGCATCGAAGCTAAAACATGAAAGACCGCAAGTGGAGAACATCCTTAATGGCTCCATTGGCCGCAAACTTTATGGCTGTACTTTTCTTGAATGACAATAAAGAGTACAGAGTAGCGTTTCATTTCAACGAAAAACGTATGACCATAACGCTTAATGACGGGTCTACGTGTGAAGTATGTTTGTGGTCAGAAATAAAAAAAAAATTGGAAAAATATATACACGAATATAGTTGTGGGTTGGGTATCGATATAAATTATCCATCTTATTCCCAATCCAATCCGTATTGGTTTTTTTTCACGATGACAGCATACAGATTGGTTTCCTCTGATGAAATTAAAAAAACACGGAGTAAGTACAGAACCACTTGTACTTCTTTGTTTCCAATTGTCTGAACAATCTATGAACTAAATTAGACAACAGTTTAGTTCATGCAATTTGTTTTGTAACATAGGTGATACACCAGTTCAGTTTTTTGCGGTCATGCGGCATAACATGACAGTGCCATCGGACGACTTTCTTAATGAATGGACACGTTATAATGTTTATAAATACAAAATTACCGCAAGAGCACAAATGTGCTGGCATGATATTAACTCCATTCGAAGTTGGCGTTGGTATATCAAAGATTACCACAGAAATAGCAAAGACAATGTTTACCGTTATCGAATAGAAGACATAGCTAACCGCATTCGGAGAGCTTTTCCAAACTTATTTAGCAAACCGTTCAATTCTGCAAACTATAAGGTACAACGGGTACTATTAAACATAATATTATAGAAGCTATTCCTCATATTTCAATTATAGGTATCGTCAAGGCCAGAGCAAATTTGCAAGGATACTGCAGAAATGTTTTTGCAAGGTCTTTTTAAAAACAATAGCATTACCAGCGTACCCGAATGGGAGCATAGTAATCTGTTATTAATGGTAACGGTTAATTGCATTTGAAGTTTTCCTTATTTTAATAACGATGCATTTATTAAATTAGATGGATAAACTGAATACATATGATTCGGAAGATATTGCTGAATCTGAAAAATTCAAAAAAAGTGACGACATAAAAAATGTTTTAAAAAGGGTTGCAATCAAAATGGGGCTTGAACCTGGAGCACTTGGTGATGGTAAACGCAACAAACATTCTTTATGTAACAAACTTTGATATCCTATTAAAGTGGTTTTGGTTTTGGTTTTATTAACTATGCATATGATGTGTGTCGCTTTGAAAGATCTTATGAGGACCAATCATTTCCCGCGTTGTGCAGGATATTCTGCCGAAAAGATCTTAAAGTAAGTATTATATTTTATGAATCATTATTATACTATGTTTAAATCGATGTTTACACATTAATTCAGGCATTGGAATACATCGACGATCTATTATGGTACTATACTGCTGGTTATGGAAATCCTTCAAACTTACAAAAAGCTTGTCCTATGGCCAGAAGTCTTTTAGAATCTTTCGAGTATAATAATTATCAAATCAAATTTTTTTTTTTTACCAATTATAGAAAACCACATTTTAAATAATGCGTTTGTCTAACTAATCTACTTTCAGAAGAAAAACTGAAGAACGCGGTCCTATTGGTGCTTTTCATTTCGGTAACGCTGATGACATATTTATTGTATATGTCATGCTGGGTCTAGCCAAAGATGATGTTTCATTAACGGCAGATAACTACAAAGAAATGGCGGACCGTGAGTGGAGGACTTCCTTGATGTCTCCATGGCTTGCGAACTTCATGGCTGTACTTTTCAAAAGCAATAGTGATGAATACAGAGTAGCGTTTTATTTCAACGAAAGACATACGACCATAACGCTAAATGACGGGTCTCCGTGTGAAGAGTGTCCGTGGACCGAAATTGAAAAGTTGTTAATGAAATATATTAATGACAATCAGTGTATTTAGGTTGACAACAAAACTAATTGTTTCTCCATTTTTATTCGTTTTATTCTTAATCTAATATAACATAATACATACCTATCATAAAATATGTTTTGTGTACGACCAATTGAGTTTATAAACCCCAATAAATAGCTATACATCTCACATATCATTTAATTTTTATAAAGTATCTAATTATTATCCTGTACTAACAATATTAGAGGTCAACAATTATCATATTTTATATGCGTTTTGTTTAAATAAATTTGTTATACTTAAAAATACGAATAAAAATTATCACATATATATTGAATATATTTAGTAGAAGTCAAACGTCTAAATTAAATCCAACGGTAAAGGCTGTGATAGGAACATAACAAGAGATTTCGGATGGGTTGGGGTTGTTCAAATAAGTATTTCCGTTAGTAGAGAAATTGGGACAACTAATGAAGATTGTATTTTAGGTCTCACGATACTGTTAGTTTTTAAAGTATTATTTCTATTTTATTGTTGAATTAAAATTATATTATAGACGGAAAATACCGCCTTCCATGATGAATCTAACCTATATTTTAGACTGTCAGTTTTTAAAATGGATTTTGAACACAATAGTTCTGAATTAAGTTTCAGTGATAGTTTTCAAAACTGATTATGATTACGAGATAATGTATCGAAAAATTTACCTACACGACGTGAACCGTTTTCAAATGTGTTTTATAAACTTTATTATGTTTATTATAACTACGGTATATTATGCCACGCTAGGAAATGTTGTTGTAGGATTCGGTATAAAAACACTCATTGTATACATGTTCATATCGTAAAAAGGCGTTTACATGTTTTGTTATTTTCCAAATTGTTGCAAGTATAATATATATATTGCATCAGTCCCACGGAGCTGAAATAATAATTATTAAAAAAACATATATCAGCCGCAATTAACTCGCATGTATTTATACGACAATTTATTTTTTTTGTTTGATGTAGGTTCATATAATACTATTAGTTTTTATAACAATATTATACATATTGTTGTTTTTAAGTTTTCACATTATTTGTTGTTCCTAAAAATGATTTTTCAGATAGATTAAATATAAAACCAATTTTACCCGAATGGATTTACACTCACGGTTTTGGTTTATTATGCGATCTGATAGATTCGCGTCGAAGCGTTTATTTGAAAGTGATATCATTATGCATTTGTTGTAGTCATACAGAAAAAACAGAAATTATACACAAATGTGATTATAATTTATTCTACATATAAAAAAAAAATAAAAAGTTCTTATCGATTATGACCTAATTATTAGAAAGACGGTTTTATTTTAGTTACAGAAAGAAAGAAGTTTAGGATAATGTACTTTGTCTATTTTAAGTCATAACCCATTTGAAATAAAATAATATTACTAAAAAAAAAAAAACATAAGTGCTCGATAAGTCATCCAATAATAAATATAAAAAATTGTATAGTAATAGTGTTTTTGTTTTTTTTAGTGCTTTTAATCATTATAAAAAAAATATTTGAACGTTAGATACAGTGACATGTGTTTAAATGTAAATATTTATCGTCGGCCTACGCCATTAGGGTTTAAAATCAAGAACTTAAATTACATAAATGATTTATATCATTAAATTCTATTATAAATACTCGTAGTGACTAGTATAGTGCCAGCAGTGTCAACTCGACTTTATAATTTAGTTAAACGATTGAATCTTGCGTTTGCAAAAGAAAACCGTGTTGCGTTTCAAACAATTTTTTTTTTAAAATGTACGGTTTTTCTTGTTTATGTGCTTTTGTAGTGTTTTTCTCGTACCCGATGTCCGTGAACGCTAATACCGCCAACTATGTGAATATGATGAACGCGCTTCTGGCGAATCCCGGATGGCGCGATTTGGATGAACTAGAAATTGTAGTCATGCCAAAAGACACGCCAAATTCCGGAAATCAACATTTTAAGGTGGATCACTTGCTTCGGACTTATCAGGACGGACCGATAGTGAACGAAGACAATTTACAAGACAAAATCGTAGAAGCCAATCACTTCTCGACATGTAATTTCGCCGTTGTATTCGCCAAATTGTTGAATTACCAAATGAGCATAGAAGGACGGCACCTCTACGAGTCACTTTTGGAAACAATCGAGATGATGGATCCAGTCTTTTTGCGCGTACAACACGCGTTTATAGTATTTCGCCGATTGTCTCCGCACACTGAAGAGCTCAATGCCCAACTGTCAATAATACTAGATGAATTTTTCAACAATGACTTCAGCGACATCCCTAACGACGATGTCCGTGATATCCTGATCGAGACCACAGATAGGATCTTCTGGTTTTTTTTTACGTTTTGCTGGACGAAACTCGAGCAAGTTAATGCTAGTCCTGACTTGGTAACGCCAACGAACGACCTATTGGATTCATTTAGACGGCTTGTTGACGATTTCATACAAACAGATTATCCAAGCTTTGGATTTACATACCATTCGGCCCCGAGCAGTAGCAGATTAAAGTAGACGGATTGATAATAAGATGATAAATAGAAAATTTTGGGTGTTTTTGAAAGGTGTGCGACATTCATGGACAAAATAGAAAAATCGATTTGTCGTTCTGACAGTGTGACTAACCTAGAAAAATAGAAGTATTCCCGTTTTGTCCAAAGTAAACCGAAATAATGGTGACATCTTATTTAAATGATACTTTTTTAAACATACTTGTTACATAGCAATCTATAACAATAAATGTACACTTATTGAAACCTTACATTTTGTTTCTCTTTGAATCTTTATAGCAATTAGTAACTACAACGCCATGCTTTCTCGTTCCAGAAACACATACGACCATTATCACACGATAACAGATGAATACTTTTTATTTTATTATTTTTAAAGTAGTTTTAAGCCTTCAAATTTTTGCCCTTTTATTACCTATCATATACTTCGTATCAAAGCGTTTATTTAAAAGGTGATAATATTTATTTCAGCATTGTAATAATTCCTAAATTTTCTTATAGACTTGTGACCTTGCCGTCCTTATTTGGCACAATCCTACTTAGTTACCTTTTTTTTATAGTTTAGTTTATTTTCCTTAATGCCTCCGAGACTATTTTGTCATTTGAGTTAGTTAATCATAAAAACAAAATATATTCAGTTTCTAAAAATAAAACGTGTACGAACTACAGACATGGTAAGCATTAAAATCATCTTACTATTTTACCGAAGAATTTTTACATAGACTTCAGATACTTAATTTAACATCGTTACAAAAGGAAAATGTTGCTTAAAAAAATATAAAATTATTATGTCTTATAAGACATTTATTTGTATGGAACATACGTCGCACATGTTAACAAAAGAAAAAAATCTCTACTGGTAGAAATACTTTCATCGATAAAAACATTGTACCTAATAACAATAATGTGCTTAAAATATAAATCGTATTTAACAGATTTCATGAAAACATTTTTGGATGCCTTTTGACTTTTGATTCACTCACATATATCAACCTAGAAATTGAGTACAGTCAAAGTATAATTTTTCCTTTTTTTCTCAATAAAAAAAAGTTCAACGTCAGATAGTCGAGACAATCGATATAATTTTCAAATTTAAAACCCTAAAAGTCAGAGTTGGGTATATTTATGTATAAAAGTTTTATACTTCAACATGTATGGAACACATCGAAGCTAAAATAGAGTTACTTATGCCCAAAGAAAGAAAATCTAAAATTAATCGTTTAAATTCTTAAGAATTATTTCAAATTTTGAATCGTTTTTAATTTTTAACTGAAAAATTACGACGCTCAATATATTTTTAAAAATAGTCGAATTAGTTTTAAAGTTGTATGGAGTTTTTACCTTTAAACATAGCACAAATAAATGCTGTTTAAAAGTATCTAGCAATTGTTTTTAATATTCGTAAATTCTAGTGCTTCGTGCTCGTTTATTATTTGTAAGTACGGCAGTTTTTTTCTGTATATAAAAATTCCATTCTGATTTCATAATTTCACAACTACCTTGTCTTTTCAATCGTAACGAGAAAAACAACACAAAAACAAAATATAACCTACTCGCATTTTCCATAATGCAAACACCTTAGTAACTAAAACAGTAGCATTTTTGTTTACTATAAGATATTTGTTTTTATGCATTGGCCGTTGACATACACTACACCACCGTTTCGAAAAAGTACAATTTTATACATGCGAATTGTTATATAACTATATATCATTATCTCGTCGATAATTGTTATTCCATACAATATTGCCAAGTAAAATAAAACTCGCCATAAGCCTTACAGAATTTTTTGAAAAACACTAATATTCATAAGGGTTTATAACAATTGGTGGGTGTTCCCACATAGGTACGTCATTCCCAATGTTAGAAAAATAAATAATTTCAACTGGGTGTACTTAAAATTAGTACATATATTAAGACCTTTATGTGAACAAATTGCATTTCTGTTGGAAAATTAAATTTTATTAGACTGTTAAATTATTTACTCTGTACACACAACAGGTAATTACATTTTAATTTTACTATTTTTAGGGGGTTTACTTAAATAAGAAAAAAATAGTTTTTACTACAGATCTTTTAAAATTTGTTTGTCAATTATGTTATAATAGCTTGAGAATAAAATGATTAAAAATGGAAAAACAATAAGTTTTGTTGTTAATCTAAACACACTGATTGTCATTAATATATTTCTTTAACAGCTTTTCAATTTCGGTCCACGGACATTCTTCACATGGAGAGCCATTATTTAGCGTTATGGTTGTACGTTTTTCGTTGAAATAAAACGCTACTCTGTATTCATCACTATTGCTTTTGAAAAGTACAGCCATGAAGTTCGCAAGCCATGGAGACATCAAGGAACTCCTCCACTCACGGTCCGCCATTTCTTCGTAGTTATCTGCCGTTAATGGAACATCATCTTTGAGTAGACCCAGCATGGCATATATATTAAATATGTTATAAGCGTTTCCAAAATGAAATGCACCTTTTAGACCGCCTCCTTCAGTTTTTGTTCTGAAAATAAAAGTAAGTTTGTTAGACAAATATATATTTTAACATTGTGTTTTCTATAACTGATTAAAATAACAATTTTTTTTTTTCAGATAACATTTATTTTGACATTTTCATGTCTTAGCTCTGGCACATAACCGAATAAAGTGTTACCAAAAAAGCGTTATCACACGGAGATGGGGTTGTGGGTGGGAATATCAGATATCAGAGTTTGTTATGTAAATAGCTCCTATTGAGTTTACCATTGTCAAGTGCTCCAGGCTCAAGTCCCATTTTGATTGCGATCCTTTTTAAAACATTTTTTATAACGTCACTTTTTTTGAGTTTTTCAGATTCAGCAATAGCTCTCGAATCATTTTTATTGAGTGTATTCACCTAATTTAAATTATTCATCATTATTAAAAACAAGGAAAACTACAAGTGCAATTATTCATCGTACCATCAGTAACTGGTTATTATGGTTCCATTCAGGTTCGATAGTAGTACTTTTGTTTTTAAAAAGATAATTTAAAAACACTTTTCCGGTACCCTCACATATTTCTTCTGGCCTTTTCGATACCTATAGTTTAATTAAAAGATATATAGCTTCTATTATATTATGTTTAATAGGACACATTCTACCTCATAGTCTTTTGAATTATACGGCTCACTAAATAAGCTTGGAAAAGCTTGCAGAATGCGGCCAGCTAATGCTTCTACTTTATACCGGTGCTCGTTAATTTCTTTTTCGGGGAAATCGCAAAGCCATCGTCGAAAGGAATTAATATCTGACCAGCTCATTTCTGCTCTTGCGGTAATTTTAAATCTATAATCATCATACTTTTTCAATTGCTCGAAAAATTCGTCAGACTTCCATGTCACTCCATGGCGCATGATCGCAACAATCTGAACTGATGTATCACCTGTGTTACAAAAAAAAAAATTGCATATGTCCAATTTGGTTTATAGGTTATTTGGATAATTTAAGAAAACTAAGAAATATACAGGGTGATCCAACAAATGTAAGACACTCATTTTCTCTAAACTTGTAGGTACATATTTTACTACATTTTTCAATATTTTGAAAATGTTTATCATCAACCCTTATAAGGCAAAAAGGGGAATTTTTTTTTTTTTAATGGCAACAACTGTTTTATGTTCGCATTGTCCAATTGGCGATAAAATTCTAACAACTAGGAAGTCACCAATAAAGATTTTAAAATAATGATAGACCAACGGTTCTTATAAACAGATTACTTAGATTACTGGTTATTTATTATATCTGACTATGATACAGAGTACAGTAACACGTAAAACTATTTTTATTCGAAGTAATAAAACTACTCGTCGTTGTAGTAACGATTGAAAATATTAAGAAATACAGGCAAAAAATCAAATCTTTATAAAGTCATAACAAATGAATAAATACATGAAAATTCAAACGCTAACATATTTTTTAATTTTTTGTCTACAAATTTATGTAGTTAAAAACATATGTTGCCTTTTAATAAACCAAAAATCCCCCATTTTGACCTATAAGGATTGATGATAAAAATTTTAAAAATATTGAAAAAATTAGTAAAATATGTACCTAAATGTTTAGGGAAAAGAAAATTCTCAAAATATTCATATTTTCAGAGAAAATTAGTGTCTTACGTTAGTTGGATCACCCTGCATTATACCACAGAATAAGCAGAAGAGAAATTATTCAATTTTTACACGGGCTCTTATGGGAGGAGATAAAATCATGTCCGACATCTTGAATCGAGAATGGGCAGTGCTGATATAGGTGCAGGGAAATTCTCATTTTTCGTCCATTCTGGCAAAACAGTTCACTGAACGAACGTGGGAAATGGCGACGACATTGACGACATTTAATAAATGAACAGTGTAGCCATAAGTCACAGAAAAATTAAAAACGAGGAAATATCCTAGTTCTGCGCGTCACTGCCTATTTCTCAATATGTCTGACCGTTTTTTGATAATCTTAGAGATTCCTTTCTGTTTATTCTGTGATTATACTATAAAATCTTACTGAAACTTGGTCCATATTCTAGTCCTAGTATGTTTCCAACACTTTCAACAACTTCATCGACAAATTCGCGCCCGAAATATGACAATTCGGGACTTCTGTCCAGTGTTCGTATATTTGGCCACGTGGTAAGCGAATCAATCTAGTTTAAATAATAAAACTTAATGCATAGGCTTCACAAACCATCGATTGTACATTCTACTTGCCATTAGTAGTCTGTCGTCTGCATCACACACTGGAATATCAGCAAAGTCCGACGTTTCGAAAATAGTTTTCAAAAATATTTTCCCAGTTTCTTGACATTTTTCCTCCTTCCTTGTCAATACCTACAATCATAATTATTGTTGTCAACAAAAATGTTGAAAATAATTGGTCACCCTTTCGCTTCGATAAACCGTACATTATAGTTCGTCGAGTCGTACGTTTGGTTAAATATGTCTGGAAATGCTTTTTGAATCCTCTTTGCTAACTCTCTTATCTCGTAACGGCCATGTTCGACTAACCCTTGTTTGAAGGCCCAATCAAAATTTGGTTTCCAATTTTTAATCGCTTCGCTATCCGATGGACACATTTTAGCATTGTTCAAAGATTTCAATCGTTTAAACTCTTTTTCATGTAAATAAAAGTTATGCTCAAAGTCCTCCGACGGATGTGATGCGCCATGTTTGATCACCATAAAAAGCTGAATTGGCGTGCCGGCTAAATATGGTAAAAAGCATACTGTTATAATTTCAGTTATAGCCGTGCCATATTTAAAAGTAATAAACCCAATTTAACGTCAGTTAAAAGTAATCAAACTTAAAAGCGGTAAACCATTACCTGGTAATTCTATTTTTTTCTCGGAAACATAATCGTATGAGGTTAACGTGGACAAAAACCATTGAGGGTATGTTTTTTCATTACACGTAGAATGAACGGCAGCACAGCTATGGAAAATAGCTATTACTATAGACCACTGCAATATACATACCAACTTCAACATCGTATCGCTTTACTGAACATTTTAAAATAAAATATTTTCTGTTTCTGAAAATTGTTATAATGGAACGAACCAACGGCAAATAGATATATCAAACATAAGTATAAAACAGACAAACTTAGAATACCTAGCGTTACTCTCGACTACATACATAAACTACTAAAATGTATATCATATATGTTTAGATTTGTTTAAACACATGCATGGTACATACCTTATCAACTTCGAATTCGATGTGTACCCAATGTTTTTGTTGAAAATAACTTGTTTTCGATAAAAAAAAGCAATAACAAGACTATAAAAATTGTTTTTGGAAATATTATACTTCTTATGTTGTTAAGACTTTTATAATACCTTCAGGTAGCTTTTGTTTACATTGCTACAGTCATCATGAAAAATAATATATTAAATGTATGAGAATATATCGTTTTAAATAAAATTAAGTTGAATTCATATGTTATTAATGATTAGATTCTAAAAATGTTTAAGCATTAGATATAATATTAGAGCCCTTCTATGTAGCTGTAACTTTAGGTCTACCCTCATGATATCATAATTTATAATTATATTAAAGTTATTTACAAATATTTATATAAAAAAAGGGAAACTCATTTCGGGGTTAAATGATTGTATTACTTATAGGATTTCTTAATTAATGTATGACAATTTTATATTAAAAACTATTTTAATTTTTCTACAAATTATTGTTCATGGGGTTTGCCCAGGTGGCTTAAAATGCATAAGATCTCTATCATTGTATTGATCGGTAGAACACTATGTTTGAAAAAATATTAGTCGCAAACGAATATCCAATAAGCTTATGAATGCATTTTATAAACTAAATTAATGACAAATTATAATATTAGCTTCGATGCAATAGCGTGAGAAGGTATTTGTTTTATAAATAGGTATGTGTTTTTTCTGTGTCTGAAGTCAAGATTTTTCCTATCAACAGATTTACTTCTTTTTTTTCACCTTTTTAGATGTAGTTTTAGGGTTCAAGATAATTTTAGGTATTTATTATGTTAATTTATTTTATTTATTTATCGTTATTTATTGTTGTATTAACGCCAAACGGCAATTATGTAAGTAAATATAAAAATAAGACGAATATATGTAACAAGTATTAAAATTAAAATTAAGTGAGTAACAAAGTATATTAGTTCTAATAAAATGTTGTTATAGATTAAGCATTAGATTATTAATTATTATTATTTATAAAGCGGAAACAATTATTCCCTTGTCAACACTGATTGTCGTTAATATATTTCAATAACAGTTTTTCAATTTCGGTCCACGGGCACTCTTCACACGCATTCCCATCATTTAGCGTGATGGGCGTACGTTTTTCGTTAAAATAAAACGCCACGTAATATTCACCAATTTTGTTTTTAAAAAGTACAGCCATGAAGTTTGCAAGCCATGGAACCATCGAGGAACTTTTCCACTTACGGTTCACCATGTCTTTGTAGTTAGATGACTTTATGGGAGCATCGTCTTTGGCTAGACCCAGCATGACATATATATTAAATATGTTAAGAGCGTTTCCAAAATGAAAAGTACCATTTGGACCGTTTCCTTCAGTTTTTCTTCTGAAAATAAAAGCAAATTAGTTAGACAAATGCATTTTTTAACTTTGTGTTTTCTATAACTGATTCAAAAACAATATGACTTAAATTGTACTAACAATAATTGTGAATTATATGTTGACACAAAAATTATGTATTAAATTCTAGAATTAAATTCTTAATTATAATTTTAACGTTTACACGAACCGGAATGGTAATATTGATCAACCTTCAAATTATACATTGTAGAATAAAATAATCACCATAATGTAAGAACTTGGAGCAAATAAAGGTTAAAACTGGGAGAGGTTTAAATTAATTTCGATTTAAGAGTATTATTAGAAAAGAACTAATATTTTCTTTATTTTTTTTTGATACTGCGGACAATGGAGTGAACGGAAATTTAAAAATTGAATAGTACCTTCCGATTTAACAATAGTTAAAATAGTCTACAATATATATGACTATACATTGAACATTAAATACCTTGTCAAAAATGTCAAATATCATAAAGAACAAGTTAAAATAAGAGTCGCAAAACGACAAATATTATTTTGAATTATTATAAATACCTATTTGCACAACTCTATTACAGAATATTTAATTTTATTTGTTTTCCTAATAAGTTACCAAAGTATAATTCAAATATATATCTTTGACCATTATGATCATAGATAAACAGTAAAATCATTATACTTGAATGTTTCTAAAAGACTTCTGGCCATAGGACATGCTTGTTGTAAATTCGAAGGGTTTCCATAACCAGCAGTATAGTACCATAGTAGGTCATAGATGTATTCCAATACCTGAACAAATGTTGTACTCATCAATAAATATAAATTTGTAGCCGTTAACTCAATCATAATATTATAGTAATATTTCTCATAATACTTACTTTTAGATCTTCTCGGCAGAATATCCTGCACAATGCAGGAAATGATTGGTCATTAAAAGACCTTTCAAAGCGACACGCGTTGTATGCATAGTAAATAAAACCAAAATCTAAACATTATAAAAAATATCAGAGTTTGGTATGCAAATAACTTCTGTTGAGTTTACCATCGCCAAATGCTCCAGGTTCAAGACCCATTTTAACTGAAACCCTTTTTAAAACATTTTTTACAACGTCACTTTTCTTGAATTTTTCTAATTCAGCAATATCTTTCAAATAATCCTTATTTAATTTATCCATCTATTTTGAAATATTTATCATTATTAAAAACAAGAAAAACTACTAGTGCAATTTATTGTTACCATCAGTAACTGGTTATTATGCTCCCATTCAGGTTGGCTAGCAGTACTTTTGTTTTTTAAAATACAATTTAAAAACACTGTTCCACACTTTTCACCCTTACTTATTTCTTTTGGTCTTGACGATACCTATAATTTAAATAAAATATATACCTTCTATAATATTATGTTTAAAAGGACACATTGTACATCTTGTGACATTTTTTTTGAAAATTTCAGATACAACATTATCGATAGAACAGTTTTTATTGAGTTGATCTAGGTAACTAATTTAAAATATTTATCATTATCAAAAAAAAAGTGCAATTCGCTGTTACCATTAGTAATTGGTTATCATTTTCCCATTTCTCACTCTTAATACTTTCGTCTGTAAAAATACTTTGTAAAAATAATTCCCCATAATCCTTACAAATTTGCTCTGGCCTTGACAATACCTGCAATTTAAATAGTTGATGTGTTTTCTTTAATATCATGTTTAATAGGACACATTGTACCTTGAAGTTTTTTAATTCGAACGTTTTGGTAAATAAGTTCGGAAAAGCTTTCCGGATGCGGTTAGCTAAGGATTTAACTTTAAAAGAGCCTTCGATATCATTTGTGACTTTAAGCAAAGAGCAACTCCAGTTTTGAATGAAATTAATATCTGACCAGCTCATTTCTGCTCTTGCGGTAATTTTGTACTTGTAAGCATCATACCGTGTCCATTCTTTGAACAATTCGTCAGACGGCCGGGTCACTCCATGCTGCATGACCGCAAAAATCTGAACCGGTATATCACCTATGTTACAAAACAAAATTGCATGAACATTGATGTCTAATTTAGTGTATATGTTGTTCGGACGATTTACAACTAAGAAGTATATAGATGGCTTTGTACTTACTCTGAGTTTTTTTAATTTCATTAGAGGAAACCAAACTGTATGCTGTCATCGTTGAAAAGTTCCAATACGGATTGGAATTGGAATAAGATGGATAATTTATATCGGTATCTGACGTACACCTATAGTCGTATATATATTGTTCTAACTTCTCCTTAATCTTTGACCACTCACACTTTTCACACGTACTACCGTCATTTAGCGTTATTCTCATACGTTTTTCGTTAAAATAAAACGCCACGTGATATAATATATTGCCTATTTTGTAAAGCACAGCCATGAAGTTTGCGGCCAATGGAGCCAGCAAGGAACTTCTCCAATTGCGGTTCTTCATGCTTTTATAGTTGGATGCCATTAATGGAGCCACATCTTTGGCTAGACCTAACATGACATACAAGTTCAATATATTTATAGTGTTTCCAAAATAAAATACACCTTTCGGGCCCTTTCCTCGTATTTTGTTTCTGGAATTAAAAGAAATCAAATTAAATAATTAAAGAGGTAGAAAATCAACTGACCAACTGTTTCAAGTACTCCAACTCTATAATTATGCAGAATCGTTCAGTTTTGATATGATCACCATAAGTTAAACGGGTATCACGTTAATGTATTTATATGGAAAAAAAATATTATACTTGAAGCTTTCTAGTAAGCGAATAGCCATCGGGCAACCATATTTCACGCTAAACGGATTTCCGTGACCCTCGCCAAAATAATATATGAGATCTTTCAAGTATTCCAAAACCTACAAGCAATTCGAAGATAAAATTATTTTGTATTCATAGCATTATATAAGCCTTTATACTATATTGCTTACGTCGAGATCTTCATTACAGAATACACGGCACAAAGGTGGTATTGATTTTTCATCGTGAGATCTCTCTGTGCCGCACGTGGTGTACAAAGAAGACACCAAATTATAATCTGAATCATAATAATGTAACAATAAGACTCCACTCTATTGTATTTTTTTTTTATATTATTAAGCCTACCATCTGGAAAGTTTTCAGGTTTACGTCCTATTTTCTTCAAAACCCTCTCAATAACATTCTTTATATGATCGCTGCGCAAGAAATGTATCAATTCGTGATTATCTATTCTTCGTACATTTGGACTACTTTCCATATAATGTTCAGTCTAAATCACAAAACGAAACTAAAAAGCAAATGCTAAAGATAACATCGAGTGTATTTCTACTTGCCATTAGTATTTTATCGTTTTTGTCACACACTGGAACAGTGTCAATGTTTCGATTTTGGAAAATAGTATTTAAAAAAACTTTTCCAGTGTCTTTACTATGTTGCTCCCACCTTGTCAATACCTAGAAGAATATTTTAGTAAAAGAGTAGAAAGTATATTTTGTTTACTCTTTTTTATGTTTATTATCTTATATTAACTGACGAATCATACATAATAGTCAGCAGTGTTGTACTGATTGATAAACATATCTTGAAAAGCTTTTCGAATCCTCTGGGCTAATTCCATGATTTCGTCTTTGCCTTTTTGTACTAATCCTACTTCGTATTTTCTTTTTGGTTGCCAACGTTCAATTGCTTCAATATCTGATGGACACATTTCAGCATTTTTAGAAATTTCTAATTTTTTCCACATCTGATGCCGATGATAATGTTTTCTCTCGTGTCCGTCCCAAGATGGATGAGACGTGCCATGTTTAGTTACCATAAAAAGCTGTACTGGAGTGCCGACTATAAATATCAAAAAAAAAAAAAATGGTTAATTTCAATTATAGCCGTGCCGTATAATATGAAAGTAATAAACCCATGTCAGACACCTAAGATTATCGATTTTATAACATTCAAATGTTACCACGGGTAAATAAAAAACAATAACAATTCAAAATAATAAAGCTTTAAAATGATAGTACATACTTGGTAAGTTTATTTTCTTAGGAGAAACATAATTATACGACGTTAACGTGGAAAAAAACCATTGAGGGTTTGTTTTTTCATAACACGTATAATTGTTGGCAGCACAGCTATGGACAATAGCTATTATTATCGACCACTGCAATATACATACCAACTTCAACATCGTATCGCTTTACTGAACACTTTAAAATAAAATATTTTCTGTTTCTGAAAATTGTTATAATGGAACGAACCAACGGCAAATAGATATATCAAACATAAGTATAACACAGTCCAACTTACAATACCTAGCGTTACTCTCAACTACATACATAAACTACTAAAATGTATATCATATATGTTTAGATTTGTTTAAACACATGCATGGTACATACCTTTTCAACTTCGAATTCGATGCGTACCCGAAGACATTGTGGAAACCACTTGTTTTCGATAAAAAAAGCAATAACAAAACTATAAAAAATGTTTTTGGAAATATTATACTGCCTATGTTACTGTTATAATACCTACAGGTAGCTTTTGTTTACATTGCTACAGTCATCATGAAAAATAATATGTTAAATGTATAAACATATAGCGTTGGCTCGTTGAATCCATTTATCCATATATTATAAATGATTAGAGTCTAATCATGTTTAAGCATTGATAGACATAATATTAGAGCCCCTCTATGTAGCTATAACTTTAGGTTTACCCTCGTGTTATTTCTAAAACAAAATGAATAACAAATTATAATTTTAGCTTCGATGCGATAACTGAGAAGGTATTTGTTTCAAAAAAAATGAGTTTTTTTTCTGTGTCTGAAGTCACGATAATTTTGTCCCGATTTAATCAGGTAGCACCTCTATACACCCGAAATCGTAGGTAAAATGCAAAATATTTTTTGTTATAAAAATATGTAGTAAAATTATTTATCCACACTGAGACGATGTACAAAAAGTACATGTTGTTTGTACATAGGCAGATAGGCTATGACTCATACAATTTGGATGCAATTAACTTTAGTTGAATCATCTTTTTACACAAAAGCAAACGATACATTAGGAACACAATAAAAAAATGTGTTAACTATCATGGGTTTACGTAGGTAAAAAATTATGTTTTTAAGTACTATTATTGGTTTTTATACATGTATGTTTATACCTATAATAAACGAGCATTTCAAGGTAATATATATCAGATGTATAATAATATTGTCATCAAAAAATATACTAATACATATTACGTATACTTTCAGTGTAAACTTAACCGTTAAATATCTACTTAATTTACACCAAAAACATTAGCACACATTTTAACGGAAAATAAGCCAATTATCTACTTACCGTTTATACACTGAAAATATAAACGAATGATCAAAATCATAATGTCGTTCATCGTTCAGTTCTGCAACAGCACTTGGATGGTTTTTAATAAATTGTCGAATAATTCGGATTTTGGTAATAATTATGTATGAACACAATCAAATTCATAAACTAACATTTTTTTTTTTTTTTTGCAGGAAAAACTACACACCCCCTTGAAACCCGGCGTGAATGACTTACAAAACGGGCTTTCTGTGGCCAGATTCTTCCAAATTCCAATTAAACACACATAAAATATTTTCTTTATTATTTTATTTTGCTCGGGATTCAATCATACCACTTGAACGAGATACTCAAACACATCCATAGCCCACCTGTTCCCTTTAAACGACGCCGGTGTATGTCCCAATGATTCTTTATGCCCCAACTAATTAAAATTAGTCGAATAAACGACTCGACGAAAAAAAAACTTTTTTAATTTGAAGATCTATAAAAAAAAAAAAAAAACAATTTAAAACAATAAATATCACAATTTATAACAATTTAAAAAATGAACCTTTCCGCTAAATCAAAACAGTCTACCGGCTGGCTTGTCGCAACGCCCTCGTGTTGCCTATATTGCCTATGAAAAGCGCCTCACAGTGACTTGCTAAGATGGTACATAATATAACAAAATCATTATTATTATTATTATTAAAGTGTCCATTATACCTAACCTCTAACATTTTTAAATGTGTACTGTATGTTTTACCCCAGATTTCTATACCATAACTCAATTATTGGTTGACTCAGAGAAAAATAAACTATTCTTTTAAAAAAAAAATGTACAACCTTGTACATTCAAGGATTACATCACGCTTCAATTTTTGGCAAAATAGACTTAGAATTGTCTAGTTTCAAACTTAAGAGGGATATTCATTAGGTTAATGGACACAGTGATGCCAATTTACAGTGAAAAACCAAGAAAATATCATTTACCTTATTCCTACAGAAGGGGTAGAACTTCTTTTTGTACTTTATGTACGGTTTTTTAGACATAGTTTTTGGGTTGGAGAAATTAACATTACATAGGTACATAGGTATTCTAAAGTGACCCTAAAACATACAGTTTTGTTTCTTCAAAAATCTCTTAGTAATTTTTTATTTTTATTTAGGGAAGACTAAAATAAAAAGTTGTATAAATTCGCTAACAAATTCATTACTTTATAAATGGGTATTGTTATCTGTTATTATTAACTTATTATATTTTTTGTTGATAGTTAATTTTTTTTATATTAAACTAAACCAGTAAACCAGCGGATCATGGAAATTTAACAGAAGTACATGTTGTGTTCTATTTGTGAATTTAAAAAAATTAATTCGATTACATTAACTGACCAAGCCTTACAAGTATAACAAAGCAGTTTAGTTTTCCTACCAAGATAGTGAACATAATTGAAACTAATCTCAATAACACATAAATTAGGATAAAAGCGGCATCAGAGACGTCAGACCACAAAAATGATCAAAAGTAAATCATTAGCGTTGCAAACAGCAACTATAATTGGCGCCATTTTCTGAATCATCATAAAAATGATAATGAAAGCAATAAAAAATATATATCTTAGGGTTATTCACCCAAAGACTATTGACTAACATATTATAATATTATACTAAACGACTGTCCAAATTATTACACTCAATTGTATTATAGGTATTTTATTAATTTATTCGGATGAAAAAATGTTTACAATAATTTTTGGTTTTTTCATAGTCATTTTTTAGTACTCGAAAAACGACTTGTACAACTATATCTTAATACAGGTTATACTAGATGCCATGCCACTCAATATAACCTTCAAACGATTGAATATCGAAAAGAAAAAAACATATCATAGTACATTACAATTATTAGCGTTGTTAATGTGATAGTTTATTAACACCACATTTGTATAATGATAAAATAAGATTTATTAACCTTAAAATAATATTTGACTACTGAAAAATAAAATAAACGATGACGAAATGTTGAGGAAAAAAAATATCAAATTATACTGACAACCGTTCGATAACTAATAAATACAATAGTAAAAGTAATACATAAAAATAATAAATAAAATAACATACATTTGATACATAATAATAATAAAAAAAAAAAATAGTGTATTTACAGCATTAAGTTATAATATTATAATTAAAATTTCACTTTTATATTAAAATAAACTTAATGAATGTGTGTAATAGGTACGACAGCTTGAGCTAATGAAGGGGGAAAAATGTAACATTCCGTTGTGACTACATTATATAGTTAAATTAGCAAATAATAATTTTGGTCTTAACAAAATTTGTTTTATTTAAATTATAATGTTTTATAAAATAGGCTCTATACAGTGTTGAGCCTATTTTTAATTATTTATTCATTACTTCGATACAAACGGTAAAAAAATATAAACAAACCGTTAATGCGATATAACGTAAAATAATTTCGTAATAATATTAGTAACTAATAGTAAAGTTGTGTTTGACATAAAAATTAAATGAATGATCTATTAGAAAAGTAGAGTTAAGATATCCATTGATCCATTTTAGTATTCTGTATTTAATCTATATAGGCATAAAACACGTTTTCTAACTTTAATTTTATGAATAAACAATATTTTGTTTGCACATTGATGTTATACCCGCAAAAATACATTCGCAGTTGATAATACCATTATAATAATATTAAAAGTTTGGAAAATGAAAAAAAAAGTATTTGAACCATCCGCTATTTTTTATATATATAAGTATATATATTTCGATAAAGTACACAAATTTACCATAGACTGTAATCGGTATCTTCTTGGTAAAGAGTGAGGAAAAATCCTATGAACGTCAAATATACGACTATGTTTCCGAACAATGTAAAATAACACGCTGTCCATGCGATCTAAACAGAAAAATAATTATTAAAGGAAACAAAATACATGATTATTGTTGACAACTAGGATGACTATTGAGCCATTAGATTGCCCATCAGGTACCCGGGTACATTTTGGGTACACATTTAATTTTTTTAGAGCCTTTTAAAAAAAAATATAATTCTAAAATAAAAATCAAACGAGTACCCGAAACAGAAACGGTACCCAAATTAAACGGACACATGAAATTCTTGTATCCAGGTAATAGCAGACATTTTTGGACTCAGGTAATACCTGAGCCTATCAAGAGCTCTACTTTTGATGTTAACGGATTTTAGAGATATTTTTACTCACAGCGACTTCTCTAGCCATTATGATCGGCAACGCAAATGACGACACTACGATGCACATTGTTATGAATACAGCCAATTCCATATTAGCGCTACCAGAGCCCGAATAGTCGTTATAACGTTTCATCATCATTGTCGGTAACGGCGCTAGTAAATAAAATACCACCACCACAAATGGCCACCAAGAACTAAAATATAAACAGAAAATCATTAACACGTTGGCCTTATTACAGTACAAAACAAACCCCACTTACTTTACTTCCGGCAAGGCACAAGCCAATATCACTAGAGTCATACCAATAGAACCAGCAAACGCAAGCATCATCAACCTATAAAATAAAAATAAGAAGAAAAAAAATTACGAAATGTTCATTAAACAACATTGGTTACGCTCACGAGCAATACAATCCAATTTCAAAACAAAGAATTATCATTACGAGCTTATTTAATTTATTTTTTGTAATTAAAAATTAAAAATTATTTAAAAATTATTTATTAACAAAGTTCAATATACTTACGCTATTATTTATCAGCAAACAAACAAACCAAGGAAACCATGAAACAAAAAAAAATATATATTTATTTTATTCAAACGTAACATGTACAGAAAAAGGAACGACATGTCGTCGAATGATCGGATAATTTATCCGTTTTTGCATAAATTAATTTTTTTTAAATCGAAGTTTTGTGCAATTCTGTAGGAAGTCAAACCAAGATAACAACTTATAAAAATCCGATCACTTTACGAGGCATTAGTCCTGATTCTCGTTTAATGATTTTTCACTAGCTTAAGTGGCTTTGACGAAAAATAAAATTGTGGAAGAGACAAATATTTTGCCGCTCAACAAATGAATGCATTCCATTAATATTACATTGTAACAAAATATCGGAACAGCTTAAGCAGCCCATCCAAGGCTATTACTGACCCTCCCCCCTTCCTTAGGGAAGAGGTTCCCTGTCGTATTTACTAGTTGGAAAAGGTTTTTAGTCCATCGCTGGAGATGGGGATGTCTGTTCTAGACATTTTCCAGCCCAGCAAATAGAGCCGCCACACTGAGTGTTGAACCGGTGACAGTAACGCAAACTTACTGCCACCTTAACTACATGAGCACTTATTCTCCTCATAAAATATAAAAATAGTTAAGCAGCAATGAAAGTTTTGAAAGAGAACAAACATATTATTTTTAATAAAAAAAAAAAATTATTATACCAAGTAAATCTCAAATTTGTGAAAGCTAAGTTTAAAAAATATCAGATTATGTACAGGAAAGAAATACTTAGAAAATAACTTTTTTTTTGAGGCATCAGACTGAATGTCAAAACTACCGTTTAATCTAATTAAAAAGAACCATCAAAAGTAACAAAATAATTTTGTTAAAAAGGCCCACGAAAAATATAAACAAAAAAATTTAAAACTAAAAGTTCTTAAAAAAAATAATGTATTTTTACAAAAAAGATAAGTTCAAAAAAGTAATGTACAATGTATATCAACTAAAATAACCAAAATATCAACTACATAATTTTAATGGAATTAAAAAAAATAGCTGGATCAGGTTTAAAAAAACAAGATATTGGAAACTTGAATTCTACATTACCAAAGATCACACTCGAAAACAATGTTTATTTCAGTTCATTAAAGATGTTTTATTAATTATCTCATAATAAAAAACATCAAACAAGAAAAACTATTCGAACGTAACAATTGGAACAAAATATTTTATTAGATGTATTTCGTTTCTGTTAAAACGTTTTATATTAACGATGTAATGTAATAAATCAACTCGTATTACCTTTTAACCCGGCCATGATTTACAAATAAATAAATGAAAAACAGAACTAATACTAGGAACAATAACTAATTATCGACTGTGACAATTGGAACAAACGTACTATAAAACAACTTAATAATTTATATCTTTAACAATTACTGTATTAATCTTTTTACAATAAATACATAATAAATGTAATTGTAAGTAATAATTTTTATTGTAGATAAAATTTACCAATTTATTTTGTTATCATTATATAAACAATGATTTCGATTATCATTATATTATTACGTCGACAGTGTGGACCGATACCGAGACGGCCGAGTTTGGGTGTTATGTTTTAAAATTCGAAAATAATTGCGAAAATCGTCATTTGGTAATTATTTCGAAAATCCATTGGGCGAAATGAAAATTTCAAAGGAAAAATGAAATTTTCAAACGTTTTGAAAAACGAAATGGCGCACACGAGCTGCACAGTTGGCATAACCGTTTTTCCCACCATTTCGGCGGCCATCTTAGGCCATGGCATGATTGTGCTTTTTTGATTTCCCGGTCCCAACCACTACTATACGTATAGAATATTGACATTGTCTCGTTTCGGCACTTGTGTGTTATAATATAATTATTTTTCTAAAAATTTTTTTGCCGAATTCTACTCAGAACCGAAGATCGTTGGCCGATTATTTAACGTATTAGATACTTTCGAATAACACAAACACAATATGTCCGAACCAGCAAAAGGGTAAGTACATTATAATAATAATTAATCTATTCGCCCAATTAATGCGCGAGACCATTGTTATTTTTGTTACACGTAATAATTGTTTTTCCATAAAAAAATCGCGTCATCAAAATATAGATTTTCAATTTCAAACGACCACGGTTTTTTCGGTTCCTGTGCAGATATTTCAACACTATTCCAGAAAAAAAAGAATAATTATCGCGTTGTCATGTTACGATATTTAGAAATTCGCAATTTTTTTTTGTCCATACCCGAAACGGATTCCTTTATAGATTTTTAAGACGTTTACGAATGATCTGGAATTACTTTTATTACAATATATTATATTAGTATGTCGCATGATTGATTTGATGTCTATTATTTTGGTCTAATGGTTCTATTTTTTTTTGTCTTGTTTTCATTATTATTCTATATCTAAAACTAGTGGCAATTGAACCTTTTCATTTTACTATTGGATAAAAACGCGTTTGTTATAAGTATAAAATAATGTATTCCAATGTATATAATATATATGTGTTATGGTCAGAATTTTTTTTTTGTGAGACAAGTACAAAGGAAAATAAAGCACAACATATATACCAACCTAATAACTGTAAAAAAAATAATAATAATTGAACTGAAAATAATTTTTTAATTATTAATAATCAAATTAATTACTTATACTGATATAAAACAAAACTTTTTAAATACTACTTTCGTAATCCATAAAGTTATAGTTTTAGCAAAAATTTTTTTATTAAATCGCTTACTTAATAAAGTATTGGAAATCTTAGCTTCTATATATAGTATTATATTAAAGTGGTAAAAATTATAGATTTAAATTTTAAATAATTGAAAATGATTACTTAATCATGTTTTGTTATTTAATAACAATTTACGTTTGAAAATTTGACATACTTATATTAATTTCTTATTCGTATTTCATTTTTTGAGGTGTGAACATTTTATGGGCTAAATAAGAACAACGTAATTTTCTTATTAGATTCAAACAATTATTCTACATACTATAATAATGAAAGAAAGGGAATTAGAAGTGTAAACAAAGGAATTTATTTATAGTGCAGTGTAACATATACATATAATAACAAATCATCATTATTTTAACTAAGGTATTAATAAAGTGACTTGTTATTTATTTTTAGTGAGGAGTTGGCAACAGCAATTTTAAAGCAGAAAGATCGTCCAAACAGGCTTATCGTAGAAGAAGCAATCAACGATGATAACTCGGTTATTGCATTGTCACAGGTATTGTTCAACAGCTGCTATTAGTCTGTTTCATGTACACCAAGTGTATTGGGTAATTAATTAATATTATTTTAAATTATTATTTAAGGCGAAAATGGATGAGCTGCAACTCTTCCGCGGTGACACCGTGTTGTTGAAAGGTAAACGACGCAAGGAATCTGTATGTATTGTTTTGTCCGATGAAACGTGTCCGGATGAAAAAGTACGCATGAACAGGGTCGTGCGTAACAACTTGCGTGTAAGAATATCAGATATCGTACAAATACAACAGTGTCCTGATGTCAAATACGGCAAACGCATTCATGTTCTCCCCATCGATGATACGGTTGAAGGATTAACTGGGTAAGATTATGGGATCAGATTAAGTGGAGTAGTCTGTGCCGTGTACTCTAAAACTAAGAGTTGGACCTGCTAACCCGTGTGTTTTTACCATTTACTATTTAATTTGGTTACTTATTTTATTTTTTCCTTATGCTTTTCAGAAATTTGTTCGAAGTATTCCTCAAACCTTACTTCTTGGAAGCATACAGACCCATACACAAAGACGACAATTTCATTGTACGCGGAGGAATGAGGGCAGTAGAATTCAAAGTAGTTGAGACTGATCCATCTCCTTATTGTATCGTTGCATACGACACAGTCATTCATTGTGAAGGAGATCCAATTAAAAGAGAGGTACTTAATTTTGACTCATCAACTATTTCAAAACTGAAATTTGCTTAATCTGTCTTATCTCTTAACAGGAAGAAGAAGAAGCATCAAATACAGTTGGCTATGATGATATAGGAGGATGTCGTAAACAATTGGCGCAAATCAAAGAAATGGTCGAACTTCCACTTAGACATCCGAGTTTATTCAAAGCTATCGGAGTGAAACCTCCCAGAGGTATTCTGTTGTACGGTCCTCCAGGAACTGGTAAAACACTTATCGCCCGTGCTGTTGCCAACGAGACTGGAGCATTTTTCTTCCTAATCAATGGCCCCGAAATCATGAGCAAACTTGCCGGCGAATCCGAAAGCAATTTGAGAAAAGCCTTTGAAGAAGCTGATCGTAACTCGCCGTCTATCATTTTCATAGATGAACTAGACGCAATCGCTCCTAAACGTGAAAAAGTAAAATTTGAAATTTCATTATTTTAATTCATAATCTATATAAAGTGTAATTGCTAATCTTTTCATCAGACTCATGGAGAAGTAGAACGTCGTATTGTGTCTCAACTGCTGACACTTATGGATGGCTTAAAGTCATCTTCTCATGTAATTGTTATGGCTGCAACTAATCGTCCCAATTCTATTGATTCGGCACTTAGGCGATTTGGACGTTTCGACCGTGAAATCGATATCGGTATACCAGACGCCACTGGCCGTTTAGAAGTTTTAAGAATTCATACTAAAAACATGAAACTCGCTGAGGAAGTGGATTTGGAACAGGTAATTGATTTAAACTTGTTGGTGGTTAGTGTACAATTCTAATTTCACTCGGCATTTCCAGATTGCTGCAGAAACTCACGGTCATGTGGGTGCTGATCTCGCTTCGTTATGTTCTGAAGCGGCTTTACAACAAATCCGTGAAAAAATGGATTTAATAGATTTGGAAGACGATCAAATCGATGCCGAAGTTCTGGCGTCATTGGCCGTCACGATGGAGAACTTCAGAGTATGTCCGAGATAAGAATTACTTTTTTCCAAGTGTTGTTTACTGATTGTGGCTTGTTTTAGTACGCTATGGGCAAGAGCAGTCCGAGTGCATTGAGAGAAACTATTGTCGAAGTACCAAATGTCACTTGGGAAGATATTGGTGGTTTGGAAAATGTCAAGCGAGAATTACAAGAATTGGTTCAGGTACAGATCTCAATAAAATTAACTCTTGTGTATGGACACAAGTATTAATAATATTTTTTTTTTTTTAGTATCCGGTCGAGCATCCTGATAAATTCTTAAAGTTCGGTATGCAACCGTCTAGAGGTGTACTGTTTTATGGTCCTCCTGGTTGTGGTAAAACTCTGTTGGCTAAAGCTATCGCTAACGAATGCCAAGCTAACTTTATTTCCGTCAAGGGTCCCGAATTATTGACTATGTGGTTCGGTGAATCTGAAGCCAATGTCCGTGACATTTTCGACAAGGTAAGCAGTACTTTCAGAATATGGAAAACTATCTTTTATACAGTGATGTACTCACTGCTGACTTTCCTGAGCGCACTTATGTAAATTGTAATTATTATAATAATGTGTATAGGCTAGGGCAGCTGCACCTTGTGTACTCTTTTTCGACGAGTTAGATTCTATTGCCAAATCGAGAGGAGGAAACGTCGGCGACGCGGGTGGTGCTGCTGACAGGGTGATTAACCAAATCCTAACAGAAATGGATGGTATGGGTGCTAAGAAAAATGTTTTCATCATCGGAGCCACAAACAGACCCGGTATGTTTATTTAACCTCTAATCTATCAATTAATCCCAACTAAATGGCCATAATAACATAAGCGTTTAATTTTCTTCTAGATATTATTGATCCCGCTATTCTCCGTCCTGGTCGTTTAGATCAGCTTATCTATATTCCTCTGCCCGATGAGAAGTCGCGTGAAGCAATTTTCAAGGCCAATTTGAGAAAGTCTCCTGTTGCTAAAGTAATTATTGTTAAAACTTGTGATTTTATTGTCCGAGTACTTTTTAAAAAGAGCGCAAGACGACTACACTCAGTTCAGACAAACGAAAGCAGATGAAATGTATTAGTTTTAGTAAAAAGCATTGGATAGTGGCAAGTTTGAAATATTATGCCTAATCACTTCTTTGTCTCATAACTACTACATAAAAAAAATCATTGATTAATTAAAACCTGACCAATTTTTATTATGATTTGAATAACACTTTATAATTGAAACCACAAATATTAATTTATTGAAATTAAATTTTGGATTTGTAAACTGTAAATTTACAGGTTTAAATAATTTTATATAACACATTGTTCAAATTATCTTTTCTTTTTTTTTTTTTTACTTTAAAGAAATAACTTCGTTTTTTTTTTAAATTAATTTTTTATACTAGAATAACAATAATAATAGTATAATTTCTTAAACTCGTATCATGAAGAAAGAAATGGTTTTTCTGTGATGTGATGCGACATAAAATGAATTATTACCTATTGTGGAATATTTATTTAACACGTTTCGGACAATTTTAATGATAATATTATTATGGTGCACTAGTGCTTACGCTACTATTAAACGTTGGTTTTTTTTTATTTTTACAGGACGTCGATCTCATTTACATTGCTAAGGTAACCCACGGTTATTCTGGTGCGGATTTGACAGAAGTCTGTCAACGTGCTTGCAAACTTGCCATCCGACAAAGTATTGAAGCAGAAATTAGACGCGAGCGCGAAGCCGCCAACAATCAAGGAGGATTGATGGAGGTATATAGAAATATAAATTTTAAATGCGCTGCACAAGTATTGGTGGTTAGATTTTTATTAATTTGTTTTTTTTATTCAATTGCACATTTAGACTGACGTAGTCGAAGACGACCCGGTCCCGGAAATCACCAAGGCACACTTTGAAGAAGCCATGTTGTACGCACGTCGTTCTGTTACGGACAACGACATTCGCAAATACGAAATGTTCTCTCAAACGCTTCAACAGTCTCGGGGCTTCGGCACCAACTTCAGGTTCCCGACCTCGACTGGCCAACCGGCCGCCAACAATGCGTCGACTGGCGGTGATCAGCCAACGTTCCAAGACGATGGCGATGATGACTTGTACAACTAAGTCGGTTTTCTCCTTTCAGATAAAGAAATAGAAAATGTATATTCGAAATTAAGGATTCAAGCATTTTTTTTATATTATATTATTTTAAAATAAAATGAAAAAAAAGAAAAGAGTACACCTCGATCACATAGTTTTTTTTTTAAATACTAAGTTTATTAGGTTATTATTTTAAACTATGTATATTGATTTTACACATTTGAAATTTTATAAATGGGTGGGATAAACATTCGTCAAATTTTTTTTTTATAATCTTTATTATTTATTTTTTCTTATAAGAATTATTAATTATAATATAATATATTAAACAAATTACAAACATAAAATACAAAATAATAGTTTTGCTTTCAGTTAGTGCTCGATTCGAGATCGTATGTGTCCATAATTGCAGCAATGACGATCCACAGCCTGTCCTTGTCCAAATCGTCGACTAGTGCCTAAAAATTAAAAACATTGTTTATAACAAAATGATTGTTGTAAAATGTAACTTTCCCACCCTTTAGTTTTAGTATGAAAAAAGAAATGTTCGACTAGTTGATTACTGTCTGAAATTATTAAGCGATAGTGTTACTGCGCTACGCCAGAGAACACTTGGTGTAACTATTTTTAATACATTCCCTGCAATAACTTGTTCCACGTTAAAAGTATTGATACAAACTATTACCACAACAAAATCAATACTCACGTAAAAATAAACTAATTTGAAACAATTTCAAATGTGTACTGATATAATACATCATTTTTCAAAATTACTTACTTGATACCATGGTTGCTTCTCGTAATCGATAATCGGTGATGGAATGCCGTATACTTTGATCGCCAGCTCCAAACAAGCAATCGCAATATGCTGTGGCTTGTATAGAAGTAAATTGCTATTGTGATAAAAATCCTGAGAAAAAAATTACGTACATTACTAGCTTTACTTTAATAGAATGATACAATAAACGTATGTACTTACATGTAAAAAGTTGTAGGCTCGTTTGAAAATAATAACGTCCTTCCCGTGTTTGGAGTAAAAAATTGGCCGTAAGGTTTGGACGTAATGCAAAAAATACTGTAAACCAAAAAAACTTAAATAGTTAATTTATATTTTAAACAATTTTGTAGTAGTAATAATTTTTATTACGTTGTGAGGATGGTCAAATGTAGTGTCAAACTGCAGCAGACGCATAATGAGCATTTCAGCGTGTACAATCGTATCTCTAAAATTCCAATAGTCTTCGGCCAATGGCAACGGAGGAGCGTTCCTGTGTAACGTGTGATAACACACATTAATCAAATCCCGAAGTTTGGTCGTCTCGTCGTGTACTTTACTGGCCAAGTATAGCGTCGAACTAGCAATAGACTGAAAACATTATGATTTTTTATTCATACAAGCATCGTCGAAAATTATATAAGATTATATTTTTAAACACTCCGATCGACGCCCCTTACAAACACCTAACACATTTAAACTTCCTTACGAAGACAAACATGCAACATGGACATTTTTTTAAATTATTCTTGAAATACATTTGTATTTGCTGTATTAACAAATATTTGACTATTTAAAATAACTTATATTTTAAAATAATTTTTCAAATAAAACTTTATTTTAATTTTTACTGGGTTAAGTTAAATGTGTAATGGTTTCAATGAGGCGTCAGCATAAAACAAACCATTTCAATTTCCTAAAATTATATAAATTAGTTTTGTTTTCATAGACAGATACAATAAACTGTTTATAAAAAATATATATATCAGTAAATTATACTTAAACAAACATTAGAAATTGTCGCAACCTTATTATCTATACGATTGATTTTTTTTTTTGTCCAAGTCTAGTCATTACGTAGACTTGAAAACTTGGTTTGTTATTGATTATAAAATGCCGTACAGATCTCGAGACGTAAAAAAAAAAATTACATGATTATTACTAAAATTCTGCTCCCTTCGTTGACGACACTGATCATTTATCGATATTCCATTTTTTTGACAAGTAGCTAATTTCTTTTAGTTCAAGAAGTTTTTCATTTTGATTTTAGTGAGATTATAATAATTGGTACATCCCCCTAAAGTAATTTTATTTTTAAATAATTGACTTGTGGTAATGACATAGTAATGTCAAAAATTATTAAGACCTCTAAATTGGTGGCCTATTGGCATTATTTTTGATCCAATTCGAACCCACTTTGGGGCAGTGTAATCATTAAAATTACACTTAACCCCAAAAAAGGCCACCATAAATATTGTAACAAGTATTAATATAGACTAAATAAACTCTGAAAGAGGACGTTAACTCCACACTCCTAAAGGGATGATTGTCTGGAGAAATCAATAGTCTACTCACCGCCCGGATGTCAAAAGCGCTTAGGCAACGGACAGATAGCACATTATTCTGACAAACCCGGACGTCAATGTCCATTTTTTAAAGCCAATCCGTCGTATACTAAAAACATTAGTATCAATACTCCCCTAGAATATTCATCAGTATTTATAGTAATCACACTTACGTTTTGCATCTCTAAGCACACATTTTTGTAATATAATTATGATATGCAGTTCAAATATGACAATATGATTGGTAACAAAACATATTTTACTGTTTTTAAGTATTGTATCGTATGTTTCCTTATTCTCCAATAAACAAAATAACCATCGGACAATAAGTTTATATTCTATATATAAACAGGTCTTAACTTTTTTTTTATATTTTACATTTATAATATAGGTACAAAAATCTGTAAAATAAAGACAAACTGAATAATTTTACGTACAAAATGTGAAGAAAAAAAACACCAAAATGCACGAGTGGAATTCTTAATGTTATTAAATATATTTACAACTATTCACAATACACCTTTACATTGCGCTATACGATAGTGTAATCGATCACCATTTCAACGAGTCAATTGCAGTGTTTAGAAAAAATGTGTTCAACAACAAACTTGTTCATGGAACACTTTCTTTTAAACTGAACAAGCTATTCAATGGGTTTGAAAAAAAAAAGTGAATTTTAAAATTTATAACACCTAAGTAAGTAGGCGTTTCTTTAACTACGTAGATATAAATGAACGCGATAGTTTATGTTGGCATTGAACATGAATGCAAACTTTTTTCTCTTTTTAGTGAGCATTCCAAACACTGCTCAAAAGAAATAGAATTAAGCTAGCTACTGAAATTACAATAGACAATTTATCATTGTGATCAAAAACAGTATACAAAAAAATAATAATAAAAAACAACATAAATAAACAAACAAACTATGATTATACTCTAAATAGTATAAAGTATATTAAAATAACCAATTGGATACGTTTTACTGGTGTACTGTTTAGGTGTACTGTCAATAGTTTTATTATTGATAAAGAAATAATTTTAAAAAAAAATACTTACGTAATTGTCGTAAGCACTTTTCTCAGCGTGCTTATAAAATTTGTGGAAATATACCGCAGCTGAACATATAGTCATATGTCTTAAACCCAGCTTTATGCCTAAAATATATACAAACAAAACATCCGTTGATAAAACATTACTCATTTTCAAAACGATACAAGTTTTTTTCACCAAAACACCAGGACTTACCACACTCAAAAATGTACCGAATAGCAAAGTAATTCGACTTGAATGTCAAATAATCAGTAAGCGGCGCTTCTGGTTTTTGAAGTATATCTTGACTCTCCGACAATCCTTTCGACCTGCGTTTAAGCTTGGAGACACTTTTATTTTTTTTATGGGATTTTATTTTTTGTTTGTGTAGCTTTGTCTTGGTCTTTGTCATGTTCTTAACCTTTGACGATTTCTTCCCCATGTCAACAATGTCCTGTTAACAATGAAAATAAATCAAAATAAGTTTGTTCATTAAGTGCATATTTTATGGAAACATATACCAAATTCCATTCTTTGGCGATTTGGTCGTAACCAACCAATTGGAAATTTAGCAAAAATTGTATTTTGACTGTTTAAGAATTTTTTTTTTCAGATTGTAATAAATTAACTGACTCACTACAGACAAGAACTTTTAATAAAACACACCTATCGATTGATATTTTATTTTTAGCTTTACTTAAGATTAAACTAGGTAACTTGTTTTGTGAGACAAATGTCTTGTATGTAAATTCTTTAAAAACATAATAAACGATACTAAAAAAGAAATAAAATATATAAACTATTTCAACCAAACTGAAAAACTAGACATTCAATAAATTTGTTTAGTGTAAAATATTTGTAACACAATAACAAATATTTACACTGATTGTAGACTAATTATTGGTTTAAGCATCTCAATTGCGAATCGATAGTTTCAATTTTAACAATATCATGTTACAATTATATTAAAATCATTTAATACCTATTATATATATCATCATTGATATGGTTTATTAATAATAACTTTTAAGTAATCAGTAAAACATTTATGTCACTTGAAATATACTATATAATACTATGGTGTACCGTTTCAAGACAAATAGAGAGCTTTTTTCAACACCCGACAAAACAAAACTCAATGAAACAAGTACTAAAAACGTCAACAATTGAAAGAAGGGAAAAAAACATTTCACTGTAGAAAAGTTTGCGAACATGTTTGTCCGAAGCTTTAGTGTAAACTAGGTAAGTGCTGAAAATAATATATTAAAACATTACATACCCGTTTAATTGGATAAAACTATATACTAGGTAATTAAACGCGTAAAAGAAAGTTTAACACTAATATCTTGCGTTATATTTAGTAGTTCGTTCACAAACAAAAACTCACGTAAAAATTTGGTGAAACGTTTTAATTTAATTTAGAAAACCAATTTGAAAAAAAGTGTTATGTTTTTTGGTAAAAACTTATTCAACAGCTATTCGGAAAGTTGTGTTTACAATTATTATTGTCGTCCCGGATGTGCGTTCTAAAATCCGCTTCTCTTGAATGTTTCTCTCCCTGCTGCGGGCTCCAAAATTTATTATATCCTCTTAATTATTTATACTTGTACCTACAATATTTTTATTTACTTTATAAGCCGATATGCGGTTTTTTACATAGTGGTTATGTTGTATTCTTATAATGAAAGACTTTGGATTTTAGAAATGTGACGATTGTAATGATTGATAAGAAAGCGTCTGTCGGATCAGTGTGACCAAAACTTAGAAACGAAAAAAATCCCTCTTGATATTTCACGATAAAAATTGTTTTTATCAATTTACAGCCCATTAAAACTTTTAAAAACTATTAGCTTTAAATATTGCAAAAAATAAATTGTATCGTGAAATATACCAATGAGACTGATTTTTAAGTCATATTTCATCTTAAAAATATTTTTAATATTTTTTAGACACAGAGTTTTACATACATTTAAATGTTTCACATACATGTACTATACTACAACTACATTACCTACAGCTACTCTTGCTGTATATTTGGTAATAAAACATATTTTAATACCTATTTAGCACAAGAATTTTCTGGAATTTACTTGGCATGTTTTCCATTTCTTATGAATGTGAATGCCTTATGCATTTATTATAAAAATAAGGAATGATGAACGAGAATGCATTACTTTTAAAATAAATTTTCCAAACACCGATTTGTTTATAACTATACATATTACATTGTAATATTACAATATTATTTGAATTTTTTAATTAAAATTATTGTAATATTGTTTTGCTGCGATTCGATTCTTTTTTTTCATCCATGATTAATCGAAGGCGGGCAACCACTGTTCAAACCAAAGAGAATTAAATACTCAGTTACCACAACCGTGGTATCTTTCCTTCCTTTATGCCACCATTCCTAACCTTACTCACTGAACGCTTGTGAATGGCCCGTGGCTGCCCGACGCTGATTTCGGCCATTTACATTCGGAACTTGCCGTTGTGCTGTGTCGATACTCTGTTGTCACAGTCGTTGTTGTTTTGTTATATAAATTAATTTATATAATTATATTTGTTTAATATTATATTTGTATTTAATACACTTTAAGTAAAGATGCCGCCTAAGTTCGATCCCAGCGAAGTCAAAGAAGGTAAAACATAATATTGTCCATCAAAAATAATTGTACTTGGTTAGTTTTATACTTTACACGTCATTATAATATAACATGAGAAACACGTGATGAAATAAAATAATACTTGGGTTCAAATCGTTTTATCCGATGTTCGGGAATGTTTATCTGGTAGTATTAATGATTCTTTATTTAACAATTGTTAATTTACATTTTATTACCGGCGATTTTATCGATGAAAATGTGTTGCTTGTTAACGCGGTTATGTTTACATTTTGACGTAACTTTCAAATGAAGATGGATTCGTTAAATATCTATAATTAATGCGAAATAATATGTTTTTACAATCTACGTTAATCTTGCAAAATGTAGTTTATTAGGTTATTTAAGCCGCTAAGAATAGAATTTCTACTAAATAATTTAGCTCTTAATTTAATTTTAAAAAATATATATTAAATTAATTTTTTAGATGAGTTACGTACTTAATGATGAGTCGTACCTCTGAAAAGATTTGTACCGCCTTTACTTCAGTGTCACGAGTACAGACAATTATTAGACAATATTTTACGTCACATTAGTTTGCACAATTTTGTTGTTTTTATTTTGCAATACCTGTAAACCTAAAACAATATTTTCAAATGAAGATTCCTAAAAAAACTCGCCGTTTCTAATATACAATTTTATTCTACCAAAAAAAAAAAAGTAATTGCAAAATGCTACAAATTCAAATTTTAATATTTTTTAATAACTCGCTGTCTAAAACTGCTAAGAAATAGTTAAATATTAATTTTTGGGGATCATAGGGACCTGTAAAAAAAACTAGGTAATTACAAGAATACCTAACCTACAATTTTCCCTTCTAATATATTTTTTTTATTTTAGTGTATATGAGATGTGTTGGTGGTGAAGTTGGTGCCACATCATCGCTTGCCCCTAAAATTGGTCCTTTGGGTCTGGTAAGTTACTATAACTTTACAATATGTATAATCCTTGTTTATCTTTGAAATGATAAGGATTTGAATTGTAATTAATGTAACACATGTTGTTATTTATTATGTTTATAGTCTCCTAAGAAAGTGGGAGATGACATCGCTAAAGCTACGTCTGATTGGAAGGGTTTGAAAATCACTGTTAAGTTAACCATCCAAAACAGAGTAGCCACCATTTCTGTTGTACCATCTGCGTCTTCTTTGGTAATCAAGGCCCTTAAAGAGCCACCTCGTGACAGAAAGAAGGTCAAAAATGGTATGTACTTACTTTTATTAGAATCTTAAAGAGATGTGTACACAATCGACTATTGTTCCTTATGCTAGTTCATTTCTCTAGCGTGATTTTAACAAACTTGTCGTAAAACAAATCATATAAAAGAGTTGCTTCACCCAAAACTACCGAGTGTCATTGTTTGGCTTTGCGGACTCGTACATTACTTATTTAGTATATAATAAATAATTAACTACTTATTATTATTTCGCCTCATCCTCTGAATATATTTTATTTATTATAGTTAAACACAACGGAAATGTTACCATGGATGAAATAATCAACATCGGTAGAACCATGAGGCCGAGATCAATGGCTAGAACTTTGGCTGGAACCGTTAAAGAAATTTTAGGATCAGCTCAAGTATGTGTACTGTTAATTTCTTAACTTAGCAAGGCATCTTATTTATCATTATGTTTTATTAATTCCAGAGTGTCGGATGTACTGTTGATGGTAAACCGCCACATGACATCATTGAAGGCATCGATGACGGCTCTGTTTCCATACCAGAAGAATAATTGTCGTGAGTATAATTATTTGCTGCTGACACTCAAATTCTATTGGTTCGAGTCGTTAATTATGCAAACGTCAAACGGATTAAATGAATTTGAGTTCAGTAGTCTATTGGTAGGGGTTAGCATCCCATCCACCGCTCTCGGCAGTTTCTCATTAGCAACAAATCAGTGTAACTGAATTTTTCATCAAACTGTTTTAACCATCAGACTAAATTAATTTCAATCAAACTATTAAGTGTAACTTAATTTTTAACATTCTTAATAAATGCTTATGAAGTATATAACTGCTTTTGAGCGGCAAAAAGCTATTGAGGAGATAACCTCAATAAAAGAATCACATTACGTTATTTTAAATATATACATAATTAAATTTTATTGATTGGCTATTGAGCTTAAATATTTTTAATATCTCATTTTGAGAGTTCAATTATTTTGTTTGATGGTTTCTTCACAGGCTTAATTATTTTGTCATTTAATCAAAAATATATGATACAATTTTCTTAAATATTTTCATAAAATTACACTTTGTTTCCAATTAAATTTTTCAATGTGATAAAAAATAATTTGTTTTTAAAAACATTTCTAAAATATTAAGTATGAATTTCTATTTATTTCTAAAGAATTAAAGTAACCTAACATTTAAATCTAAAAAAGGTTCATTCAATCTAATATAATAAATATTAATACAAGTTTTTAGTAATTATTTCAGTAAGATTTATGAAGAAGACTTCTATTTACTATTATAATTCTTGTCGTTTGTATAATTTGTAACAATAAGTTTTATTGCTACATTAAATTACAAACTTTATTGATTTCATTGTTGTGTTTTTCTGTTTATTGTTAATTTTTTTTCTACTTGTAATCTAGTCCATTATTGTTAATTTATTTATTTTAAATGTTTTTCAGGTTTATTCTGTAATTGAAGACAAATAAAATGATTTTTATTCTTTCATATTATTTTTTTAATGTTTTATTTATTGTCCCACTTCCTTATTCATCTGTTTTTTACCACCTAAATATTACTGAACTAATTCTATTGATAAGTCCTGTAATCAGATTGTGGTCAATTTAAGGTAGGAAAAAATTGCCTTCTCATAATATACATAAGTACAGAGACATTTTTCTAAAAATTTTTTATCTAGATGAAGCGATAATAGATATAACAAAATTAATTGGTCTTATTATTTAATTTTTTATTATTTGTGATGGCTATATTCCTTATTCATTACTTTTTAAAACTAAATCACTTTTTGGAATATAATATGATTTATGTAAAATAAATAAGACTAGGCAAAGCTCGAACTTGATTAATTCTGAAATGTTTTTGAAATAATCCAATTTCATGTTGTTTTTTTAAAAAATAATTAACAGATTGCTTACTGAGTTATAAATAGTTTATATCTGCAAATAAATAGCTATTTTTTGTTGAAAAATGTTTCGTTATTAGATTGAAAGTTTTCCAAATACTAAATAGATATATTCTAGTTTTTGCTGAAAATGTTACAACAGGTATGTAGGTAAACAAATTGTATCTGTTAATAGTTTACCTGTAATACATATTAAGAAAACTCTAGGCAATTGGCTTTTTACCAATTTGTATAATTATATTTGTGGTGATAATTCTAGTGTGAAACTACTATACTGTCATCTTGGGCTTGAAAAATTTAACAAGAACTGTTATGTCGACAGTACTTATTGATTGACTTGAAAGTACAGAAGGAGGTAATAAATTAAATACTTCCAACTCTCTTGTGGCTATTTGTGTACAACAATATCAACGTAATTGCTGATTTTAATAAAAGCTATCATTCAAGTTAAGTGTAAAGAGTGTGGATAACATTTAATCCTTTTTTTTATACATAAGTAAATTATTTTTTAACGCTCAAGGTAAATTATTTAAGTATAAAATTTCAACTTAAAATTATTGAGGTAATAATTATTTGCGTCTGATGGTTATTTAAAATACAAATTTATATAAACTGAATATTTGATGTCAATTAAAATAAATTGACTTCAGTTTGAAACTAAATAAAAATGTATTTTATGTGCTAATTAAAAATGTGTTTAAAATAATCAACTATTTATACTTGAATAAAAAACTAAAAAATTACAAATTGTTAACAAATATAGTTAAAACTAATGCCCCATTTGTCTACTAATATTGGACTCCACTCGACCTTAACCAAAAATATATACAAAACATTAATTATATTATCGGTGTTAAAAGGATTAATAACAAAATATTATTATATTATGGAGGAATGCCATATCTTTGCTGGTGAAAAAAAGAAAATAGACATGATCTCATTTTTTGTATTTTGGAAGCCGAGCCAAAATAAATCACAAGACGTCATGTTTGCCATAGCCCATAACGAAGATAGTAAGACATTGTAACTTTTAGCATGCTCTAAGTGAAAGTCACAGTCGGTCTTTTAATAAAATTTTCATTTTAGTAATCTCTTTCTTTTTTTTAATACTAATAACTATATTTGTTTCAATGGAACGATTGAAAGTTTTGATGTTAACTATTTTACGCTTAATAGTAGGGTTGAACAATTTTTATAATAATTTATCATAATTAATATTCTAAAATCATAAGAACCTTATCGTTAGCTTAAAGACCATATGGTTTTCATTTTTAACGCTTTTGAAAAAAATAGGGACTCCATGGTAATGTTTGGTTGCCCAACTAATTGAAGTTGGAAGAAAGATTAAAGAAAATAATCAATCCTAAAAATCTAAAACTGTTTTGATATTTCTATTATTTTATGTGATACCTGCTATGTATATTTTTTTAAGATTTTCCTCAATAAAAATATTTGCACTGGATTTATTAAGAAAACAAAGCAAGTTGAGAAAAATCAATGTTGCTTTGATCACTCTATAAAAACAAAAAAAAAGAAACAGAAAAATTGACAAAAATTACAATAATAAAAAAAAAAATTGAATACAAACTTAAAAAACACGTTATAGAGTAAACTAGCTCTTCAGTCTAATTTTCAGACTGCAAGTCCTTAAACTTTCCTAAATGTTTTCCACCCTTCCTGTGAGAAACAAATGGTTATGATATTTCTGTTTTTCACTGTACGTGGGTACATACAAAGAATATCCCACACAAGTTTGAAAGTAAATCAAATATTCTTAAAATTGTTTAAGCATTAACTTTAATTCTAAGTAGAAAAACGTGTACATTATTAGCGTATGTTTCTCTCGATTTTAAATAGGTCTAAAACAATACCTTTTCAGGTACACATCATAGTATAGATGCGTCAAATAAAAATGTATTTCAAATAACTTATTTTAACCATAGGATAATAACAAATCCATTATAGTTCAGTTTCAAAACGGTTTGAACAAATTTAACGACTCCGGTTGGATTGGGAAAAATAATCAGTTCATTCCTAACCGAATGAAAACTATTCCAATGGTAAAAAAATTTCCCCAAGCACAATGATTAATTTAACGAGTTGAATTGGGTGGAAACATTCGTCCTTGCGTCTAGGAGTGTTCCAGAAATGTATAAACAGAACGTGGCCAAAAGTCTGTGAATCGCTATGAGAGAATATCTATTAATAAATACACTATGTCTATTAATAGACGATTTTGGCCCGTATTAAATGACGTGCTAAAGGGCAATGAAATCGAAATAATTACCTCGTTTTAAAAATAAAATCTGAAAATTGTTCTTGTTTATTTAACAAAAAAAAAAATTCTGTTAAATTATATATACAAATAATATAATTATTAACAAAATTAACCTTAAACATTTGTTTCGGGAATATATATGTATATTATCTCCCCAAACAGAGAAGTTAGAAGTAAAAAGAACAAGATTAAGAAACGTACGATCTAGACCTTATACAAAAAATGATATACATACACACACATATATTTTATACGTATATATGTGTGTATACATAAATATATATTTACATATATCTTTATTTTCATTACATCAAATTCAAGCAAGACAGCAGATGGCGAACGTACGAGTGAGCGATCGTTCATGGTAGAGTATCGTACAATATATCTCTGATTGAGGTAGAGAGCGATTCTGGAAATTTAATGTCAAACGATATTAACAGGTCACCTCGGCGCGATGGTTCTTTGGGAAACGGAAGACCGTGGCCTTGTAACCGTTTTACCGTTGTTGGTTTTATTACTTCTGATTTTAGGTTCAGGGGAATTTTTTTGTCGGTTAACGTAGGAACTACTATTTCTGTGCCACAAAGTGCCTGAAAAAAAAAAATTTGAGTTTGAAATAATAATCATAACAGGTCAGAAAAATTAGATAACCTAAAAAACATTATAGAAAAAAAATTGTTTTCATGTTCAGATTATGAATCTCAAAAAAAAAAAAAAAAAATCCACATAATAGTTAATTAAAAATGATTAAGAGCGCTGTTGTCAAATTAAATTTTTGTAATATTTTTGTTTTTTAAATATGCATAATTAATAATTATAATGAATTCTTAACAAAACATAGATCGTAAGACCAAATAAAATGTAGAACATTTTAACCCTTTTCAAAAAAAAAAAAAAATTGTATTCATACCATATCATAGAAAACAACCTTGGAAAAAATTTCAAAAAACAAACTCTTATTGGGAGAAAAAAAACTGTAACTATGTTTATAGTGCTTACTTGTTTTAGAGATATTGACGCAGTATACCTAACATCGTTTCCTTCCCGTTTGTATAGTGGGTGAGGTTTGTCTCTAATTATAAAAACAATATCTGCGGGTATTTTATTCATTCCTTGGTCTCCTTCTTTTTGGAACGTAATTTTCGTACCAGCCTTCCATCCTGGTTTCACATTGATGGTCAACACTTTGTCTTCTTTTCTGGAAGTTCCGTCGCCTTGTAATACTCTTCTAGAGATTTTCATTTTTTTCGTACATCCTCTCATTATGTCTTCTAGCGACACATAAAGGTCGTGTTCAATGGCGGCATCTTGTACTTTTTCTCTGGGTCGTCCCATAGGTGAGCCGTGGACATTGAACGACTGCGACCTAAAAGCACCGCCTGGTCCACCGTGGTGTCCGCCGTGAGACATCCGAATGAAACCATCATCGAAATCCATTTCGTCATCAAACATTGAACCACTGTTACCAAAAAGGTTGCCAAACGGATTAGTAGAACCAAAGAATTGTGCGAATGTGGCTCTTGGGTCGCCGTGAAACGTGTATGAATAGTTGTTACTCTGGTTTCCTTGACCTGCAGCACTACCTTTAAGACCATCTTCTCCATATTTGTCGTATATATCTCGTTTTTTTTTGTCGCTTAATACTTCGTATGCTTCTGCTACTTCCTTGAATTTCTCTTCGGCTCCTGGCGCTTTATTCTTGTCCGGATGATATTTTAATGCTAATTTTCGGTACGCCTTCTTAATTTCTTCATCTGAAGCACTTTTGGACACTCCAAGTATTTGGTAATAATCTTTTCCCATCATATGCTAAAATCAATTTGAACATAAAATATTAACTATTAGTTAGACAATTCATCGCTACTCGAAATAACATTAGCTAGTTATGTTTGACATTTAAATGGAACAACTATATGCCACTAAACAATGCTCTAGTGGAACTAACAAAAATTCAACGGTTTTTTAACATTGCAATGTTCGTGTGCCCAGGCATTACAATTATTAACTGGACAAATACAACCTTGAGGTTGATTATAGATAAAATAATCAAAGAGTGATGAATTATGATTTTGTGCCGAGTGATTATTATATTGCTTTGTAATCAATCAGAATTAAATTGTCCTTAATTTTTGTTTGGGAACAAATACAGTAAGCAGTGCTTTCACATAATAAGTTATTTAACAATTAACTAGAAAAAAAGTTGAATAAATATCATAATATTGTCAATGATTTAAACAAAATATATTAATTCTGAGAATAAGAGCGGTGTACTGTTAGTGACCGAAAACTCATTAAAAACGGATGTTCCTAATAATATAAATACTAAGCAATAGTACTAGAAAAATATATGAAAAGAGAAAGCAAAATAATATTGTATAATGGTTTAGTTTTCGAGTTTTTTTTATAGAAATTACAGTAGAATATTAATTTTGCAAGGAAACACTACCATATAAGTGCATACAAGCTACCATATAATATAGCTGGGTAAAGAGAACAAAATATAAATAAAAGTAGGCGTGCTTACTCATACACAAAAAATTGAATTAAATATTATTAGTGAAAATAATTCAACAATCAACAGTCAATATGAAAAATAGCGGAAACCCCATCGGATTAAATCAACACAAACGTGTGGTTGGATAAAAAACAAATTTTCAATAATTGACCAAAGCGTATAATTTTACTTACCCAATGATAAATAATATAATGTTATCGAGCTAAAATATTTTAAGAATTAATTAATAATAATTAGAAAAAAAAATGTATGTATATATATATATATATATGAAATCGGATAAATGTGTTATATTTGTATAAATTTACTGTTTGGAAAACAATTTTAATTTTTTTTTCACGGAAAATCGAAACAATATTCACAGCATGAACCAGAGAAAATATCAAGAACAATTTAATGTCATTTAACACACTCAGTTGGCGTTTGTGTGTGTCTAACATTATATCAAAATATCTCGAGTAGAATATTCTAGAATCTACCAGAATTACATGGAAGAACAAAAATCACCCGTTGGAAGAAAACAACAACAACAATCTTTATCACAGTTGATAAAAATCAATGATAGCACCACCGTTTGCAGTTTGACCTTAGACATAAAAAAAACAATTGTACATATAAAAAATTATGTTTTTAGAAACTGCTCCCCATAATTTACTTATTGTGAAGATTAATTATGTAATTTTCATTTAAACTAATGATACATTTTTTGCATTCAATTTTCGTACAGATTATATTTATTTTATTGATAGGTAAACTGTGTCCTAAAAACAACTCACAACGTGAGCAATTCAATGCAGTTTTTTTTTACGTTTTAAAAAATAAAAAAATATATTAATCTTAATTTATTTTATTCTATTTCAACAATTTTTTAATAGTGTAATTTTCTTTACTGAATCAGATACGTTAATTTAAAATATTTTTACACGTTTGTTTTTTATTTGTTACCGCGAAATTTTTAGTTATAAATAATACATTTTTGGTCATTTAGAAAAACTAATTTTTATAATTAAAAGTATTGTAACGACTCAAAATCAAGTTTGTTAGGTATAAATTTGTCGACTATTGCCTAAAAAAAATGGTATTTTAATTTGTTTCGCTTGTTTGCGGCTACTATACCTGATCTTAACAGTAAAAATAATATTTTTTTTAACATAAATAAAATCACCTATTCTTAAAAATACATCAAGGTAGCTTTTTTTTTTTACTTATTTTATAAAAATATCATTGAGCTTTACGTAGTTAGTACCTATGAAACGCTATGGTTCAGTTTTCGGAACATTAAATAAAAATCTAGTTTTTAAATTATCATAGCAGTTTTTTCGGGTTTACGATGATGCATCCAAAAATGTTGTCAATCTTCAAAGCTGTGAAGATAATTTTTAAGCAAATAAAGATAGTAGATTTGAATCGGCTAACAATAACAAAATATAAATTATAATATCACTATGGTCATTCTAAATAATAAAAATAACTGTTAATATAGTAGTCAATTGAAAAGTTTTGAATTGTGTATTAGTTTTGAATCATTATCACACCATTTAAAATATTACGTTATGAAACTAATATCACATTGTCCACTAAACAATTTAAGTGTAGTTTATTAACAGTACTAACATTTTAAGTACATGACGTTTATGAACGGCTATAAGCAAAAAGTAGTCATAATATAAATTTAACTCAAAATAACTTTTTAAAATTACATCAACACATTTTTTTTTTTTTTTTACTGCTTTTAATCAATATTTAGTTGCAAGTTGTAACTGTTATAGTTATTTCTTAAATAACAGCAAAAAAAAAAAAAAGACCTGTAGGATGAAGACTTGCTTGGTATAAATATTTTGTAAAATAAAAAACTAAAATTTTCAGAACGAGTCAGTTTATTTTGTCTTAATCTTATATATAATAGTAACATAAAAAGATAAGAACTTAAAATTGGATCATTTGTCCCTGAAAATAACAATAAAAAATAATTAGAACAAATGAAAATAATTATAAGTTAAGTTCATCGATATTCCTTACCTTACGCTTTTTGTCACCACCCAATTCAAAATGTTTGCACCGTTTCAATGGAATCTGTTTACGATATTTGCACTCTGAACATTCCATCCTGAGTACGATTTTTTTGGTAGTTTTTGCCTAGATTAACACAAAATATAAGAAATTATTATCTATTGAAAAAAAAATATTGGAAAACTCAAATTGTCTTTACCTTCTTCCTGAAAATAGGCTTGGTCTGACCACCAAATCCACTTTGTTTCCGGTCGTAACGACGACGACCCTGCGATGCTTGACGTTCCTTGGACTTTTTGTATTGGGTCACCTTGTGTACCTTATGGACCTTGCATTTCTTGCAGTAAGTACGTCTCTGTTTGGGTACATTCACCTGAAAAGGAAAAATGTCACATTCATTTAATATAATTTACAAAACATTAACGGACTGTACGAAAAACAATCACCAACATAGTTGAAATATAAAATATATATTATCATCATTTATAAATCCTAGCGAGCATATGATTTTGTTTGAATGTATGTACAGTAACACGTCCAAGTCGGAATAGTAAAAGACAAACAGATAGAAAATTCCATATCAAGGAGTTTTCATGTCCAAATTCCTTAATTTAAGTTTAGGACATGAATTTTAATAAATTTTTTGGGCACGCTTAGTTTTAGAGGTTATATCCAAAAAAAATTTCTGTTAGTGTGATAACAACAAATAACCAATTCTAATTACTACACCTAATTGAAAAAATGTTTAGTGAATGTTTTAGCATTGACTTGAGATTTTTCGAACTATAAAGAACGCTTTAATAAATAGATGTAACTTTCTTTTAATATTGTAAAGATGGGCTTGAAGGCGTATTGCTACAAAGCAGTGTCCCCGGACATCAAATATTTATTTTGCAGTAAGTTACCAATGCTGATCGATAGTATTTATATTTAATACACGATCAGATTAATCTGCTTACGAGTAAAACAAGTTATTTTAAATTTAAATGTAAAGATGGGCTTGAAGGCGTGTTGCTACAAAGCAATGTCCCCGGACATCAAATATTTATTTTGCAGTAAGTTACCAATGCTGATCAATAGTATTTATGTTTAATACACGATCAGATTAATCTGCTGACGAGTAAAACAAGTTATTTTAAATTTAAATGTAAAGATGGGCTTGAAGGCGTGTTGCTACAAAGCAATGTCCCCGGACATCAAATATTTATTTTGCAGTAAGTTACCAATGCTGATCAATAGTATTTATGTTTAATACACGATCAGATTAATCTGCTGACGAGTAAAACAAGTTATTTTAAATTTAAATGTAAAGATGGGCTTGAAGGCGTATTGCTACAAAGCAATGTCCCCGGACATCAAATATTTATTTTGCAGTAAGTTACCAATGCTGATCGATAGTATTTATATTTAATACACGATCAGATTAATCTGCTGACGAGTAAAACAAGTTATTTTAAATTTAAATGTAAAGATGGGCTTGAAGGCGTGTTGCTACAAAGCAATGTCCCCGGACATCAAATATTTATTTTGCAGTAAGTTACCAATGCTAATCGATGTATTTATATTTCAATACATAATCAGATTAATCTGCTGATGAGTAAAACAAAAAATTGCCATCTTAAACTTCTTAATGAATAGGAGCTAAATGTGGTTGATGCATTTTAGAGTATAATTTACCTAGCGGACATATTTAGCTATTAATTTGGATAATAATGCAGTCTTTTGTTGCATTTAAAAATAAAAAATTGAATTAAGACGCTTTTAGACGGTGGTCATTTCATTACTATATACCTTATATACTCAATATAATTATAGTACAAGTCTGTTACATTTAAAAAGTCTTATGTTTCTATGATTTCATTGGGATCTATACACAGGATTCAAAAAATATATTCACTCCATAGGAATTGTCACAATTTACATATGTATTTAGTTCTGATAAATAATTTTTTGTTGATTATTACTTGAAGTACAAGTTCTTATTAAACCGTTGAAACTATAATTTGATATTTAAATATTATGAATTGATACTTGAAGTATAAAAAAAAAATTAGTTAATGTCATCTTATACTCGCTGAATGCCCAAATTGAAATCGTACTTGGTTGTTTTGACCATCCTATTTTATAGGCAACGTATTCAACTCATAAACTAGGGGCAGTGTCCAACTATTGCTACCAGGATTCATGTTGGGTGTAGCAAGTGATTTATACCCAGAAATATGGGTATTATTGGGTGTGCACATACAAAGAAATCTTAACAGTGTCCGGCTTTTTTAAAAAACTCCCTAGTTATTACCAAATCTGTCTACGAACCGAGCCAATAGGCCGTGAAACATTTTTTCATATTAAATTAAACGATTCAGCAGCGTACCAAACTTAATGTTATCTAACAATAGATTTAAACTGTTTACTTTCTACCGATTGAATGAGAAACAAAATTAAACAGATTTGTTCAATCGAGTTTAAAGTAGATATGGCTCATCCTAATGGTCAAAGTAAGTTGTAAGTAACTGTGAAGTAGCAAGTCAAGTTCGTTGTTAATGGGTACATTAGAGATTTGCCGCTAAACGTTAAGGTCATGAAATAATGGTTAAAACGAATTTTTTTAGTCACGTTAATAGGAATTAACTTATACAAAAATGGTGACGATTTTTTTTGGGAGATAAGGCAAAATTGGGATTTTATATTCTAAATACCGAAAATACGCAAACAGTTATGGTGTGCATATTAGAAACAAAGTATAAGCAACATGTAATTGAAGTAATTAACAAGTTCATAAGTTCAATAAAATACTCATGCATTGCGATTGAAATGGATAAAATTCGACTTACCATTTTTCCAAGTTATACGTTATTGTTACTATATAAAACAGACAAGTAAACACAAGTGAACTGTACAAAGTTAGTGTATAATGCACAGCGCGCACACTGGCACAGTCACATAATATATATTTCAGTGATAACACCAGTACAATCTCCCATAAATCAAAGAGGTTGTAAGCGATCCGTGGTGTTGAGATAACGACAGTGTTGTGATTAGAATATTATCGTTATCATAATTTTTTTAAACCGGTCCCTGTTAATATTTATTTTAAAACCTGAAATATTTAAAAGAATTATTTATAATTTGAGTGTTATTTTTTTTAATACAACACTATCGTATATTGAACAAATAAACTTGATTTTAGTCATTTCAATTTGTATATAGAATAACAAAAAAAAAAAAAAATGGACCATAACTTGATGAATTTTTGGAACAACTACGAGAATATTATGAACTGGAGTTACGGCATTTCTAGAGAACTACAAACAAATAACCAAGTGTATGCCTCGAAAAATCCACGAAAACAGGTATTTTAAACGATTTTAAGTAGTGCAATTTTGTGCCAATTTATTTATCTAGTTGTAAAATTCTAGCTATGGACTTTGCTTAACTTGGGGAATTATAATTTTTTAGGTTGCTAATTATTCAGAATATGCCGATTATTTTTCAACAAACGAAATGTCTAACGATGACACGAGTAACGATTCCGACTGCAGCGAAGAAATTGATTCAAACTATTTACAATTTTCCAGAATCACTTTGGAACATCAGAAAAAAATACGTTTGTATTTTTTTTTTTTTTTTTTTTTTTATTGATCAAAAGCCTCGGTTACAATGACCATTGGCTTTACAATACAATTATCTTATTTTATAACTTTTGATATATACAATAAATACTATTTATACGAGTACATACAAGTCAGATTGAGAGATAAAATTAACAGTTTTGGAGACGTCGGAATATGGACCCAGAGCTTCCCATAGATCGTCAGGCAGTTGGTTGATTTTTCTGAGGTCTTCGTATTTTTTACATTCAACTAATACATGTTTGACCGTGAGAGAGGTGCCGCAGGTTTGACATACTGGCTTGTTTTCTTTTTTTAGTAAGTACATATGAGTAAGTTTTGTGTGTCCAATTCTTAGTCTGTTTAATATGACTTCAATTTTCCTACTACGTATGCTGTTTTTAGGCCATCTTTTTATACTGTTTTTTATTTCGTTTAGCATTGTGTTTGATTGTTGCCAGATGTTTTGCCATTCTATTTCTATTTTTTCTTGTATTATTCTTTTTATGTTGTGTGGTAATGTTGTTGTTGTACTGTAGTAATCGGATATTGTTTGTTTGGTTGTCCAGGGTATAATTTGGTGTTGTTCTATTTGAGTGATACTTTCAGGATTTATTCCTTTAAGTTTGGCTTGGTCGATTCTTGATTTGTTGTGGTTTATTGCTGGGTTATTTGTTCTTATTAATTTAGCTATGTAAAGAAGAGATAATTTTAAACGACGTAAATGTAAGGGAAGTTCTCCTGCAATATTTAGCATACTATTTATGGGACTGGTTCTAAATGCCCCTAGGGCAAGACGTATCCCATTATTGTGTTTGCTTTCTATTTTTTTAAGAGTGTTGGTAGATGCATTATTGTATATTATAGATCCATAGTCAATTTTGGACCTAATAATGGCTCTGTATATTCTCAGTAAAGTTAAGGTGTCTGCACCCCAAGAAGTGTTCGATATCATTTTGATTAAATTTAAGTTTCGATTTAAAGACATATTTAGCTGATTTATATGGGGTACCCATGTATTTTTTTGGTCGTAGGTTAGACCTAATATTTTTATGACTGTGACTTGTTCAATCTCTTTGTTGGCCATTTTTAATGAAAGGTTTTCGGTTTTGCGTTTCATAGTAAAATTGATACATTTTGATTTTTCAGGGGAGAATTGAAATCCTGAGTTAAGTGTCCAATTTGAAAGTTTGTCTAAAGTGTCCTGTAAGAAGTATCTCACTGTTTTTATGTTTTTGCTTTTACAAGAGATATTAAAGTCATCGGCAAATAACGTAGCCTGTATTGGTGCTGAGATAGTATTAGCTACATTATTAATACATACTAGAAAAAGCGTAACAGATAATGTCGATCCTTGAGGGACACTTGTATTTTTATTTTAATACATTTTTCACATTTCATCTTATGAAAATAAATTTGATTCCATTAGATCAATTGGATTAACACACTTGATACGGTTTTCATAAATTTATGTTCATATTTTACAGAAGAAGAAAAACGCAATGTTGATAAATGTTATGGACTTTGTAGTTCATCTAGTTCCAAAGGTATATTATGTTTTCTGTAAAACAAAAACCATCCAGTGGAATGGAGCTACAATTTTCCTCTCTGAACACAAACAAATTTATTAATTACATAATTTGTTTATAGGTTCAATCGATAACATATCCAAACACGAAGTCGACTATAGAGAACTCTACGGGTCTAATGCAAACAAAATCGAAAATCAAGAAAGCGAGCTAAATTCTAAATTTATTAATTATTGTAACTATAAAAAACCTGTGCTATGGCCCGGAATGGCATTCAATTTAAGTGTACCGGGTGAGTACAGTAGTATTATTAATTGATTGTAGTTATTGGTCGTAACAGACTTTTAATACTTGTTATTTGACTGCATATATCATTTATAGTTTAATTATTACTGACAGCGATATTTACAATAAGTTATTACAATGCATAATACTGTACCAACATACTATATTAAATGATTAAAACACTTTTTTTAATAACCAGATAATATATAATTTAAACAAGTAAAATAAAAATCAATTTACATTTTGATTGGGTTTTAATTTTGGATATTTTTTAAATAACTCGTCCACAATAATATTGCCAATTGGTAACGATGAAGTAGCCGATGGTGATGGTGCACTACGACAATGCATTACTCTGTATTCGACAACTTTGTCGGGGTCGTCCGAAGCGATGTCTAACACCAAATCTTCGGCCATTGTTCCATTTGACCATAAGGGTTGGGCACGCACTCCTGTTGGGCCTCTTAAAATACACATTTTTAGTTTGATATTATAAGAGGGCTTTTTTTTTTTTATAAAATATAAGACTTTACTTTGTAATATCTTCCTTTTTAATATTTGGAATATAACTTTGTAATTCATTTAACTGTTTTGTTGGATGGAACGACTTGAATACTTCATTAATTCCAAATCGCCAGTGTTTTTTTATTAATTTCTGTACGCCATCTATTTTCAAAATCCTTAACGTGTTCTTAACGCTGATATCTTTCCAACTGAAAGTTCAAAACATTTTAGTAGTATGTATACTCAAAATCAACCAATGCGCTACTGACAATGTACTGGATGATGGTAAAAACTAATGTAGAAGACTAATATTAGTTTTAAGATTAAATAACTGAAAAATTGGTTCAACTTTGGTAACAAGCAAACTTATTGTTTTAATATGGTACAATATAAGCTTCGATTTGGAGCTAAAAAAGTATAATTTTAACAATGATGTTTCTGTTTGATACAAATCTAAAATATTACCCATATCCTTCTTGTTTCAGAGCCAGAACTGCGTTTGGACCTAAGAACACTGATCCGTCCATCCTCGGAGTGAAGTGTACACCGAGAAACGGTAAACTGGGATCTGGTACCTATATAAATATTCCATTGTTTTTTTTTTTTTTTTAATTTATAATTGCTGGAAAATTAATTTAATATAAATCAAGAAATACGACAAAAGCGTTACACATCATTACCGGATATATATTTCCTTTAATTAGATATGATTTTTGTTTGTTCAACAACAGATATTCTCCTCGCACTGGCACAATGTACGGTTCAGCTTTACAACCGGTCATAGTCGATAGTTTATCAGACTGTAATCCGCCACACGTTACAACATAATCGGCCAATACCGATTTCTGAAAAATAAAAATAAATTATTAGTTATTCTCCCCGAGTGATAGTTTTGTTACGGGTATATTTTACGTTACGTTTTCTTTGCCGACTATTTCCAGCGCTCTATCGTTTTTGCCTTTCTTAAACGACTTCACTCCAAAATTATAAACCAATTGTCCTCCTGACTTTTCGAAATCTGCTGCGTAATGTCGCGTTACAGTCGTCCAATCGACAATACCCGTATGAGGCGAATGTATCGCTTTATAACCCTTTACATTTATTTTCACTTTATTTTAATAAGACTAGAATTATTTAGTTTTTAATCGTTATAAAGTCAAACTTACTCGACAGTATGGTTCGATGGTTTTGATATCATGTTCGTCCACGAGTCTTATGTCGGGGGTACCATTTTCTAACCCTCTCTCGTAAAGGGCGATTAAATCGTTAACTTGACGTTTGTCGGTAGCCACTATGAGCTTACCACATTTTTTGTACGGTATGTTATTTCGAGCGCAATAGTCGTAAGTCATGTACAAACCTTTTATGCACAACTCTGCTCTAAGCGTACCGGGCTTGTAGTATATTCCAGCGTGTACGACACCACTGTTGTGTCCGCTTTGATGATATGCCGGTCGGTTTTCTTTTTCCACTAGTCCTACTTTTAAATTTTTGTTGCGGACGAGCAATTCTCTAGCCGTTGCGCAACCGACAATTCCACCTCCGACGACCACAACGTCAAAACTATTTTGCGCAGCATTACTGTAAAATCGATTATGCTTTCTTAAAAGTAACTCGCCAGTATTTCTCATAATTTTCAGAGTCATCTTGGTTGAAATATGTTTGCTGTAAAATATTACCAAAATGTTAGTTTTTATATAATTTTATGTATGAATAACGAATCCATTCAAAAAAGTTTAGTTAAATTTGAATATTTACTAAACAATTTTAGTGCAATTATTCATTTATTTTAAATTAAATTTTGATATTTATTTATAAGCTATATTAAATAAATAAAAAACAAATAACACCTATATTTTTTTTGAAGAAATGCTTCGAGCTATGAGTACAAATTTTATTGAAATATAATTTTAAAAATTTACTTATATTGATTAATATCTTGCTTTCTTCTAGTGGGATGAAAAAATAATAACCTGATTAAACAAAAATATTTAAATAAAAATCAATCACTTTTATCACAAATAAAAAAGCTGACATCTCCTTTTAGGGTAGTATTACTAATAGTATTATTAGTCTATGCTTGTGGTATCTTTTTAAACTTTTTATATTGGCCAACAGTCTAAAGTAGATATCAACCCAATTTTTTGATGCCAAGCGATTTGCATAATTTTTATTTTCAGAATTTATTTTTTAAGTGATAATTATTATTTATAATTAACGTTACAATATCTGACGATTATTTTTCTTAAACATTTTTTTTTTTTATTATATTAACAATTTTTTCAAGTTGTATATCTTTCAAAAAATATCTATTTGAACAACATTTTTTGGTAGTAACATTGTGATATTAGCAGAGTTGTCCAGTGTCAATCGTCGTACAATACGCGATATATTTCATTTATGGCTGATACAATCTTTTAAAAAGAATATTTATTTTAAAATAATTATTTTTTTTGTTATTGTAGTGGTAGGTAGTCGGTAAAATAAGAAAATCCCTTATTTATAGTCTGTATAACAATATTGTAATAACGTTCAAATATTTATTACATAAAGTGTTATTTTACAGCATTCCCTATTATTTGTTATGTAAGTACATACGTTTTATTTAGGTACTATTATTGACTGAAATTGTATTTAGAATTTATTTATTGGTATAGTGTCGACAGACAACCACAGCAACGAGGGTGGTTAGCTCACTTTTTAAATCAAACGAAGCCGTTCAATTGTAGTCGACATAACTATAAAACAACGATTTCTTCTAGTTTATATATCATATTATATAATAATTATTATGCTTGCACATACAACTAATGCTGTACACATATGAATTTAACGAAAACTATAGTCACCAAAGATACTTATACGATATCGTTATAGAACAGCATACTTATAATATTGTCCAAATATTGTTGCTAATTAGTTGTTTTTGACTAATGAGTAACTATTATTATTGACGGGGAATCGTATTCAGATTAAAATTTGCATAACAAACGTTTTGACTTTGGATTTCAGTCAAACACCTTCAGCCGTCGCCCATTTTGATAAGGTTGATATTGATAACATGGCAGAAGTGTTACAGGTATTTCAGTAACTCGTGTTATCAATTTCCACTTTGCGACTGCCGGCGTTCTCCCAAAAACACGGTGGCCATGTTAGTGTTATCACTAAAGTCCTGACATACCAATTTACTTTTGCCGAGTATGATAATACATTTGTATTTTGATAATGTAGTTATAATATTACATCAAGATAATATTCTACTTTGCAAGACGTACATTGTGGCCAACAGTTTTATACATTTTGAATTACAATGTTTAATGAATATACCTAAAACACAAATATTTTTTTTGCCGTGTACAAAATATGATTGATAAATAAAATAAAGTACTTGTAATGTCAAAAACAGATTAAGTACTTCCTATTAACAAAGCAGTGAAAAAATGTATTTTAAAAGTTTTCAAGTCACGGATTTAAAATATGCAACTTTTTAATTAAATAGGTGCTTTTGGCTATTTAATTAAAATTTTATTGGAAGTACATTTTCATTGACTGTAATATTGTATAATTTTTCATTTGAAATTAAATTTTATTTTATTTGAAATATTTAAATACATTTCTATATTTTGTAAAAAGATATATTATTAAATTATTTCAATGATTCAAATAAAATATTGGTTAAATAATCGTTTTTAAATAGGTAGGTATAATTACATAATAATTTTCATTTGTATAATATAACGTGTTATGTTTAATAATATATAAAAATTCAAAATTAAATATTTTTTTTTAGGTAAATAAATAATTTTTCGTTTTATTTTATTGACCGACTTTTACTTTTAAATAATTTATAAAATGTAATTGTTTTTTCAATTTGTATTTGAATAAAAATGTTTTCGAGTCAAAAATTATAAATGTATTTCAATTACTTTTCATTTGTTTATTTGAATTTACTAAAATTAACATACTTTATTAGGATTTTTGTTCAAACAAAATTTTTTTTTATTCGAATAATATTTTTTCTAAAAGAATCAAAAAATGTTTATTCGGACTATTATTAAAAGAAAATTATAATGCTTAACTTTAATATTATACATATACCATGTAATCCATTTAACGTAAAACAGTAATTTTCCTAGAAAAAAATTACAGTTTTGTAGTTTCTCTTGTTGAAACATTAAAAACAAAATTATTCATCTTTATTAGTATTACTAAAGAGCGCTTTTTTTGTTTGTTTTTGAAACTTAAATGGGAGCTTATAGTTATATATTATTTAATAAACTGTTTAAATGATATATATATTTTGCTGAAATGTTGACCGGTCGATAATCGGTTTTGTACCATTATTACTTTAAAGTTGTTAAAAGGTTTGAAATTTCTACCTTCCCCTTTCTAGTTACAAAATTGGGGGTGGTTGGTTTGAGCATCCCCTAATTCCCCTTTACCCATATTTTGCGGCAACGACAATGATTTGGTAAGCAATTACACATAATGTGCTACAATATTTCGTTTGTCCAAACTGTCGACACTGTGTCCGAATTATGAATAGTGACCATTTGTACCGCTTGAGGTCGCCAGTGTCTTGTAAACAAACGTCGAGTGTGTAGCATTGCCTAATATCAGCAGCTATGCTCATCTAAATAGTATTTTTGTTAGTTATTGTGTTTACTTTTGTCGGGTCTGTCGTGTGTTACCGCCGGTAATGACTAATATTATGTGTAATTGTTAAATAGAATGAAGCCGGTTTTTTTGTTGTTTTCCATTCTGGTGGATAGAACGATTATAATTATTTTATCTAAAGACTTGTGAATTTATACCCAAGTGGATAAAACTGTTGTTTTCAGAACCGTTTGCTTTGTAATTTTTTTTTTTTTTTTTTATTGCCATCACAATGGAAGACGAACTTTATTGTATCGCTTGTAAACAGCTTTTCAACAATCCCGTACTCTTGCCATGCTACCATGCTCTGTGCTTAAACTGTGCCGTGCACATTCAACGTTCACTAGAACCGTCGGCACCGCAAGAAAACAGCGGCAACTCTACGTCCAGCAGCTCGGAGTCTCACGCTTCTGACTACCATCCAGAGTCCGACAAACTGTCCATACTGAGCGAGACCGACAGTGGCGTCGTGTGCAACAGCCGACCGAACAGCTATGTCGGTACGCCAAACATCAACGGCATTACGTTCCCGCCGGTCGCGGCCGGATCGTATTCGCTGTCTTGTCCCGCGTGCAGGAAAGTGGTGTACTTTGACGAGAACGGCGCTCACAACTTGCCGAAATACAGGACCATGAGGAACATTGTCGATCGCTATGGCGAGCTGAAGCACATTGTTCCCAAGTGCCAGCTGTGCGAATGTGATCCAGCGGCGGACGCCACCGTGTTATGCGAACAGTGCGAAGTGTTGTACTGTGACTCTTGTCGCGACAGTTGTCATCCGTCCAGAGGACCGTTGGCCAAACACAATTTACTGCATCCGTCGGCTGGTAAAGTCGCTTTAAGGAATAAGATCAGAAGCAGAGATATTGTGTGCAACGAACACGAAGAAGAGTGCTTGTCGATGTACTGTATGGTTTGCAAGATACCGGTTTGCGCTGTATGCGTGCACGATTCGAGGCATTCAAGTCACGATGTTCAGGCTATAAATTCCATGTGCAAAGCTCAAAAGGTAAGAGATAAAAATGTTATTTTTGACTCGGTACGCATGGGGAAACATTAGATTATTTTGAAGTTGTGATTCTGTTGGGGTATGAAAATATTAGAATATATAAAAATTGATTGTGTTAAGTATTTAAAATAGAGTTAAGAAGCCCTTAAGTTACAGAAAACCAAAAGACTTTAGATGCGTTTAAAAAAAGAACAACAAACATATTTGGTTCTGAGCGATCGAAAGAAATGACTGAAGGTGATAAAAATACTCGTAAGAAAACTGTTTTATGTGAATCTATTGTTGATAAAATTATTGGTAAATATAACGCTAAGGCAATTTTGTATTTTTTTGGTTTAGCCTCGATAAAAAAATACGGTAAATGATATAGGTACACTCTAAATGTACATTTAGTCTAATATTCAGACATGACATCCAAAAACTACCCCAAAATGAAATAAAAGTTTTGATACCTTATGGAGGAAATTGTTGAAGGTACTTACTAAATTTTCTATTTTATCAATAGTGTCATTTGTAAAGTGTACTTCAAAGAAATATACTAGTACTATTCTATTTCACAGAAACTATTATTGCATGTCACACTTTAACATAAGATATCATATTTCAACTTTGAGGGAGGTTTTTACAATTTTTATTGGAAGTGGTGAAATCTTTTAACTTATGCCTAAAAAATAATCATTGAGGTGAATAAATTTAAATTTATGGTCCGATATAACATTAGTGTGGATAAAATAAATAAATACAATAATATATTATATACAGTTATATAAAAAAATATATTAAGTGCACTGTTTGTTGTTCAACGTTTTTTTTCTTCAATGTTTACTTTTGGTAGCAAACGTTTTTATAGTTTTGTCGACAGATGGATGTGCTCTAAATTATTGCAAGTGCTTGTGGTGATGCTTTTATACTTTTTATTTAAATTACGATGACCTTTTAACCATTACTTTATTTACATAGAACTCGAGCTACAGTAAAAACACAAACACCTCAAAAATCTATTTAATATACTTTAGAGAAAACCAAATTATATTTTTAATTAACTTGTTTAGAAAAACGTAGGTGAATAGATATATACTAAGTATAATAGATTAACGCTTGCCTAATTTATGGGTTTGTCGAGTCCATCGCATTTGTTTAACTAGAAGTTTTAAAAGTGCGCCATGCCAGTTTTTTTCTGCATGAAAAACATGATTTAGAATATTCACTTTTCCGACAAACTAAGCACTTATTAATGGAAAAGTATCGGTACAAAATTAAAGATCAATAATTACCTAAATTCATAGACAATTTTACGATGGAAATTTAAAAAAAAAAATACCCTTAAAAATTGTAAAATTTAGTTTTTAATAAGCTAATAAAAAAAAAATTGCCAACTTCAGAATTGAGAGAAATCCTTGATCTATAATTTTGCACAGATGCTCAAAACCGCTTAAGTATAGTGTAAGTCCTGTTGTGTTTTTTATAAAAAAAAAAATAGTTTATCAACTGTGTTGAAAGTATTGCATACTTAGTAAGTACGTTAGGTTAGTAATAGCTGTAAGGGCCTATCTTCATAAAAACGGGTGGTAAAAAACATATTGCCATCCAAAAAGCCATATTTTTTAAAAAGTATAGTAATTATGGATTTTTAGCAATGGCTTATTAGTAAAAAAAAAAAAAAATTGTTGCCCGTGTATTTTCTGTTGACAATAGTCTATTAAAAACATATTAAGGAATCCGATGGTCCTTTTCCTTCGAAAATATCAATCTTCGAGAATATAAATCGAGTTCTGTGTTTACGTTTTTATATTATTATTATAGATCTAGATTATATGTACAGATAATTGAAAACATTTTCAAACTAAAATTTACATTATTTTCAGTTATAACTACAGCAAATGTCGATTAAAATGGTAGTCTGATAGCTTGACTGATTTTGAACTTGTAAAAAATAAAAAAAGTTCATTAAAAACATTTTAAAGTTAATTTGTATCTTTTCGAACCGTATTAACGTTTTGTTCCAGGAACTTAATTTTATATCGTTCCAAAAGGCATAACTTAACTTTAAAATGTTTTTATTTACAAGTTTAAATTGAATCAATTGAGGAGCGATCCGACTACTATCAATAACTTTGGCCGAAGTTTGTTGTAGTTTAACAGAAAATAGATAGTGTAAATCTTGGCGTGAAAACGTTTTCAATGCCTGTACAATATATCATGTGCTGTTGAGTTGATGTGAAAAGTGACGACGGCAAGTGTTGAAAACGCATCCCCTCCGGTTTCTTATGGATATTGAAAAAAAAAAAAAGGCGAATTTTCCTTAACATCCGACCGGAAGTGTAATCGGCGATTGGCGGTGGAAAAGCTAATATTAGCGTTTAAGCCGATGGCGGGTTTTCCCAAAGGAGACAGAGAGGAGATATTACTTTTCAATAAAACGTGCACTGCCGACGAAAGTCAAACATTGTTTATGAAACCGATGAGGGTAAAAAACATCCCATCAGAACCGAACACCTACCTACCGATTATACTTGACTACACGAGTTTTGAGTTGTCAAATTAATTAATTTCTGGTTTCACCAGAACTTTTCATAACAATGCATTTACTTACTTAGGCGCGGCGTCCGCAAGATGTTTTTTATACGTAGAATTTTCGACGGTTTATTTTTAGAAAAAGATTTTGGTCACTTCCGGAGAATAGCGACAAAAATACTCCAGGAATAATTCCAAGAATAATTATTACCGAAAACCCATCTTTTAACTATGCTTCTATTAATAAAATCCACCTGCGGGTAATCATTGAATTCTCGTTGTAATGGGAATTCTCAATTACCAATATTTTATCATTGGCCTTTTACTACCGCTATGTGTTAACTTAATCGACGTTGGTTGTCGTTAAGTATTCTGCATAACAACATTACTCGGAAACATGTTTTCGAATTACCAAACTAGACAAAAACGATTGTTAATGGTTTGTCGTTTAGGCATCTTTAATAAAATATTAATATGTAACATAATATTGTCATTTGACTTGCTGCACTCGAGGAATTGTGTAAATACATTTATAAATCGATAAAAATCTACGGAAGTCTTAACTTCATTTTACTTTTTTTATTTATAAAAAATCAAGTAAGTTTGGTAGGTAATTGAAACGAAAAAAAAATTATGTTGACCACTTTAAGAGCTTTTTGTAAATAGAAAAAATAAAACGCCACACGCTATAGTAGTGAGAAGATAGATACTTGTATTAGCTTACTATCTTATAATATACAGGTAAATCGAATTTCATACACACACGGTATAATAAATTGAATTTGAAAAAATTCTGTGTATAATGTACATCTTATAAACGCTTAATTTTCAATTTATCTAAAGAGATAGAAGTTGATTCAAAGTTCGTCAGAAAAATACTGTCAAGAAAATACAAAATGAGTTTTAAAAAGTTGACAATTTTAGCTAAATTTTTCTTTAGCCATGCAGATCTCTGAAACCGATAAACGGATATTATTTGTTATTTAGGATCTTATTAGAATAACCTTAGCATGTATAAGTGCAGTGACGATTTTTAGAACTTTAAATTGTTCTAGTTCATTCACTACACGGCCCACTACAAGTTGTACATCATAAAAACACATTTCCCCTAAATTGTCGTAGTGAATTAATTACTTAATAGTAAGATATATTTTGAATAATTCTCCATAAATTAAAAATCAAGAAAGTACTACCGAACCCTGCTTTGTGTTTTTTTTTTGTTCCTTCTTGACCCGTTTAGACTTCAGTAAAGTTTGAATTCAGTCGTTAGAACTTTGTAATGGAGTATTTATGTTTTAAAACTTCTACCATGCTATAATAAACATGCATGGTACTTAAAATTATACATTTTATATGACGGTTAGTAGTTAATAAAAATATAAGTTTTTTTGCAACGTTTTCTTTGCATTTTAGTACGCACTAAACTTGGTATGCAATAAAATATTCTTCCTCAATAAAACATTATAAAAAACCAACAATAATATGCACGCCAGTGTGTTAAAAAAATCAAAAGTTATTGAACAGTATAATATTAACGTTAATATTTTGTTATAAAGCTAAAAGCTAAATACCAAGCTGACTTGTCGAATACATTTATTGTTTTGTATGATTTTTTTTCTTAAGCAATAAGTAACGATGACATTTAAAATCGGTCGTTTTAAGCATGTTATGAAAAATCCGTTTATTTATTTAAATAAAACTGGTTTTTAACTTTAACCTAACCTGTGTATTTTATTAATTGTCTTAAACATTACACAATATGACTTCGTCATACAACCAATGAGTGCCAACAAATAATTTATTAAGTAGTAATTTTTTGTGTGCACTGGAAATTTCATAATCCAATATGTTTTTCACATCAAACAAAGGATTGAACGCATTTTTATATCCCGCAATATGTTTTTAACATATGACAACATTTCAAATTAATAGTTATCTGAATTACCGAGTCATCAGTATAATAAGTATTCAAAAAAGTGTAAATGTCTAAGAGGAACATCTGCTAAGCTCAGTGCTTTCAAGCATTATAATGCACTTCTGAAAAATAATTGTATATTTTCAAAACAAAAGGCTTGGGATTCAATTAGAGTAAAGCTGAGAAGTTTTAAGAAGCATAAATTTACAGATGAATAACACAATTAAAATAATAATTGGTACGCATTTCCATTGAATTAGTTTCCTCGTTCGTTTTAGTAAACAGGTCATCGGTTTATTGAATAAACGATCCTCTGTGAATAATTAATATTACTTCAGAAAGACAGTGACGGTGTTCTATTTGGTTATTCGAAGTTATAAGTCATAACTCGTGTAAAAAAAAAAAAGGCTTCCTTTAGTTTTTAAAAATATAAAATTATTATATAGAATGTTTTCGTGTTTTTGAAATATTAGTAATTATGATTTTTTTTTTTTTAAAAAAAAGACAATTGTCTGGCTTAGTTTCTCTTAAATTTCTATGCCATTGTAAATATTTATGACAAGGGTATTGC